GGTGATCATTTCGCAACTAACACATTTTGGTGATCAATAGTCATTTTTTTGGGGATCAAAAATATTGCTACCCACTGTTTTTCGATCTTAATTGGTTTTCTTAGCGAAAAAATTTTATTTTCGTTGCAGACGATTTACTTGACGTTAATTAAATAAAAATGGATTCCAATTAGTCTATTGTTTCTATGAGGATTTACTTTCCGTTGATTGCTTAAACGTACAGAAATAAGAAGGTGCATTATCAATGTGTCGTAAGAACAAATTCGAAATAATTTCTAATTGGAAAGAATATTCATCAATAAATGAACGATAAATTGAATTTTCAGTTATAAATGAGTAGTGCTCATTAATTTGGTGACTAAAATGGTTGTGAACATAATAGAACATGTAAATTCTCCACATCCAAACATTTTCATAGCCATTGACTTACTGAAAAAGGAGCAAGCGTTAGCATTGATTGCAAGAATACAAGATGATATGGGCGCTCCAACTCAATAACGTCGAAAAAATGAAGTTGTAACAGATGAATGTTTAATGAAATTGTGGGAACGTTATGATGAAGATCGTACTGATATTCCATCGTTCCTCAAAGCGGTCGGACTGAGATATTTTCAACGTTCATCTAAAGTTAAACAGCTATTTCTCATTGCTCTTTTGTTTCTTACTATATATATATTTGTTGGTTTTTTTGTTCTAAGAATACATTGACTGTCGCAATAATTGCGCATTTCTTTACGTCTAAGCAATCAACGGAAAGTAAATCCTCATAGAAAAAATAGACTAATTGGAATCCATTTTTATTTAATCAACGTCAACTAAGTCGCTTGCAACGAAAATAAAATATTTTCGCTGAAAAATCCAATTAAGATCGAAAACAATCAACGTCAAGTAAATCGTGCACACGGTAAGAATGTGAGAAATATCTACTCAAAAAGAGGGGCATCTATTGCTGTTGTGTTACTAACTTCATACGCAAAGAGAAGAAACTGTTCATCTGCTTTTTGTCTATTTGAAGTTTTGTTGATTGTTTAAGCTATTATTTTTTTCTTTTTCTTCTTTTCTGATGGATTGTATAAGAATTTTTCTAGAAAACACTTGAGATTTGTTTTGCTTTGAAAAATGCGTAAAAGTTTGGTACTTTTTTAAATATTTATTATGGAAATTTACATGAAAAAGAATTTGAGTAGTTCACTCTTTAGCTTTTTACGCATAAAATGAATACAAAAACTGACACTTCGATCTGCTTGAATAGTATACGATTAAGCCAAGTTTCAAGACTATACATAATCTACTCTATCGATACATTTCTATCTGCTTAGTTTTAGTATTAAAAGATACGTTTGCTTATCTACATATATACCTACATATCGAGTAAAATATTGAGTAGTGTCCTCTATCGATTGTTTCATCAATTATGAAACATATTAATATCTATATATATTTTATTTCTTGATATTTTTCTACTAAGATATATTTTGTTTTTACTCGTTTCAGAAGAACAAGACGAACGTATCATTCTATTTATTTACTCTGAATATCTGTCGATAGACAAGCAAAATTAACAAAAGAACGTCTTAATACGAGAAGAATACCCGTAAGTAATCGTTTTCAGTTGAACAATAAATAAGCACGCACGAATGTATTAAGGCATAAATATTGTCTGAGTTCTAAGAGATAGAAAGTTAATTATATAAATAATACATGAAATTATTCATAAATACAAATCTTATTTGACTATGTAAGAAGAACTTTACTAGTGAGTTAGATTTTCTCCGTACAATTGATTTATTCAGATCTCTAATGTTTTAAGTGTTTCCTACAAGAACAGAACAATACAATAATATGAATAAGTATATCACTTCTATTGATTCAAAGATAGACAAAAATAGAAAAATATAAAGAGTATTTACATCATATTACTACTGATACTTTGTATAGGCATACGTTTTTTTCTCCCCGAATTACTATGTAACAGCTGCTACTATTTTCTATGACATTCATTCATCTTTTGGTCTTATGTCTATCTCTCATTCACGTACATATCCATGGACAATTTGTCTCTGTCTTCTATTTGTTCGTACTCACCAATGCATTGGTTTCTTCTCATATCATCGTCAAATATTATTTTCTTATTTATGACTAAAAGTTGCCGACATACTTTTATAACTAATGCAAAAAGTAAGACGATATTCGATTTATTTCGTGCAAATAGTATAGCGGGTTTGTAAGTTTTCTTAAAGAAATGTTTATTTACTTGACGATTGCACTCAAAAAACATATATATATATATTAAATTGTGTATAAATATGATACCAAGAAAATGAATCGAATTCTTTGTATATGTATGTAAGCAAGCTTATCAATCATCTTGGGCATTTTCTAATCTTTCGACTCTCCTTTGTATTTTTATCAATTTTCATGAGAATTTCCTCTTTTTTTTTCTGAAAAGTAGTCATTCGAATAGACGTCAATATATATTTTTGAATGCCATCTGTATTTTTTTGCCTCTGTATGAAATGAAAATAATCAATCGAAAGAATATTCATTTTTTTTTGTGTTATTGAATCACTTTTATTTGTCATAGCGAATATTTGTGTTTCGTTTGGGGTATATTTGCATTTGATCGGCACCGTTGATGTTTATTCTAAATGTCAATATGATACGATCAGTGTACTTAGCGGAGTTTTTTTTTTGTAAAGAAAAAAGAAAGAAATTCGATGATGAAGGGGGAGGAAGGCGGAGACAGGTAACATCTGTGCTTTAGTGTAACTTTACATAGATAAAGAACAAAAGATACGAATTATTGATTCAAGTAGACAATTATTAAAGGTAAAACTACAATAGCGTTTGCAAAATTGTTAACAATTAACAGAACTGAACTGTCACTTCATACTGCATTTATTGTCCCAGTCTATTTGAAGATATGCATTTGTTTTCTTTTTGCTTACATAAAAAGCAAATTCATTCAAATCCACAAAATTGAAGTGTCAATATCCTTTATTCTGAAGTATAAATGTATTTAGCTTACTTCTTGAACCTTTTTTTTTCGAGGACATGAAACAACAAATCAAATACATATTTTATTGCTAAAGAGAAATTCTAGTTATTCCTCTTGTTTTTTTGCAATATTTACAAGAGCACACATACACTTATAAACCTGAAGTGATTTATTGTAATATTGTAAGAATAAAAAGAAAACAAAATCCAGGAGGCATTGGTCAGGTGGTCATTAGGGTGACCTTTCCTAACAGCCAACACCACATGCTTTTCTTCATTTCATGTGTAGATTCTAATTTAATTCCGTAATGTGCATAGAAAGGATAAATCTCACACATACATCATCGATAGATAGTTCAGACAGTCCAAAAAATGAATTGAAATTTGATGAAGCCAGTGAATATAAGCAGACGTCATGTCTGTGTTTTGCCCTCCGTAGTAGAAGAGAAAAAATATGAATATATACTACACTTCTATTTTTTTCTTTTTTGGTTGATCGAATGACAGTCGCTGTTCTCAGATAATCGATAGTTACATCTTGCGTGCAAGTTTACAATTGTGTGTACACTTAGCTATAATAATAAGAGCGAGAGAGAGAGAGAGAGGGGGGGAGGGGGGTAAACGAGAAATGTCAATTGTTTTATGTATTATTGAAAGATTGCATCATCAATATGATTGTTTAAAGTAAATATATATTAAGGTTGTAGACTTCATTAAAAAAATTCATTCTGAATGTAAATGTAAATATAAAGTAGATTTTCAGTCATCAATCGCAATCTTGGTCTATGTTGAGGGAAGAGAAAATAGCAAACTTGTTTTATTCAATTATATACTTCGAAAACGCTAAATCCATTTGGTGCTCTATGTTTATATTTGGCACAAGGACAAATGCCTATGTGCATTTGTCACAACATAGACACTTGTCGTTTTTCTTGCTCGATTGCGATATGCATACACAGATGTTCATTAAAGTCCCATCAATAGATAGCATAGACCTTGCTGGCAAACTATAAAAACTATAAAAAGCAAAAAAAGAAGAGAAAGATGTTGCCTTTCCATTTGCATAGCAAAAATAACAAGAACAATTAATTTCTTCTCATCCTTCTGGCGGCATACTTAGATGTATGAGAGTTATTAAAAATACGTTCGGCTAAGGCGGCGTTTCTGGCTATCCATTCAGACAGCATAACCTAATTGGCACATTTGATAGTAAAACATTGCCATCATCATCATCATCATCATTACTAGAAAGTGTGAAAACAAGGAAGAAGCAAAGAAAAAAAAAGGTGCCTTAGTTTCTCGTTCAACGAATCTGTGATAATTAACGAATGATGAATATTTTTCTTTTTGCGATTGTCAATTTCTTTTTTTGCTATAATAGAAAGCGTTAGCCTAACAATGAACATGGAAACCAATGATGACATAGAATCCTCGCTTCCTTTATTTTTTTCTCTCAGCTATTTTTAACTTAAATGCATAGCGATAATAGACGGACTTTTTTGTCACACGAACCAGAAAGAAAAAAAATGAGTTGCGTGCGAGTGTCTGAAAAAAATGGTGATGTATGAAAGAGAAAGAATTCTCCTAGTGCTTGTTCGTTGGCGTCTTCTTTCCCTCTATTTTTTATTGCCATCAGTTAGCCGTTTATGAGTTGTCTCTCTTTTTTGCGACGACAAAAGAAGGAAAAGAAGGAGAAGAAGAAGACGATTCCATTTCTACTACACAGCTGCTGCCAACTTTGACATTTGAAAATTGTTTTTCTTCTCTCGTTATTTCTTTTTTTTTCTGTTCGCCTTTTCTTTATCATCGTTTGACGAAGAAGTTTTTGCGCTCCTTCTCTCTTTCTCTCCTTCTCGGTGTTATTGCAGACAGAATAGCAGCCGCAATAAACACTGCTACCACCTTTTTCTTTCATTACTTGCTGGATGCGTTCACGCATCGCTGTATGGTTTGGATTATAAAGGCATATTTTTACTAAACGCACGAATTAATAGATCCGCACGATGGGTTGTTCAAATGCTCGTTTATTAGTACAAGCACCATCGGCTACCGAAACCGGTGCAAGAACGAATAATCCTGTATTGTTATCAACCGATGGAACCTCTCCAGCCAATGTTCCTATCGATACAACAACACGAATGCATTTAACAGGAGTTGATCTCGTTGTAGAGAGAAATGGTTCATACACGCTTTTACTAACGCCCAAAACTCATAAGCAATTAATGCCTTATGTTTTACGAAAAAAAAGATTTCGGTAAGAAATTGCTGACAATAATTATAATAATTGTGTTTAGCATTGAATGAAAATGAATCATTCAGAAAGAAGAAAAAAGAACTGTACGAAGTATATACGTATATAATGTAGATTTCATATCCACACTGGAATGCATAACGTATTGCTAGTCACTGAAATTAGTTTTTCGAGAAAGAAAAAACGATTCGTGTGTACTGCTTCACATCTATTTCAAACTCACTTATGCGATGTACGATTGCATATGTGTGTGTGTGTGCGGGCGCATGAATCCACTCAAGAAAAAATAAAGAATGAGTTGTATGTTGTCAGAACTGAAATAGAATCCTATATAGCAATGAATAATCGCACAACAGAAGCATTTCTTTTCTTTCGTAAAATATATGATGACGATGTCACATCATCGTCTATTATTAAAAAAATCGTTGATTCTGCTTGAATGCTACTAATGCCCTAATACATAATCACGGAGAAAAAAATATTTCTTCGAAATATAATGATTAAAGGACATTCCCTACTGAGTGTTTATCATCCGTATAGATAACAGTGAAAAGAACGTGAAATAGATAATTTCCGGTGAAATTAATTTATTGATTGATTAGAGAATAGTTTTACTCCTTTGGGATTAACACAAAGTACACTAAGTATTCAATAGTATAATCTTTTTGAATTGATTCTTCTTTTCAAACATCTCTTTTAGTGAAAATAAAAAAGTCTTTTCGGCTTTTCTTTCAAAAAAGAAGTTAATTAGATCAATAATTTTATGTTTATTAATCATCTTTTCCATGTTAATAATTTATTTATGGATCTAATCTGATACTTCCGATGTACATTTATTCATTCAATTTAATAAAAAAAAACAGAAAGCTTTTTCTTCTATTGAAAGATACAGATGTCGCTAAAGATTACGCCAAGAATAATCATCATTGTTTCTTTTCTTTTATATTCATCAAATACTACATTAATAGAAATAGAAATTAACCTTCGACAGGCTTTTTCACCAAATGCACTCATTGACAAGGAAATAAAGGCATTCTGATGGTGCCAAACATCATCAATAATATGCACTCAGAAAAAGAAGGGGAAAAAAGAAACATAGGGAATATGATTTATCTTTTTTTTTAACTCCATTTAGAATTCTCGTCGATAAGCCTCGCTCGGAACCAACATTAAATTCGAATGAATCAATAATGGAAGATAATAAAGAATTAAAATTGAACTCTGAAAAAGATAAAAAATCTAAACAAAGTCAAATGAATCAATCAATAGTTGCATCTATGGAACAAGTTGCATCGGATGAATTGAATAAAGCAGAAACTCGTTTAATAGGTGGTCGAAGTATTGATCGTGGTAATCTTGATGATGAAGATGAAAATATTCAATCTGATGATGAAGGTATGATTGAAGAAATTGTTACAACTGTTGAACAAGATAAAGATCTTGAATGTAAAGTTAAAAAGAAAGTGGAAACAAAAAAAACTACGTCACAGCATCCAGATACACATAATACGATAACCAAGGTTGTCAAAACTGAAGTTACAGAAATAACACGTACAATAACAATTAATGATCATCATGATCTTGAGCGTGCTAAGCGTGAGTTAGGTATTGATGATGTTAATAAACTTTTACCATCATCAAAATGGGCTCATCAATCAAATGTAACAGAAATAAAACAAAAGCAACATGAAACCGTTAAAGAAATAGCTACATCAAAAGATGTATCATTGAATAATCAAACAAAACAAACTCAACCAGACAAGAAATTTATCTTATCGGAATCAACCATGGTTGGACGTGGACCAGTGACTGAAACTATATCATCGTTATCGTCTCCAAAATCTGAACAGAAACCAAAAGAAACAAAAAAGAAGAAGAAAAAATCTAAATTCTGTTCATGTACACGTTCAGTTGCTGATGCTGAACAAGATAAACAAGATATGTCTACAATTCCAACGGAAGAAAAACCTAAAATTTCATATGAAACAACACCAGTGTTCAAATCAACTATTGATACACAAATTCAAGGCCAACAGTTAATATCATCAGACATAAAACAATTAATTATCGATAAAAAGTTTCTATTAATTGAATATATACATTCAAAAATATTTTCTCCATCAAAATTCTTTACATCGGATGAACAAGATTTAAAAGGTCGAAAAATTTCATCAAGAATTCTAGATTTATTACGTTATGACCGTTGTTCATCGTGGGCACAAATGTTTGAACAATTCAATGAAGAATATACAAATTATTTACCGACTGATTCCATCATACACCCAATGGTTAATACATATGAAAGTTTATTTACTACTAAACAAGCACATTTATTAAATACATTTTCAACAATTCATCATGAGAACGATATTGGAAATATACAAGAAAATTCTGATTATGTAACTATTGTAGAAAAATATAAACATGAACGAGATGATCAAACAAACGCTGCAATTATTGTACAACAGTCTGTTGATAATATAATCAATACAGTGGAACAGTTACACGAAACTAATCAAGAAGAACAAGTTGTAGAAGGTATGTAGGAATCCAATCAATGCATTATGTGATCAACAATTTTTTCCTATACTCATCTTCAGCTCTCGACTTTATCGAGATATAATATCTGTTTGATTGATCGAGGGATAAATGAATGCACGATATTAACCTTGATGTCAACTTGACTTTTCCTTAACATAATATCAACTGCGCGTAACTAGTAGATGATCTTCCCGTATGCATCTTCTTCATATAGATAAATTGAGACAGAAATAGATAATAGCCATACGCTTTCCATCAGATCTTTTTTCTCGTTTCTATTTATAGTTGCATCATTATGGTTCATTGCATACGTAGAATATGTGCGTGCCATAGCTGGCGGTTAATCGTCTTAACATTTTCTTCCTTCCCATAGAGCCACATGAAACAGAACTACAGAGCTAACCAAACTAATAGATATTCTGATCATTTTAATTATCCATAAGATGAACATCGATGCTCATGTCATGACCAATTAGCATATGATAAAGTAAAATGAGACGTCAGTGAGAATCAGAGAAAGAAAGTATTCTTGTTCGGACCTACTATTTTGATCATAATTTGACGCTTAAACGAAAGGTCATGTATTGTTTTTTATTGATGCATAAACCTCATTTTGACGCGACCACTGAATAAATAATAGACACATTGGCGACAGATGCGTATGTATGTCTGTAGACATAGGTGTTTATTTAAGGACGGGTGAACAAATCATTGAATAGCTGAAAAAAATGTTCATTCACACATGAGAACAGCCTACTCAGTGAACAATATATCAGTTAACACAATGAGATTTCGACAGCGGTATGTTTTGTTTAAGTGTCGGTGGACGCCGCTGGGACGATATTCTAATACTCATGGTAAGTTTGAATAGACTTCAATTCACTTCATATAAATCAAACTATTAGCTGTGAGCATTGAATTATTTGTTAAAACGCATTCTTTGTTCATTATCGTATGAATGGAACCTTGTTTTTTTTTTCTTTTTCAATTCGTTTATATGCACTTCTAATAGAGTTGAACTATAGGAATAAAAAACGAAGAAGAAGAAAAGAAAAATTATATACATATCAATTTTCTTTTTCAGCTATTAATGATGATGAACAAGTTGAAAAAGAAGTAGATATGACTGACGATATTCAACCATCGTTACCTATTTATAATGAAGAACAGTTAGTAAAAATGCTTGCTGATTTATCTCCACATAAACCGATAACATTAGCTGAAGCGATTGCATATCAATACATTGATGTTGAAGATCCTAAATTAGGCTTATCAAATGATATAATACAACATATAAAACATTTGTTTCGTCCGTTATCTGATCAATCAGTATCAAATTTAATTCGTGTTCAGCGATCAGGTGAATATCTAACCGATATTAATCTTGCTGAAACAAATCCATTTGAAAAATTAAATCTAACTGAGCCGCATGTTTATCAATTGCAACAATTATTTGAGCCAACATTAGATTTCAATGAAAAACAATTTCGTTCATTAACAGAAGCAATACTCAGTAATAAAGAACAATATGATCAATTACAATTTGATATAGCACGTACATCATTACCAATTTATGATGCAAAAGATTCATCAATAAATGATTTTAGTCAGTCAGATTCAGGCTATTCAATGACAACAGCAACACACGAAAGTTTAGCTAGTAAAATAAAAATTGAATTCGAACCAATCAATCAAGATATACCTGTACCACTTGCCCGAAGTGATTTACATGAAGATGAAAAAATTGATTTAGATAAAGCAACACAAGAACAATTAAATAAATATGAGCTTAATCATGATTTAATTCAAATCATTAAATCAGATTATAATGTATCCAATAAAGTACGTAGATATTTCTTTTGGCTGTTCTTTATTTTATTAACTTATTTCTTTTATTTCTTCTTTTTAGACTATTGGACAAGCAATATTATCACGTGAACTACGTTTAGAGAGTGCAGATCCGAGTGATGTATCACGTTTAAATTCGTTAGGTATTCATAAAGAGCAAGCAAGAGTTTTACATGCATTTTTCTTTCCAAAACAAACGCGTATCATTGCCTATTCACCAGAACCCGGCCTTTTTGTTGAAGCTCAAACAACATATAATCCTGATTACCCAGGCTATAAAACTGATACAACAATAATACAAATTCAAGACAAACAACTTTCATCAGATCTTCTAGCCAAACAAAGAAATATTCATGATGAACGAACATCACCTATTTTATTTGAACAAAAACAAGAATCAGAAATAATTATTCCTCTTGGTCCATCGGAAACTACTCCAGCAACAGTTCCTAAAGAAAATTTATCATCAACACCCTCGTCTGCAACAACAACAACAACAACAACAACAACAACAATCACAAAAGCACCTATAAAAAAACGTAAATCAAGTGGTCATGGTAGTTTTTTAACTTGTTTTAGAAGTAAAAAATCGAAAGCAGGAACTGAACAACAAGGTCAAGCAATTATTCAGCCAACAGTAGTTGTTTGTCAAATAAGCAGTCCTGAAAAAATCATGAAACCTACTCACGAAAAATGTAGTATTGATTACGCAGTTACACCTGATGGTAAACGTATTTACATCGATACCTTTCGAGATCGACCTGGTCTTGATATGTCTTATAAACCAAATGATTTTGAAAATCGATTCGTTCTACCAATCGTAAGGATTAGTGTTTTATATACATATATATATATATATATATGTATCCTTGTACATAAGTATATCTTTTTTTCGGTTGCTTTAAATTAGTATTTATTCGTCTCAAATTGCTTTTACTTTACCCTTTTTTTTTCTTTCTTCAATAGTATTCTTACGTATTAATTTTACTTTTTCTGTGTAGTCAAAACCAATATCTGAATACGAACAACCAAGTGCACCTGAGCCTGAACCTGAACCAATTACTCTTAAATCTCAAGTTATCGAACATGAACCTATCATTCATTTAGAACCAAGATCACCAGTTATTGAACCAGTTGATGTGCAACCTGAAGAAAGAAACATTATTATTCCACTAACAAAAACAGATGAAATGACAATTCAAAAAAAAAGAGCACACATTGATTTACGCGGAGCCGCTATTAAGTTGCCAGATATTGAATTAGTTCAACCCGGACCATTACCAACATTATCGATTGGCAAAGAGAATAAAGCAAAAAAACCTAAAACAAAATCAACTGGTAGTTTGTGTGCATCGTGCTTTGGAAAAAAATCTAAAGAAAATAAAAGACAAAAAGAAACTATTTCAGAAACTGCTCAAGCACCTATTGAACATAAGAAAATAATTGAACCAGAAAAAAAAGAAGATCTATCATCAACTACAATTGTAGCAGCACAAACTAATGAATCATCAGCATTACCTTCGATTGTAACTAACGAAGCTATTTTACCTCGAGTCAATATCGATGTGTTTAGAGATAGAAATTTTGAAAAGGGTTCGGAGGTAATAAATTAATACTAACTAAAGAAAACAAAATTTTTGAAACACTATGAATTTTTTTTTTATTTCTAGAATATTCCTCAAGCAGAAAATCGTTCAGAAGCAGCACGTGAAAAATTATTGTCAAAAGTAGAAATTAATAATCAATCATCGTCAAGTGCACCACTATCATCAATATCAACAACTACTGTTGAGTCACCATCACAATTTTCAGCAATAAAAGATATATCCATATTCTCTAATGTTAATATTGACACGTTCAGAGATCGAACTTTTCAAAAAGGTTCCGAGGTAAAAATTTACCATGAGAAAACTTTCCTAACTTGAACAACCAGTGTATATTCTGATACTAAATAGAAGAGAACTCTAAATATAATGTTAAGAGTACGAATAGGAATTGAATATTAGTTCTTTATCTGCAAAATGACATCCGTTTTTTTTGTTGATCTTGTGTCTATAGTATAATATCTACGAAGAATCGAATGACGAGAAGACACTCTGAAATTGTACACGTCAAGAGATTTTGTTGTCAGTTATATTACACAAACACTCCAGTTCAAAACAATATTGCTTTCACGAGATATTAAATTTCCTAAAATGATTCAAATGCCATCAAATGTTTCGAGAATCGCACGTTTTTAGTAGATTTAAATATCTTGTAATGGGAAGATTTTCCTAACGTAAAACTTTCGTGACATCACTCTAATTACAATTAGAACTAGCTGTGAATTCGATTTCACGTTCCAGTGTCATCATTCGACTCCCTTTCGAGACGTCATGATATCCGGTTTAAGTTTCTGTAAAATTATTATAATTCTCTGAGACAATTCTCACATCAATCATCCATCTAGAATGTTGCAATCTATCCGATATCTATCATATGAACTGGATTCACACCTTGGAGTGACTTTCAGATTGAAAAACTTCCATTGGTCTTCATTTGATAGATTATGATTTTTTTGTTGTTGTAGAGTCTCCCTCAACCGACAAAACATATAGAAACAACAAATTTGAATACAGCTCCACAACCTCAGGAATCTCACTACGAAATACCAGCCAATGTACCTGTCCAATTGCCAACAACAACTATAAAAACGATTGGATCATCCGTAAAAGATGCATCGATTTTCGCTCACGTTAACATCGATACATTTAAGGAACGAACACTTGAAAAGGGTTCTGAGGTAAAATTGAAAATTTATTTCCAACAGATTGTAAAATATATATTTTCTACTTATTTAGATTGTTCATAAACCAATAGAACATGTAGATGTAACAGTAACACCATCTCATGAAGAATGTCGTGTTGAATTACCAACGAATGAATCAGTTCAATTGCTAGCAACAACTATGAAAACCATTGAGCCATCCGTAAAAGATGCATCGATTTTCTCTCAAGTTAATATCGATACGTTTAGAGAGCGAACATTTGAAAAGGGCTCTGAAGTAAAATTGAAAATTTATTTCCCACAGATTGTAAAATATATATTTTCTATTTATCTAGATCGTTCATAAACCAATAGAACATGTAGATGTAACAGTAGCATCATCGCATCAAGAATGCCGTGCTGAATTACCAACGAATGGATCAGTTCAATTGCTAGCAGCAACTATGAAAACCATTGAGCCATCCGTAAAAGATGCATCGATTTTCTCTCAAGTTAATATCGATACGTTTAGAGAGCGAACATTTGAAAAGGGTTCTGAGGTAAAATTGCAAAATATAATTCCCAGAAACATTGAAATTTTTATCACATCATTTTTTTAGAATGTTCCAAAGCCGATCGAACGTACAGATTTAGGAGATGCCAAAGTAACAGCATCCCTTAAAGAATCTCACTATGAAACGCCAACCAATGAGCCTGTCCTATCGCCTGTAGCAAGTGTAAAAACAATCGCTGCAGCTGTGCAAGACTCATCGATTTTCTCACAAATCAATATTGATACATTTCGAGATAGAACATTTGAAAAAGGTTCCGAGGTAATATTGAAAATAAATTGCTGAAATACTCTATACTTTATATGTTCCTATTGATCTAGAGTCTTCCTAAACCGACAGCACCTACTACAGTAACAGACGTAAAATTATCATCTTCAACTGTAGAATCTCATTATGAATTCCCAAAAAACGAACCATTACCAACTAGAGCAACAAATGAACCAGTCACAACAGAGGCATCCATTTTCTCTAAAGTTAATATTGATACATTCAGAGAAAGAACTTTTGAAAAAAGTCCCAAAGTAAAACTCAAAATAAAATTTTGAGCTTATTTTCTACTAATTCTTTCTGTTTCTTCCTCCTATAGAATTCCTTCAAGCCAACAGTATCATCAGACATGGCTATTAGAGCGACAAGCTCAATTGAAGAACCACATTATCAATTACCATCTAGCGAGCCTGTGCCGCTTTCCTCAACACCATTAGAACACGAATATTCAACAGTAGATCGTAATACATATGATGTTCCTCGTACGATTGAATTTCAACAAACAGCATCATCAATTGAAGGGAAATCAGATGTAGAAGTAAGCATTCTTGAATCAATCTGATTGAAATAGATTTAATTCGTTTTAATGTTGATCTTTCTCCTCTATATGTAGCAAGAATAACTTATTGTAAAGTCTAGAGAAATAGTCTATTTAGTTAGCATTAACTCATTTCTATACGTTACTGATCTTTTTTTTTTCATTCACTAACTAAGGCCCCATTGAATATTATGTCAAACAATATATCTCAACGAAATCAAGTAATTCATGCTCTTCATTTTTGAAAGATGTTATTTTTAAAGAATAATTATAATAAACTGTCCAATTTTTAATGAATTAGACCAAGAGATTAAAGTGAAAGTACCATTCAGTACTTCGAATCTAGTTAGAGTTCGTTAAAAAATTGTGAACAATTGATAACTTTCTCTCATAGCTTTAGTATCTAGAAATTAAGAAAATCTCTCAGTGTGGAATGCAACTTTATGTTTCTTCATTTTTTAAACTATCAATTTTTTCTTTAAGGAAAGAAAAGTTCTTATTTTATCTCGAAGGCAAAAGAGTTCTTAAATATCGATATTGACATAAACCTTTAATAAGTTAGTCTTTACGATACATCTAAATGCGATATTATATCCTCATTGTGACATGTTTCGATAATAGAGTAGTTCGAATACATTCTTCAGCATATTTGTCACGTTCTACTGCATTAGTCAATATTATTCAGTCAGCATTACTACGGTTCATATTCTTACATCGCTTAATATCTTTACATATTCTCAAATGTTGATTTTAATATAAAATAATGGAAAATGTATTAGTTGCATTTACTCATTCAACAACTTAGTTGGATATGATCAATAAAAATTATTAATTCATAACTATCTAGTAGAGTACAACATAAAACAGCGCCATTTTTTTACTTATTTAACAACTTCATCATAGTTACAACCAATACAGTATTAATTTCTTTAAGAGAAACGCATGAAGGAATTTACATGATAACGAGCATACACGTATTACAAAAAAAAGCAGAAACTGACGAGGTTAAAAAAGAAAACGTGATGAAGTAGAAAATTTATTCTTTCCTTGTATTCATTATAATAGACTGATAAAGAATTGCAAGCTAAATTTCAGTTTATGTAATAGAACCAGTGAGAAGAGCACATGTTTCTATTCTATATAAAATAAAAGTACGTGAATCGATCGTTTATATGAATATTTTTTCGTTATTTTCAGACTATCAAGAACGCGCCCATGATATCATCAACCATTGATATGCAAAAGTCCAGTGGGGATTTTCTATCAACTAAAATCGTTAAAGAAAAAGTCGAAACTGACGAAATATCTCCAATCATCATCGATGTTCTACCAGGTATGGATTCTAAAGAAACCAAAATTCAAGATGCATCAAAAACTGTCAAGAAAGGAAAAAAATCAAAAACCGATAAAAAATCCGGTTTATTTTCATCATTTTGCCATCAGAGCAAAAAGAAATCTAAAATTCCAGCACTTCATTTACCGCCAATAGAAAGTAATTTAACTGCAAATACTCAAATAAATTCATTACATCATTCTGATGATGATCCATTGCATATTCCATCAACTAGTTTACCTAAACTTGATATTCCACTACCAGTATATAATCGACCCGAAGTTGATATGACAACTGGACAGATCAAACAAACATCGGAGTTCAATATACCAGCTATTAATTTAACAACTATACCTAATTTACAGTTGCCAGAACATAATATACAATTAATTGGCTCAAATTCTGATCAAATCAAAGTTCCAAATATTGAATTACCCAATCTTCAATTTGCATCCCAGGAACAAATTAAAGAAAAAATTGTAATAGTATCAACTGTTGAAGATCCATCATCGATTACAACGGTTTCTATTGCTCAAACAGAAAAAGTGACTCCAACTCTGTCGTCTATCGAACAAACAACTGCAATAACTGGCAAGAATTTAGATCAATCATTCGATGTTCCAGTTGTCATTGAAGTAATTTTATTTTCAAAATAAAATTTATTTTAATTCTTTTTTTTTCAATTAGAATAAAACATATGCTGATTTAAATTCTTCATTATCATCTTCGGAACCTACTTCTACATTATCAAAATCTGCAACGATTCCAGTAACCATCGGTCATGATTTTTCAACACAAAAAACATCAGAAAATATTCTTATTGAAACAAAATCGAAACCAACAAAAAGATCTTCAACACTTTCGTTGTGTTCGTGTTTTAGTAACAAGGCAAATATTAAAAAAACTAAAACTCGAACACTTGAAGCACCAAAAACGAATTTACCAGAAATAAATATACCAATCTCATCATCAAATATTTCATCAACATTAAAAACACAAGGATCATTACGTGCTCCATCGAATAATTTACCAGCAATTAATTTGACACCAGCATCAATTGAACCTATTTCTTTATCAATAGTTCGTGTACAAGATAAAAAAATAACAGTTAATCAAACTGAAACAAATGCTCCATCGTATGAAATTAGGAAACAAGAGGAAATTCAAGTGCAATTACCTATTGAAAGTTCTCCTATTGAAAAACAAATAGAAGAAATACCCGAAGTCAAATCAGATGTTTCAACAAGTATTACAAAAGTACAACAAGTGAAAGAAATTAAGGTAAAATACAATAAAATACTTCTAAAACTTCCTTTAGTCATAATGCAAAGAGTTTCTTTTATTAATTAAATCCTTTCTAAGTTCGAGCTTTAATTAGTTTACATACAACAAAATGTCGAAGAGTTGTCAAATGCGAATAGCTAATCTATGAAGAAAATCTCATTACAGCGATGATAACTCTTTGGGGGAAGAAGAATCGACGATTAGTTCTCTGACAGTTTTGCTATTCATAAAAAACAAAGTAAAGCGTTTTCTGCATCAACTTTCAAGATCATATATACGTGTATATTCACAAATCCCTTGATGTAAATCAATTCAAAAGCAACTATTCTCATGGGTATAATGCTATCGATTTCGGCAGGCACAGAATGAGGAGAAATTCTAATTTTTCTGAGCCCTTCTGTATTTGTTCACAGCAGATTCAAGATCTTCTAGTACATTGAACAAACTGATTCTAGTTCAGCATTATTTTTATTCAAGAACAAATCTCTTTCGGTGATGAAATTACTTTTTTGCTCTAAAGAAACCTTATTGCATTAGAAATATTTCCTAGATAAGCGTTCTTATGAGTTTTTTCAACTGATTTTACTTTGAAAATTAGCTTTTATTATAAATTGTTCTTATTGAGATTATTAAGATTTGCCGTTTCGCAAAGCGTTCAGTCGTTGTTGATAATAATCTAAGAATTGTTTTTTGTTGGCAACGATTACGAAGACAATCCGTTTCATAGATGAATGAGAATTAAAACTTTTTCAAGTCTCAATAGAATATAGCTCATGATGTTAGATTTAAAAGCGATATCTAAATCTTTTAGAATTCGTTAGTTATTGATACAATGATAAATTAATTTATAGAAATAAATAGAATTGACGAAAAAGCCTTGCTGTTCTTCTTCTTTTTGTTATGTTTACTTATTCTCATATTTATTTGTTTACTCTTTTCCAAAAAGAGATAATTGATAGAAGAAAAAATGTCAATGATAACGCTGAGAGTTCTAGGAAAAAGATATTATCAAACACTAGTTATTCTATCTTACAATGTTTATCGAGTAGCTCTTGTACAGTATTATTATAAAAGGTCGACGTCCAAATATAAAGGAATTCTCTATAGCTGATAATTACTCTTTTTAGTGCTCAGTAATGTCGACTATCATGAGGTATTCCTGATATATTAAATATCATATCAGATTTCGATTCCTCATATATATTTGACTTAATAATACATAGGAGAAAGCTTCATGAAATGGTTTCATACTGCTCCAAGGATTATTTTTTACGCCCATCAATATATTATGCAGTAAATAAATAGAAGACCTAAAATCGATTTGGATTATTATGGTTTCTATGAATAGATCTATTAGACAAGAAATTTTGTTGATGCTTTTTCAAAAATTTTCATGTTGGTCAAGAGCTGAATATTTCAAAAAGAATTTACTTATTTTTTTATGAATGCTAAATGGCTTCAATATTCTATAGGGCTTTCAGCAAAAATAATTAGACTCCTTGAACTTTGTTTCTTTATCATGCCTATATAAAAAGTCAAATTCCACTAAATGTCAATCGTCTCTAAAGAAAACTGGCCAATCTATTTTTAGAATTTCACTTCAACACTTGAGAATATCTATAGGCAAAAAAATCACTGAAATCCGATAAGTGACATTTGAGATAAGTCCTTCATTATTGAATTGCATTTGAATAATTAGCTTTGCCAATCTAAGATAAACTAACATGCCATTACTTTATTTTGTTTCTTTCGGTTAGAACGTTTCTACTGATGCTAAAAAATCTTCATCGTTTGAAATCAAAGCGCCAGCTATAAATATTCCTGAACTTGACTTGTCTGGTCCACCAAAAATGGATGCATATCTCTCATTTAATAAACAGGAAGAGTTGGAGTCAGTATCTGAATCAATTCAGTCACGTTCTGATAGTGGCCTGGAAGCAATTGTTTCATCACATGTTCATCCATCATCAACATTTGGTACAGGGACAATGATAGCAGATGTTCAACAGCTACCATCCATCAGTTCTGGTTTAGGTAGTGAAATTTTAGATAAAACAACAATAAAATCTTCGACATTATCTGACATTCAAATATTACAACCAACTGCTGAATTAAAAGAAGAATTAAAATATGATTTAGCACATAAAATAACAATGAATGATGAAATACATTCAAAATTAATATCAAGACAAGACCAGTTGAAAGCATGTTTAGAAAGTGAAATATCAAAAGTTATAATTGATTATGATCCAAAAGCAGATCATAAACCATTAGAAAAAATTTTGACTCGTGGAGTTGATTTAATTAAAGATAAAAAAGTAACGACATATTCTGAGTTACAACACAAATTAACAGTCGAACATGAACATAATGCATTTATTATTGATTCTGTTGTGCGTTCACTTTATTGTACAATTGAAAAACAAGGTTTGGACAATTTAGATAAACCAGAATTTCCATCAGCTATACGTGATGTAAGTATGATGATTAATGGCTTTCTGTTATTACATATTTTTCTTTCTTTCTATTACAACAGATGGTACGCCTTCCGACCAAACAGACATATGACACAGTGACGCATTTGAATAAAGAAGCAACGCCATTAGCTACAACACAAATGACAAAGTATGTTATTAGGATAAGATAATTTTGTATATACGACAAATCTCTGTTAAGATGTAAAAAGTTTCTTAAGTACTTCTTTGAATTTGATTATAAAAACAGATGCTATCAGTTCTTCATTTTTTTGAAACATAAATATTATATGTATATTTATTAAAATAATAGTATAGATAGATAAAAAAATATAATCGAGTATTTTTTTAAATAATAACAATAATAATAATATAAATATGACAAGGCCAACTTAACGTTCTCGTTTCGAAAATTAATTTAAAAGAAATGCATTACTTCAGATTTGTTAATTGAATCATGAGTAGATTTAATACAGTAGAAACAAATCGATAAAGGTCTTTACTGTTGATTTAATTTATTGACTAATAGATTTTTCAGAGTATAAATGGTATATACAACAAACAACAAAATTTTAAATCAATAAATTTCTACTGAATTACAAGACGCAACATTCTTTAGTAGACTAATCACATTTTTTTCTCATGTAAAATTGCTTATTCACTATATACTGCGATTCATTTCATGTTGAATGATAAATCAGTTTCTATGCGATGATTGTTTTATAGACAAAAAAGAAGCACTTGCCCTTAGTCGATTTGGAAAAATGATCTAGTAATTACATTTCTATATTAATATCAGTTTAATTGAGGATGATTTTCAAAAATATGATAAAGTTGAAGCACTGATGTAATAATAGTAATAGCTTCAACAGAGAATACATTCTAATTATGAATGGCTACAGATCCGATGAAGCAAGTTATTTTTCTTGAAAAACTTTCATTCTAATTCGAATAGTTAGTTCTTTTGCGGTCATTAAATGTAAAGGATTTTTCAAAAATGTGTTCTACTATTTTATATGTACTAAAATTAAGTACAGCTAATTGGATTATTACAATTATTTAATTCATCTTTATTCTAAACAGACGTATACAGTACTCTAGCCAAGAACAGTGATTACTACTATTGTTGTATCTGTGCCAGATTGTTTTGATGTACCACAATACTGATTTTTATGAGTCAATATATCAGAATATTGAAACTACAATAGATATTCTATGGAAAAGAATCTATATCAAAGCTAAAACTGAAGTTAAAAATATATTATAGAAGTAAAACTAATGACATGATATGATGTTTTGTCAGAAGTTTTAGACGAAGGCTTTTTTTTATAAATTCTTTCAACTAATAAAATCCATTGGTCAATTTAATAATCTATTTTTTTTCCTTTCCAGTGAAACTCAATCTCCTATTTCGACTGTAGCTGCTCCGAATGCAGCTGCTATCACTATCGAAACTAAATTACCTGAGCAAAAAATAAAATCAACTGATGATGCAGCACGATCTTGTTTAACATGTGGCCGTTCAAAATCGAAACCAAAGGTTTCATCACCATCACTCACAACAGCAACAACAACAATTTCATCCATTGGTTTACTTGATGAACGTCATCGTTCACAATTAAATATCCATCGTCATGAATTAGGTACTGTAGTTAGTAATCATATTCAATCGTCACAGCCACCAATACGAAGCTTTTCTGAACATCCAAAAGAAATTGAAAAAATCACTCGTAAAACGTTAACACTTGTTACTCAACCAAAAGTTCATTCGTATGAACAAATTCGTAATGATTTAAAAACCGAATATAAGCAAACCTTCTATCTAGTTGATCCAACTGTTGATATCATTCGTGATACATTGAATCACTGTGATATAACACAAATGAATGAAAAAATAAATCTTGATATATTAAATTCAAATATTTCTCAAACAGCTAATTTGTATAATAATCAATCAAGTTTATTAACCAATGACGAACATAATGCATTAAAATCAAATCAACTATCATGGCTTCAACAGTATTTGATTAATAATGAATTAAAAGAAAAAAAATTAACACGAAAACAAAATAGAGAATTAAGTAAAATTTTACATCGTACTTTAGAAATACTTTCAACAAATCATATTTCAACATGGGATGAATTAACATTACAACTACAACGAGAATATCCAAAAGCACATGATCTTTGTCATCGTGCAGTTGAATTAGTAAAACAATCGCAAAAAAATGGTCTACTTCTTTTACAACAAGCTCCAAATACTGAAGAAAAACGTCGTTCATCATTTATAATAACTGATCGAGCGAGACAAAATTTAAAAATTAATCGAAATAAAATAATTTTATCATTAAAAAATTTATTAAACAATCATAATAAATTATCGAATGATGATAATCAATTAGATATGTATCTTGAAAAAACATTCGATTATTTAGAAGAACAGAAACAAGGTCAATTTAAAAATTATAATGATTTAAAACAACAATTAAAACAAGATTTTAAAAAGAATAATCAAGAAAATTTGATTGAACAAATTGTTGATGTTATTGAACAAGCACATGCAACAAATCAATTTGATGATATCGATAAGCCAGAAGTACAAGCGTTGTTGCAAGATAGATTAAATGGAAAACGTATGTGATTGTATTGTTTTTTTTTTTTTTTTTTATAAATATCTATTCTTCTATTTTATTTTAGCATTAATAATAAAAGCAGTGTACGTTTCATTACCACCACGGATAGGCGGCGCATTAAAATCTTCAAATGAAGACTCATCACGTTACATATCAACATCAGCAAACGGTGATCAAACATTCAATAATACATTGTCATCGCATGCTGTTGGTCGTGGTCTAAGTTGGAGAGAAGCTAATGAACGTGCAAGAATTTTGTTCTACCGAGGAAAACATCCAGCAATACATTATGATGAACAGGCAGCTGTTTTCGATGTTAGAATGTTACTAGAAACAGCATCAGGTGGTACTCAAGAAATACCTGTCACAGATTCAGATGTAAGTGAAAGAGTTTAGCTGAAAAATCAACTCATCATATCGATCAATCTTTGTGGACATGTGAAAAAGGAGTTTGAACTTTCTCGTAAACCATTATGAAACGAGCATTATCGCTACTAGAAATATCGCTGTAGATTGAGGTTCGCCTACAACAATTTTTGTCTAGTGACGTGAGACATGTTGCTTCTTTTTAATTGCAAGAGGAGTTTAGTTTAATATAGACATAAATTTGAGTTACTTTGTACGAGTGATATTCTACTGATATGTGATCAAGAAATATTGTTGCTGAAGATGAATTATAATTAGTTTTCTATTGTCTCTCGGTAATTGATTACACAGATACATACACATACAATTTCAGCTCTAATTCAGATTACCAATGAGTTATGAGACATGTCAAATAGTAAGGTCTCGCTTTTTTTGACACATGTCAAGAAAAGGTCATGTTTGATTCTAGTAAAGGACAAGAAAAACAATGTAAACAATGTGATTCGCAGAATGTTTGATATTGTATAATTCCATTCATTTGATTAAGATCTACAATATCGACCGAACACTTGTCTACTTCTGCATTGAGCTCGAATAGTTCAAGTTTCTACTACGCGTACATTAAAGCAGAAAACATGTAAAAAATAGAACACTAATCCTTTTTATCGGTTGAATTTTCTTCGAGATTAAAATGCAAAGACTAGCTGGAAAAAAAAGAATTTTTTATTTCTATTGTTGAATGATATATTGACAATATTGTAGTTAATATAAATTGAATTTTAATTTTATTCTGCTCAACAATAAATTATATTAGAACAAGAAGGGCTTTCTCAGTTGGAATCATGTATATCGTGTAGAATTTGATGAGTTATGAATAATTTTAGATCTTCAATTAATTATTGTATAGAAACAGATTTGAATGGAAACTGTGAAATAAAAATTCTAAAATTTGTCTCCTTGATATCCTTCGGCGATAGTACAATACATTAACTTCTCCATAGTAATAAGCTAAGAATTGAATCTATGCTCAAAAAGTTCATAAATAATTGGAGTCCAAACGATGGATTTAATATCGAATCAAAATAATCAATAAGTTTATGAACCGAATTTGTCAACTAAATGCCACAAACAAATCTTTAAAGTATGAATCTATTTATCTCGAGTCATTGTTCTTCATAAAAACATGTTGTTCAATAATTGAACCTTTTTCGAATACATCGATTTTTAATTTTTTATGACTGACCTGGATCATCGGAAGATTCTTTTTTTTCCTTTAAAGAATATATCAAAACAACTTCTTTTACTTTTTTTAAAGGTTCATGAATTACTTAATTCATGTGGTGTTCAATGGGATGGTGTAAATATCATATCATTAGTTGATCATAGTGAAGATGTTGTACGCGCCGCTGAACAAGCTGCATTGAAAGTTATTCGAGAAAAAGGTATCATTGACTTGCGAGCACCACCATCAACAAACAGCGTTGATGTTCATGACGATGATGCTGATGGATCAGTTGCTTCATCACCTGATGCTTCGACTCCATCTTCGTGATTTAGACTTTTTTAATTTCTCATATTTGTGTTTTCTCTATTGATGTTGAAAGTGTCATTTCTCCATCTCGCTATTTCTCCATCTCTCTCACCACGTATATATATAAATATATATATATCGACTAAGTACACATAGTATTTTTTTTTGTTAGCACACATACATAAATACATGCACACGTAAATCATATTTTGGTTTAGAAGAGTTCGCTTTTTTCTGTTTTTTGTTGCTGTTTTTCTTTGCATCAGTAATTCCTAATGAAAAGAAAATACAGCTTTTTTGTGTGTATGTGAAAGAAATAGAACTAATATCGTCCGCTTTGTTCTTTTTTTTAAGTCGCGATATATATATATATATATATATATATATATAAATAATGTGTATTTAGTCACTTGCGTGTGTGCGTGTTTTACAAAGATTTATTGTCATTGTCATTATTTGTCTCTATGAAATAATAAACCTCATCTTTTTTTTTTCGAGAATGATGCAATTAAAAAATGTTCATAATTCTATTGTGCATTAAAAAAAGAGAAAGAAAGAAAGTAAGTAAGCAAGAAAATAAAACACAAATAATGAGCGGTTAACATTAAAATAGAAAGATGGGGATAGATACAAGTGTATCACGAAGATGCTGGCTGATGAATGTTCGTTGGAGTGATTATTTCCTTCGATGTACTTATATTAGTAGAGGTCTCAGAAGATTGATGCTCATCAGCAAGTTCTTGCCATCGTTGAAGATTACTTCTGAAGAAAATGAGTTTTTGATAAACAAAAAAAAGTAAAAAAAGAATATGATTTCTTATTTATATACCTAGCTCCCGTAAGCATGGGCATTGTTTCGGGTAGAACACGCACAATTAAAGAATAGCACGGTAAGCAAATGCAACTGATAAAATTCACCTTGAAAACGTTAAAAAAATGATTTTTTTTTAAATATAAAACAATTGATTTTATTTTATATAAATATATAGGTATGAATTACATTCAACTTAATCAGATTTTCACTATAACTGAAATTGCTTCATACCTATATGCCTATTTTTAATAGTGAATATAGATATACGAACAATTTTTCATGTCTTTATCGTTGAATGTAAATAATCATGCGTTTATATATATATATATATATCTTACCTGATTTTTCGGCAACTCATGAGCCAAAGATCGATCCATTAGTGATTGTGGGTGAATACCACGTCGCTTTTCGTCATCTCCCTGTATGATTCAACATTATAATAAAATAAAACTATTTTAAAGTAGATCTCTCTCCCTCGCTCTCTGTCTCTCTTGCTTGTTCGAATAGAAATAAAATTCATAAGAAGAAAGCAGCAAGTATATATATTAAGACTACAAACAAAAAAGGCACCACACCTGTTCCCAAAATTCGTCCATGATTATATTGACAATATTTTCTTGTATAGGCCACGGTTTATACATCGCACATAAATCGACTGCTGTCATAGATAATGATTGCAAATGTCGACTGGAACAATAAAATACATGTGTACAATGAATATCATTATACGATGCAATTTTGTGTAAATATAGGTTTAATTTAAAAATAGGAGATTTCATTTTTTTTTCTTAATAGCATGTGAAGTGAATGCTGCTTTCTTATTAGACTTGATACGGAGAGCAAGAGAGGAAAACAGAGAGAAAGAGAGAGAGAGAGAGAATAAAAGAAAATTTAAAAGATAGTCAATCACCTGTTGGAAGAACTCTTCCATGATGATGCTCACATTCGACCGCTGTACTTCCCATTGTTTAAATGAAGAGCATAAATCAGCAGCGGTCATACTGAGCCCCATCATCAATTGCCTAGATATAAGAGGAAAGCAATCAAAAGATAATATTATTGATCATAACGACAGAATCATTGAAGTCATGTAGAATTTTCAGAATAGAATAAAGAATAAAGAGATGAGCAATGATAAATTTGAATACTTGAAATGTATGTTTTCAATTGTTGTTTGACATGGAAAATGATACATATATTCAACTTACATATGATCTTTGTTGTTCCAATCGAATTGGCAACTTTCAACAATACGTTCAAGCTTTGGACGATTTTCAAAAAATAAAACTAAATCTGTTGCCAATATACAATGACGAATTTCGTCTAGCATTTGTCGATATTCTTTTGGTGAAAAATGTTTAAATATATTAAGACTTTCCGTCTAAATATGTCATGAATTATTTTAATTATTAAATAAGAATTTTCTTCTGAGTGTTATTACTTGTAATATGGTTACTGTTTGATTAAAATGATGTCGTTCCATTGTTGATGTTGAATAAATCGAAGCAAGAGTCGAAGAACTTTTTACCATATAATCATTAGTTTTACCACGATGATCAAGATCATGGCAAAGACAAGCAACAAACAGGGCGATACACTAAATAAAATGAAGATACACTAGTTTTTAAAATTACATTTATATTAGTATCTTTTATGCGCCGACTATAATATATTTTCAATACAAAAAATCTTACACAATGATCGATTGTTTTTAAGTGAAACCTTTTACTATTGAAAAATCCTATGAAGATTATAAAAAAAAGTCTAAATCAATCCATATCTGTTATTCTGTCTTGCATAACTGTAGTTATGTTCCTAGTTATTTTATAAAGATCCTTTTGTTTTCTGTCAGATCATTGTTGACATTCACGGTAAAATTCTAACTGTGCACAATGGAATTTCCTTAGAAAAAAGAGCGTCACTTTAAAAAACATCAATGTTTAGTTTAAAATATAAAATTTGTAATAAATGTGTATGAATTGCAACATAAAATTAAATAATTTACTAGTCTCAAACATTTGATAGGTCATGAAAACAAGATTTATTAGAACTGAAGTTTTAAGAATATTCTTGTACTAGTCAGATCTCTCTAATGATAAAGTTTGCACGGAAAATCTCGCCCACTTATTTTCAATTAATAACTAATCTCGGCGAAATCTAAATCTAAATGTGTCTATGATTCTTTTTGTTCTATAGAATTATAATCATAATCGCAAAAATTGATTCAAAGGGTATTCGAAATAATGTATAAGTTCCTATTCTACGATATTCTATTGTAAAATATGAATCAAATAAGATGAGTGAAAAATAAGTTAGACTACGTTTTAGATCTGTTATTTTTTCAATTAGAATCATTGAAGAAAATAAAATTATTTTAAAATGGGTTGATCATATGACTTAGTTTTCTAGAATTTGATTTCTCACCCATAGAAATAGATGAACTATTAGTTTAAAATAGTTCTAGAAAGTTGAAGCTTAATGTTTATGTTTTTTTTTCTCTATGAATAATATATTTGTTTCTTACGAACCTGATTTGCTGTAAAGTTATGTTTAGTCTCTTTTATCACAGTGTAAATTGCATGTGCCACACTGAATGCATGTGACCAATTATGATAAGGAACATTTCGATAATTTTTTCGCACAGTTAATGTAAATCTTATTAAACATTCCATGTCAAATCTACAGCGAAAAACAAATATCGAGGTCAATAAAAGACAAATTCATAAATAGTTAACTTACTTATTTAGATTGGATGAATCCGAAGCGGTTAAATCACGAAACATATAAAGAACATAGATTGGCTTCATATCATTCGCAACGCTCCATGGAGAAAACTCGAATTGTTTCAGATTTGGAATGTAGCTTGGGAGTGTAGATATTTTATAACGTTCATATTCTTCATCAGTGCATGATGCATGATACGATAGAACTTCAAGAGCTACTTTACATTTTTGTTCTGAACGACGTATACGATCATAGAGTGATGCATGATGTAGAGCTAAAAAGGATTGAAGACTAGTTAATTTCTTCACATAATACATTAATAATTAAATAGAAAAACACTTCTTATATAAACATTCTTAATTAGTTTTCTTTGTATTCTTTTCAAATCCATTTTTTATTTTTAATTCTCATCTAATCTAAACTTTTTCTTTTAGAAGTTAATAATTAACCATCTAAAAGATAAAAAAAAAGATGAGTCTCATAGTAAAACATACCAAGTCCACAATAAACAGCAAATGTTTCAAATGATTCTTCGTCGCTTTTAGTAAAATGGCCATTTCTTTTATTTACCATTTGAACAACACCAATTACATGTCCCTGAATCATTATTGGCATACATAGAAGCGTTTTGGTTTTATAACCTGTCTTTTGATCGATATCTCTATAAAAAAGAATAATGTAAATCGTTTCAATTAATAATATAAATGTCTAACCGATTAAATCTTTCATCACTATAAGCATCAACAATATTCAAAGTTTTTCCAGTTGTTGCTACGTAACCAGCTATACCTTTGTCCATGGGAAAACGTATACAAGCATGTTCATCAGATGATGACTGCTTTTTTGTTAGTTCATTTTTATCGTTAACTAATGATGAATCAAGTATATCATGTTCTTCACGTCCTATATCAAATATTCGTGCGTAAAGTTCTTTTGTACGAGAATCCACGATGAACAAAGAAGCACGATCAGCATTAACCAACTTTTTTGCGTAACTCATTATCTTAAGCATAACAGCTTCCATACTAACAAGTTCTTGAAAAATTGATTTAGTCACAGCCAATAGAAAATCATTTAATCGTCGTTCTCGTGTCATTGAATGATAAAGCTAAAAGGCAAAATAAAATCAAAAAACAGATATTTTTATATTGAAAGCTATACAATAATTATTAGCGGTAGCTATCTTCGTTTTTTCTCAACGAATTTCGACAGCGTAGAGGTTTAGAAGAAAAAAAATTAGGATAGATGATCAAGCAGCGTATGCAAATCAAAAATAAAAACGAAATCGTTGTACAAATACACACAAACGTGAAAAACAAATTCGATTTCAAAATTAAATAGAGATAATTAATTAGGATATGTAATACCTCATAATATGTTTGGGTGAAAAGCTCATTCACGCATTTTAGAGTTTCCTGAAGTAAAAGAGAAAATTAGTATATAAGAAGAATTTTACTAGAAACAAAAAACAGCTAATATACATATGTAATACTACTGTATTTTTATCACAAAACAAAAATAAAACAAATATTCTTTTCCCCATAGAGATTATTGTTTTTATATAGAACTAGTTCATAAAATTATACACGTACAAAAATACATATTCTTCTATAGAATCTATTACAATAGCCACTTACTTCTTCATCTTCGACGGTAAATGGTAACGTACTGCCAATACGAAAAAATTCAACTGCACCTATTTATAAAAGAAATATATTCATTGAATTTTCGGAAGAAGTGCTAGCCATATTCATACCGAGTAGAGTACCAGATGTATTAATGATGGGATGGGCCATAACTGCAGTTACTTTATCATCTTTCACATAGAGTCCATCAGGATATTTTGTTATATCAAACTTTATTTTTTTTTATTCAAAATTAGAAAAACAGTACAAACAAGAAGATATTCGTTTATCTTACCAGAGTTGTATCACTAATTCGAACGGTTTCTTTTGACCAAGCAACATAACCAGCAAGACAATGACCGGGTCCAATATTGATTGGAATAAAACATGCTGCTTGTTCACTGGAATAAACAATAATCAGTTATATATTTATGTTAATCATTTTTTCATTATCCTGAAAGTAGTCAAGATTAACAATCGAGTCTTATACGGAACCAATAGAAATAAAAGATAAATCTTCTTGAGTGAGATTTTTTTTTAAATCTTGATAGCATGCATAATGAATGAATTTAGCAAGACATAATTAACTTTTTTTCCTACTGGATGGTTCTTCATAAGAAAAAGAAAGAAGTGGCGGAAAATTTATTTTTATGCTCGGATATGAGTTGAGACGTTCATTCTTAGTGTTTCAGGAAATAGTTGAGAATTAAATTTTATTTTGCTATCAATTTGTCTCAAGACATAACCGTTCGCATGTCAGTTGAGCTGACAATTCTTTCTGAATCAAACAAAAGTTTTTATTTCATACACAATGAGGAAAAAATGACTTATTCTTGGAAAAATCATGCTATACTAAGACGTCCAGAGTAGAACTTCAAAAGGATTATGAAGTTAGCTTGTTCCATCAATTCTTTTTTTTTTTTTTTTTGATTATAAATTGTCCTTGATTCGTTTCTTTTTTTATTAAGGGACAACAAGATTGACTAGAGCCTAGGCATTTTCTATTGCTTGGAAAATATATAACATTTTTTCTCTCGTCTCTTCTATCATTTTGACTAGAAAAGCAAGCATTAATAATAATAATATATTCTGATTACACTGGTTATCATCGATTTCGATAAGATACTGCTTGAATATTCTAATAATTATTTGTCATCATCTAACATGAATTGTTCAGTAGTTTTCATTGTTTCTTAATTAATTTGTTATCTTATTGAAACATATATCAGAAGTTGATATGTGTTCTTCTACTATTTTATCAAATTTATCTGAAATATTCTTATTGAAAAATAGAAGTTTTGTTTTCTCTTGTTCTTACATATTGATGTTTATTCGTTTTTGTTTTTGTTTTATTGCCAATAGATATCTACCATGTTATACCAATGCTTTATATAATTATGTCGTCTCAACATACATGCATTTCTTCGATTCATATAGAGATAGTTTTCGGTCTCGATTCAATTATAATCATTATATTAGGGACGTGGAAAAATGCATAGGCCTCAAGAGCAGTTCTAACCGACGGAAATGAATGACAGTTAGAGACAAGCTGAAAAGGTTCGCAGGCATAGAAAAATGAGATTTGCTCAATTCCTTGAGTTGTCCTGTCAACTTTAAGATTCATATCTTTATTTAATATAAAGAACGGATGCCATCGATCTTTCAACAAACTAATAACTTACTCATCATTATCTGCAGTAAATAATCGTATACTAGTGCCAGTTTCATCAACCAAATATAAATTGAATCCATCAGCTGATACAGCTAAAATTAAGAATAAAAATAAAAATGCCATTATATTCTTATCAAACATACGAATAATTTTAACTCACTTGACGATATAGATTTACTTAATTCATATAAAATTTGAGCTTTGCTGACATTTTGATTAACTTCATCGGTGAGTTCATGTAATAAACGACGTTTATCATTTAATTCAACTAACTATATTGACATGCTACTTATGTATACAAACAAAACAAAAAACATACGGAAAAAGAGATTCTTACCGTATTCATTGATTTCACCGTCGTTGATGATAGCTGCTTGATAGTTTGTGATGATTTTTTTCTTTTAACATCTAAATATAACAAGAAAAATTAAACGAAAGAAGCATATTCAGCCATAAAAATTCGCAAACACGATCGTAAATCATCGAGCAAGTCATATAAATATTTGATGATTAAAAACAAATAATAAGATTTCAACGTATTTTACCATCAGTTTTTATTATTGACGTTGAAGTATTATTTTTATTTGATGAATCAATTGGAGTTGATGTCGATGTTGATGAACTTATTGAAGATTTTTTCTCAGGTCTTTTTGATAGCCATTGTTCAATAGTATTTGTATGAACATTTTGTTGTACATAAGAATCAAGAAATTCTGGATGTTCACCGAGATATGCTCCAACAGAGCTGGCAGTTAATGAAGAAGGTGACGATTCAGAGTTAGCTATAATGATAAAAAACATCTAATTTAGTTTCAATCAAGAAATTATCAATAAATATTTATGACAAGTTAATCAAATCAAATTCGTTTATATCCACTTAGAAGATTTTGATTTCCTTATAATTTTTTTTTCCATTCCCAACTTCTTTTTTCCTGTTTTTCTGATGGTATATCTTATTACAAAGATCATTTTCTTTTTACTTCCCTTTTTCTTCTTCTTTTTAAATACATGCTTGACAATGTAAGAAGCATCTCTCATTATTTCCTGTATGCTTTCAAATAGCTAATCATTATTGTATATGAGAAGTAGTAGTAACGATGACTTGTTTTGTTTCATTCTGTGTCATCATGTGAAAAAGAAACACACACACACACACACACACCTATTAGAAACGCATACGCATCAACTTCTCACCACTTCAATTAGTTTGTGTGAAGCGCACATGAATACAGACTTTTTCTATTCTCATATACGCATGCATGTGCATAGATGCACTGGTATATTCATTTTTTGTAATGTTTAAGAATATATTACTGTCTATCCGTAATACAAGAAAAAATAATTAAGTAGATCTTAGAAACATACCAGACTTTTTGGTAGATAGTGTTTTCTTTTTCGAAAGATTTGGACGATCTGATGATGTATGAGCTGAAGTACAGCATTTGATTAAATTCATGGTGATTGTTGTGGTAAATGGTGTTATTGATGAATATCACAAAAAAGAAATGATGGAGAAAAAGCTCGATGAGGTACGAATGACGAATTGCGACATATGTCATGATCGACGGAACTGCGCGTCTTGAAGTGAAAACAACAATAAAAACAAAAACATGCGGACACAACCAATGACAATAAAATCCAAAATAAATATATGGGCAATAATGCTGTACGAACGTTTAAAACAGAAATGATGATGCTGATGCTGAAGCTGATTATGGTGGCAAAAGAAAAAATAGAGGAACGAGCGTCTTTATTGGAAGGCGTAAGCAACTATAGTAGAGAATTGTATGTAGACGATCGATAGTGCGCGTGAGGCACGAAGAACGGTTTGTTTCGCTTACAAGTCAACACCATGAGAAAGAGATGAAGTAATAGTCGTTGGCGTACTCTCAAGCTAGCAGGCCTCAAGACGAGTAATCGAAGCGGAGAAAGAAGGAAGAAGAAAAAAAAGTACCACTACTGCCACAGCAATCTCTTGTTTCCGTTATTCTGTTGCTGGTCTCTTTGACGCGACCCGTTATCAGAAGAGAATGAGAGGAGAAACATGCATCTTTTTGTTACTGCAAGCTATTGCCTAATGCGGCAGAGTAGACCCGGTTTTACAAATAATCATTGAAGATAGAAACAATGATTCTTCAACGATCTTAAAGATGTTGATGCAAAAAAAATGTCCATTACCAATATATTATGAAAAAAAAGTGAATTCTAGTTTTTCTGCGAATAAAATGCATTGTTAAATCAATTAAATCTATTTGATAACAACAAGGTATTATTCGTTCGACCAAATAGAATTATTTTCAACTCAACATACTCAAATATACAAATGCAATTATGAAAAAAGCAGTACAATAAAATAGAGAAATAACGATGAAAACAACTTCAATTCAACGCTCGTAATAATATTTCAGTATATGTAAGAATTTTCTTTAGAGATAATATGTAAAAAATAATTTTATAATCAACAATTCGAGTGTTCTTTAATTTTTTTAAAAGACAAAAATAGAATCATGAAGCAATTATTTTTAAACGAGAAAAAACATAATCTACCTGACTATGCTGTCACTATCAGAAATGCAAATACCCTATGAAGGATAATATTCTACGAATAATCAAATTAAATAGAAAAAAACTAAGATAGAACCAAGAAAAAGAAAGTTCGTATAGAAATAATCAATAATTATCGATCGATAGAATCGGAAAATCAAGCGACGAAAGTTCCCGTTCATAACAATCAAATTAACTATCGAGTAGTATATGACAACAACAATCATAAAAACATCGAACAATTGATCTTTCGGTCACTATTGATGCAAAAAAATCACGACGAACAAAATTTTAATCGAAAAGCAAACTTTAAAAACTAATATGTGCCATTCAAGTGCATACTTGTTGATGAATCAAGCATAAATAGTCTTTTAACTGGATTCTTTCGCTTAAACATTCTAACATGTATACGCCCCTTGAAAAATAACAAAATCTTTCGATAAGTGATAAAAAAAATTTTCTTATCCTTCATCTAGTTTATTGTTAAGATTTCTAGTGTACTCATTTACTTTGAATATTAAAAGTTAGTGTATCAAAAGATCATGATTTTGTTTTTCATTTTAAAACATAAATGAAAGGCAGAATTTAGTATTTTAACAGATTTTAAAGTAGAATTCAGAACATTAAAGTCTCTATAGCATTAGTTAACACATAATTGAGAAAAAGTAAAGTAAATTTTTCTTATTTCATATTTATTTCATATTAATTAAAATTATTAATTAGTTTGAGTGAAATTAAAGATATATGCTTGCATATATCTTTACTTGGAAGTCTTCGTTCAAGTGAACAAATGAATAAATAAAAAATATTAGAGAAAACAAAAAAGGAATAATAGAATAAACATCGAGAAAAAAGTCAGTCATCCGTAGGCAAGCACGCTATGCTCAAATCCGGATATAGAAATGAGAGCGAATACGATGCAGCTAAGAAACGCACTTATTTCCGTTTCTCTTTGATAAAAAAAAGATACTGTCATGAACATGGCTTTGACAGATGGAGCCACATATATTTGTGTATCAATATATCTATATATCTATCTATACATATATATATATATATATCCAAATAGATTTATAAATCTGTCAAAGCTTATATCGTTAATTGATTTGATCGGTCTGTTGTATATTAATATGAAAAATATCTTACCGAATTTAAAGCGTTTGAACGGCGGTGAAGAATCATGATGGTCATCATCTTGTTCATTCTTATAACTTGAATGATCATGATAATCATCATCATCATAATCGTCCCTATCTGCCATGAACCACCAAGAAGATTCGAAATGATGGAGCACCGTTTTTGGTTATGAAGTTATACTTCGCCTTTTCTAGGTTTTTTTTATCGGCTCGTCTGCGTTTCTTTTTCAATCAATTTGTTTGAATGAGGTAAATAATAATGTTGATCGGATTTAGTATGTGAGATGGTCGTCACATCGCTGCCGACAAAGAGAACACTCGCCTATATAGAGAATGCATACGGCAATGTGCGCGTTCTATTCCTCTTCGCTCCTTTTCTCACAAGCAACGTTGTCGTTCTCTTGTTTTTGTTATAATTATGGCGGATGAATATAAAAAGAGAATGAAGAAACGGGCAAGCAAATTCAAGGAGAGAGAGAGAGAGAGACAAGGAAAACAAACTAAATGGAAAGAACACATACCAATTGCACGTCCAGAGCTGAATCAATAATTATTACTCTGTCTCGACCATGAGAAATAATAAGAGTAATAAGGATAACAAATCAGAAATATGAGATAAATCTTTATTTATAAAACCATTCAACAGCCAAACAAAATTGCATGAAAACAACTCGAGTTTGTTTTACGCAATTGATATTGTGTTGAAATATTAATATAGCGTAGTTGTTGTCACATTTCTGCAGTTAACATTTTTGTGATAGATAATAGCAAAGACAATAATCACATTTTCTTCTTCGTCGACTCCTGTGTTAACTCTCATAGAAAGTTTCATTTCGTTTATCTCTTATTTTTTTTTGTTTCTTTCTAAGAACCATTAAAAAAAACCACCATCGATGCTTATAGACTAGCGATGAAAAACAATGTGCTTTTTTACCTAATATAATGTTTATGTCGAAAGAAGAAAAAATATTAACCCATATAACCGTTATCATAATGTATATTCATAAAACGGCAAGGGTATACTAGATTATTTCAATTGAAATACATAACTCACCTGGGAAATGGCACAGCATCAGTAGTAAATAAAATTTGATTAATCAAGTTGAATTTTGATGTCATCTATCAACATATCTATAATAAAACTAATTTATTCAGTTGTATTTCTTTTAATAGGAAAATTTTTATGAAACTTCTGAGCAAAAAATCATGTTCAAGACTTAGTGTATGAAAACAATATTCAACTATCTATTCTATCAACGTTTTACATTCAGATTTGATGAAAATTACTTCCTTTTTTTACTCTAATATTCTTTAAGAAATTCTCATAGGACAGATAGATATGTGCAATAGAGGTATTATGTCCAAATCTAGATACAATCCAGTTTTACATAAAATTAAAATGTAGTAATTTATCTAATCTTTCTTCAATAGTGTCCATTCAAGTTTTCCAATCAATATTTATAATGAAAATGCCTGCTGAGATTATTTAATTATTCATATGTTGTTTTTTATGCATTTTAATAAAGTAAATCTCATTGAAAGACGAAAAAGTCTTTTTCTTTGTTTTTTGTTTTCTCAGAATAGTTTTTACTCGTTAATACGTAAACTTTCTATTGAATTTTTCAGTCAAATCTATTTAAATTGTTTCTCAAAATTTTCAAATCGATATCATTCATGTTTTTAGCAAAGAAGAAAAAAAACTCCCTTTGACATTTCTTTAAGGTCATACAAACATTAGTTTAGTTTGCTTTATTGTATCAAGTAAAGTAATTCACCAATGTGAACTTTCTTAATAATTAATTCAATTTTTGTATTGAATCCAGCGCTGAACGAGTTTTTTTCTTCATATAAATTCAATGGCATGATAACCTTGATTACAAAAATTAAAGTAAACAAAAATGAAAATCATTATTCTTTAGTATCTAATGAAAAGAGAGAACGATTTCTTGAATTCTTAACAAAATGTCGCATTTTTCAATGCTTTTGTTTTTTCTTATTGATTTTATATCGTCTTATTACTAAGGCAGTAAAACGTTATTTCAAGAACAAAATAAATATATTTCAATGGTTTATTCGTATTTATTTTCAGGCCTTAAATCAAACATATGTTTATTTAATACATTATATCATCAGATAAATTAGGAAGATATTTCTTGTCGTATGTTTTTCCTCCATATTTACTATCATTGCCGATTGTTTCGCCGTCAACCAAATCATCGTTCTTAAGAAAAGAAAAATATGAAACGAAAACAATAATATTTAAAAAACAAATATTAACCAGCTACCGTATTTTTGCCTTCATGGTAAGGTAATAGTCGAAAGAAATTACGTCGAAAACGCCATTCTGTTACAGCCCGATTATTTCTATCTTCATGTCGATGATGATCAATTTTGTATGATGTCTAAGACAACAGAAAATTTTCGGAACAATTCTTTGTTGTAACTTACTATCGTAATAACACAAAAGATAAGTATTAAAAGGCAAAATCCAAATCGCACTATTGACATCGGTGAGAAATTCATATGCATCTTACTCGCAATGAACAAGAACGTATAAGAGAAGTAGTTTTTCTCAACGATCTAGAGACACTTGTCGGTGTGGGTGTGAATACGTAAACTGAGCGTTCTGATTAAAAATATAGAAAAAAACATGATGCACTATTCGATTAGATTTGACAAACTGTAAAATATTCATGACTATAATAAAAAGAAAATAAAGGAATGTTGGATTTCTCAATGGATTTCTCGATTATTTTTATGTTCGATTAAACCCCTACACAGAATAGAAGCCCATCTCCTGGGCTAGATCTGTCAGTTGAAAATTAAGGTTTACTTCATGAAAAATGAACTAAAACCGATGACAAATGAAAGGATGAACAGTTCTCTATGAAATAACGAAAAAACTGGCATCAGGGTACGCTTTGTTACAAAATTATAGCTTGCGGAACAGAGACACCACCTATGGGCTTTTATTCTGTAGGGGCTTTAGCGGAAAAATAAAAAAATCTAATTTCGCTCTGTTCACACATGAATGCAATCAATTATAACAGATAACAACACATGTTCAATCTTCGTATAAGTATATATATATTGCTGCTGAATTGCTTATCAATCCAAAACGAAACAGTACAAATTATATTCAGTTTTATTTTCAAATGACTTAAATATTTGATATTCTAACAAATTATTCATAGAAAAAAATAATTGCTTTTACACATAAAATTGAGCATGTGAACATTATTTATATTACAAAAAAATAATACAGGTTTTATCACACGAAGATAATAATTCATCGGTTACCTAAGTAATTGCTGCTGTCAACACGTAAGCAGTATCATCTATTGAACTATGTTTGTAGACAGCAAAAATAAGATCGAAAGAATTGTAGTTTGAATTATGTTTGAAAACAAACAAAAATATGATAGTTTTCTAGATAATTAAAATAACTATTAAATGATACATGGCAACCAAAATGTTATTATCTGATGCAGATTATTTTTAATACTAAAGAAGAATTAGTAAAAATAGGGATTGTTCACTAGACACTTTTAAAAAACAAAAAGATTAAATATAGTAACAGAAAAATTCATAAATGCTAAAGTGTACCACAGTATTTTATTCTGGCGTAGTTTATAAAAGAAAGAGAAAAAAAATATTATTTGCATGAATCTACACGTATTTGTCGTTACGAGTATAGATGATTGAAATACTTCTGTTAACAAGAATTTCTCATTTCATACACAGCCTTCTCTGATTTGTTTGTCTGCAAATGTTAAAATTCTGTGTTTGAACTGGTTAAAAGAATTGAATATTGTAATGTAAAATTATTTATTTCATTTTAGTTTTTAATCACTATCTTGCGATTGGGAATAATCATCATTTGGTGTAAAATTTTGCTCGTATCTAGTAGTTGCAATCGTGATGACTCCATGGTAAAAGACAATATACGTCTAATATTTGAGGGTCTGTTCCTAAAATTGTATCAGTTCATATGTGTCTTATTCATGGCGAACAGAGCAGTTGATTATCAGCAGATGTCAAGAATTATTGTTCGCTCATTTTTATATCGTATGACATTGAGTTTCAATTAACTCCAATAGTTAAGTAAAACTCATGAAAATCAATTACATATAATGCAAAACTCGTTTCCCTTTTATCCAAACAAGACAACTGAGTGCGTTTCATCTTTTGCAGATACAAGGTCACAAAGAAAAACTATCCATGAATCTTTAAAGATTTAGCTAGAGGCATGATTAAATTATGCATATACCCAAAGGACTTGATTGGCTCTAGCAGAGGAAAAATCTTTTAGAATAATAAGTTTCTATTTTTTTCTTTATACTTGATTCGGATAGAATAATTTGATCAAAGTTGAAATAAAAAAAGGTATCTGAGGAAAAATAATCAAAGACTTGCATGGACTCACATATGTGAAGATAAAGCTCTCTAGGAAAAAAATTAGCAGACGCAAAAAAAATAGAAACTACTTTCGGATACTTATTGTCTGAGTATTGAAAAAAAAGTGACTTATTTGCTATGTGCAACCTGTGATAAATCATTAATGTTTTTTTATCAGCTTGACTCATGTATTTTGATAAAATTGTTGTTGACTTGATCATGTCTTTGTTAATAGTGGATGAATGCATCTATTGAACTCGTTTTGATTGGATATTCCTATTTATTCACACATGAATACAAGTTAATGCCTTTTTCAGAATAAAAATTTCTACTAAAACGGTGACTGAATCGATGTAAAATACGCGACAGGATAATCTGAATAATAATAAATATTTTCAGTGCTTGACAGTGTAAAAGTAAATCTTCAATAATATACTATATAGTTTTATCATGGGAATAATTTTGTTTGTGGAAAACACAAACTTTTATCTCTGTTTACAGAAATAGATCTTCAGTATCGTCCATTGCATGTGTGTTTTCGCTCGGAATTCAAAAATTTTACATTACCTTTTTCTGGCAAGGTCATAGAATTGTATGATGATAAATTTTGGACTCATGTACTGGTTGCAACAACGCAGAGTTTCTAGTCTATTTCATTGAACACTATTTTCCAAAACTCTGTTCACTATATATTGTGTCAACTTTTGTTTTTAGAGATTTTGGTCGAACGATTCGATGGAACAGAAAAAGTCTCGCATGAAGAATAAATTTCTTTGTTAGAACCTTATCAATATTCGTTTCAAAATATTGATAAATTTGAAGACAAAAAGGGGCTGTATGCTCAAGTAGATCTACCTGTAAGATTGATTCATTTAGTTTGAACAATTTCAATACATTATAATTATAATGAAAATTTTTTTTTCACATTTTATCATAGCAAAAGAAGAGACCTACTGTTCGATGTAGATTATATTTTATGTTCACGTTAATAATAGCGTTCAAAAATATTGAACAAGAAAAACACCGAAGAAACATACAATTTTAAATAGTCTTTTTTTTTGGTATTTTCATTCTTTTTGTTTTTGTGTATCTTCCACTAGAATCAGTAAAAGATCATTTGATCGTCCATACTCGTTGAACAATGATATGTAGCTAGTTATGAAGAATTACTGGTGTGTATTTTTTAGAAGAAGATTATTTCTAAATAGAATTTTTGTTTATAATTACTGCCACACAACTGGATAACACATTGCGCACACGATTGATCTTCCTTGCTTGTTCATACTTTTCTATCCATGACGCTTTCAAGCGTATTGATTCATTAAATTTTTTGGCTTAACTGTCGTTTTTTGTCTTCTACAATGATAGTGACAATGAAAGCATACCTCATTGTCGATAGTTCGTAGCATTATGACAAATATTGCACTTCATGTGATTTTCTTTCATGATTGAGTACTACAGAAGCTTAAACCTTTCCAGAAAAAAAAGGTCGATGTAATTATAGTAGATGGGGCTGCGTTGTAAGCAACCATTCGATCTATACTATTCTGCTCGCTCGTTGTCTATTACACGACTGTACTGCAAATACGCCGTTTATCTCGGCTACATCAACATTTATTTTATTTAAATATTTTAATTAACAAAAGTCGTGTGAATAAATAAAAAAGAGTTCTCATCAATACAAAGAAAATTATAATTTAATTATGGAGGAAAAAACGTATTGATTTTCTTTCTCATGAGTATTCATGAAATTGGACGGCGTGTGAACGTTGCATGTCAACCATAGAATTTTATCCATATAGTCTTTTTTCTTTTCTCTGATGCTCTTACGTCGTTCGTCACATCACTGATAGAGAAAGATAGAGAAAAAAATGAACTGGAATCTTGACATGAAGGAACAATGATTTTTTTGTCTCTCGTACGATTGTCCGGGAGAAAAAAACCTCTTTCTATTGAAAAAAAGAGCAACGATTGCTCGTGACATTGTGCAGTCCTTCTTATTGCTCCCTAGCGGCATCGATATACATTTTATAATGCCTACAAAAACATCTGTATCATCAGGTTTACAAAAAGCATTTAGTAAATATTCTAAATTTGGTAAAACTCAAGCACAATTAAGTGATCATTCTGTACTTCGCATCGGTTCAGCTGCTATACAAAAAATGATGAAAGATTGCTCCTTAATTGATACAAAATATACATCACAATTATTAGATAATGATATAGCACGTGTTCTTGGAAAATTAACAATCGGTTCCAATGAAGCTAAGTCAATTCATTATCCGAAAGGAACGTAAGAAATCTAATATGTATATTCTTCTCAAATAATTTTCATAATTTTCTTTTTTTTTTAAGAAAAACCTTTGAAATTAAAGGTTTTAAAGCATTAATTGATTGCATTGCCGAGTCTAAAGGTGTAAGCCACGATGAAATCTTAACTAAAATCAATGCAAATGAAGGTCCGAGTCTTAATCACGTTACTGAAACAACCAATAGACAAATAACTGATCGTATGACGGACACCACACATTATACGTAAATATTTAGAAAAATAAAAATAAAATTATTCTTTCGGTAATATTTAATGCAATTGATTTTTATTATTTTTAGAGGCACGCACAAAGAACGTTTTGATGAAGAAGGTTATGGAAAAGGTAAAGACGGTCGCTCCGATGAAATTGAATCCACGGGTTATGTACAAGGTTTCAAAAATATTAATCAATCATCGTCAATAAAAAAATGCATGAATTGAAAAGAAAAGAAACTTTTTCTACGTCGTTCATCTTATACACTTTGAATACTATATAAAATTTATAATTGAATATTAGCAAAGTGTTGTTTCGCTTGTTTTTGATTTTATACTTGTATTCGATGTACCGCGAGACATAAATTGATTTGTTTTTTTTCGTTTGTTATCAAAATCTAATAGCAAATCTTTATAGCCATCAGCATCAACAGGCATCATTGAAGTTCGTCGTATCGGTTGCTGTGCTGTTGTTAATGGTCGTTCGTGATGAAATATTTCTAAATCTTCATAATCAACAAATGATGCTCGTGAACGAAGTTCAGCCAATTCCGAACGACAAATCGGTTTACGATTAGCTGGAAATCGTTGTGGAATCGATGATGGTGTTGGATATTCATTAGTAACAAATTGTGGTGGTGGTGGTGATGACGGACGAGAGTCTATTGAAATTAAGTCAGGTGCAAGTTGTGTTGAAGCTAAATTAAGGTTTTGATTCGATCCGGATAAATTTTTCGGTCCAGATAAATCAATATCGCGTTCCCAAGCAAGAGTTTCAAGCATATGATCAAATTGTGCTTTAGGTTTAAGAACAACAGATTGATGTGATACACGACGAAGACGAACATGTTCAGCTGTTGTTTGTTGTTCTTTTAATAAATATAAAACAAGTTTTCCGACTCGCTATTCAGAAAACATATTATTTTTTCTTTCAGAACAAATCTAAATAATCTTAATTTTACCTTCCAATTACTAATAGCGCCTTTCCGTTGAGCTGCTTTACTTTTTGTAACTCGTTTGATAACCATAATATCTCGTTTATCATCAGCACCAATGGCATATACACCTTGATAATCAAATCGTTGTTTTGCCGAACAGGATCTTTCTATTGTTAAGACAAGTTGAGCCCACTAATACAATAGAAGAAGAAGAAGAAGAAGATAGAAACATTCAAATTAATCAGCAAAAAACTAAATTTTATACTTGACGAATACGTTCCTTTTCACTAATAGTAATAATACGTTGATATGTATTACCCATTGAAGCTATTAACATATTTAATAAAAGTATAGGTGTTAAAATCATAAAAACGATAAATAAGATTTTAACTAAATATGAATAATGTGTTGAATCAAAACGAGAAAACTAAATTAGAAAGAAAATTTAAATTTAAATTTTCATATCAGAAGTTCGACATACATCGAATTCTCCCATTGTAAAATGAACCATTGTCATCCATGCTTCAAAATTTTTAAATGAGCACATATTTTCAACTTCACATGTATCATTAGGTGATAACTGTAGACAATTACCACCTTCGCTTGTATCTCGAAAGAGTAGATAAAACACTAAAAGCAACAAAAAGAACCGGTATAATTATTAACTTGATTAACTAACTATCCCTAGCAATGGCATGCATGCAATAAGATAATTAGTCTCGAATTCCTACACTTATGTCTTTAATTTATTATATGATGATGCTTGACCTTCAGTTTCGATGTGTAGCATATACTAGACCAAGGTTATTTATCTTCTTTTTATTATTAATAAATATTTTATAAAATTGAATGATACTTAAACAGTATCAATGAAATTCTCGTTGTCACAATCAATGAGATATGTCTTTGATCGAAACTTGATAAAAATCAGCATCATATCAATAATCATTTTGGGAATAAACGAAGAAAAGAAGTTGTCTTTTTGCTATTCATGCTACTAAGATTAATATTGATTTTAGTTCACGCAGTGAATAGAAATGCAATAATATCGATTTCATTCATTGATAGTTGACAGTGTTACATATCTCCCTAATAGTAACTAGCAGAATAAATATCTAGCACAAGCTTATCTAACGTTTTCCATTACAATACACACGTTTAAATGTTAGAATGATTCTTTCATAATTAATATTAGGCAAAAGTATTTTTTTGTTTTTATAAATTTTTTTACCTTGCCCAAAAGCTGTTATAACAATGACATAGATAACGCCAAATGTTGCAATATCTCCCGTAATCATTTCAAATATCATAACAATAAATGCACCAGTTAAGGCATAAATTCGTCCAAAAAACAGAAAATATAAAAATGTCCCGGGTACAGCCAGTGATACAAGACCATCTTCAACATAACCAAATGCAATATTTTTTGTTGCTAAATAAAGTATACGAAATGGTACAGCTAGAATAATAAGAATACATGAGCATTGAAAAAGTAATTTTTCTGGATAGCTTTTCTATAAAAATAAAAGTAATTTTCAAAACAAAATCTATTTTATTTTATTTTCCTACTAAATTTTGTAAATAAGAATTAAATCCTTGTAAATAAATTTCTTTTGCCAATAATGAAAATATACTGATAATACAACCACATAAAACGCATACTTCAGCAATATGACAGAAAATTTTTTTAACTGATAATTGATTATCTTTTGGATTACGTAAAAATATTGCTGTACTTAAAAAAAATAAATGAACACAAAGTAAAATTAATTGTCGAACAAAATGAACCTTGAATAAAAAAAAGAAAATATTCTAGTAAAATGATTTTTTTTCCAAAATTTACTCGAGCAAATGTCGACCATTTATCATTTAATAGACGTTCAATGAGCATATTGTCAAGCATATCTAAATGGTTTTCGGTTTTACCACTAACAATTGACATTAATGAAGAATTCCAATCTTGAGCAAATAATGAAATAAATGTATATTTTCGAAAAGAAGACCAACCAACCTATATGTCCACCATCCGCGATTGTATCAATACCACGCAGTGGATATGTGCAACATTTTATATTTGAATAACGCCAAATTTCCTTTTATAAAAAAAAAGATCATTTTTATTCCAACTGAACTAAAGAGAAATGTTTAGTTTTGTCCGAAGAAATTAAAACTTTTCCATTATCAAACTAGGAATGACATATCTTCTTTAGAAACTCTAATTTGGTTAGTTTTGCTTGTTCTTTTTTTAATTTCATAATATCTCAATTATTTAAATATAACCCAGTGAACTCTCTTATGGTATGCACTATCAGTAAATCTTCAACGATAGACTCTGTACAATTCAAATTACAAATATGATGTTGATTTGTTCTATTTTGACTAAATATCTATCACAATTTGTAAGACTTTTGAAATTTATCGCTCTAGATTTGAATAAATTGTTTAATATTTCAACTAATAAGATTTAAGATAATGCAAAAATGTGAAAATATTTTACCACATGAGATAATTCTAAGCATTGAAGAAAAAGTTCTTTTCGACCAAGTTTAGCAGCTAATGTTAATGAAGTTAATCCTTCATTATTACAAATATCTGTAAGTGCTTTTTTTACTGGATGTCGAATAGCATGATTAAACATCTCCTAAAATTTATGTAGTTTCTATTCTGTTTAAAAATTCAATAGATTATTTCAAATATTTATAGTCACCGATCGATCTCGAATAACAAGCATATGTAAAACTGTATTTCCATATGTATCTTGCATATTTGGATCAGAACCATTATCAATTAAATAATCATAAATTTCTTTATAACCAAATGCAGCAGCAAATGCTAGTGGATATTCACCATAATAAGCAGTAGCTTAATTATAATAAATAAAAGTTAAACATCAGTTATAGTATTTTTTGTTCAACGAAAAGAAAATTTCACATACTTTCAGGATTCGCATTTTTGAGACTGATGCTTTTTTGTGATGTCGCATTTCGATGAAAAACTTGTCTAGATCCATTTGCTTTGCCGTTTTTTGTTTCATCTTTACTTCGAATGTGTTCAGACGGGTAAAAATCTCCGACAACACGTTGATTAACGTCAACATTGTGTTTAACCAAAAGTTGAACTGAACTGATATCATTATAAAAAATAGCAATATGAAGAGGAGTTTCACCTAAAAGACAAAATTCAATAAAGTGATTTTCTCATTTCGCTCTCTTCTCATTTCGATAGGAACTGACCGATGACAGTTAATCGATAAGAATTTTGTGGTTTAACAATTAGACCAGTTGAGTTTACACCTTTGCTATTCTGTTCATGATGATTATGTGCTGAATTTTTTTCCGAATAATGTGGATTAGATATTCGACGGAAATCTTGGCTATTGATAGCGACGGGTCTTCCAAAAACATCAAGAAGAGCAGTGTGTGGAATTCGAATGGCCTTCATAAATAGTAAAAAAAAAGGAGCTGAGGATCAGCACAACAATTGTTAATAGCTAAAATAATTTACCATGTGTTCTTTCTCTGAAGTATTTTCTCGTTTAGCTATAATCAAAAGTTAGATATGAACCATATATAGAACAATGCAAAAGGTAATAAAACGTTTTTTTTCTTTTTCTTTCTTTTTCTTTTTTTTCTTTTTCTATGTTTTAGAAAGAATTTCCTTTTGTTCATTTTACCGCTTCCTACATTCTCGATGATAGATGAAAAATTACAGAGCAAAAAATGGCACAACAAATAAGGATTTTTTCTCCTCCCTTATTTAAAGTTAGCACACTGATAAAGACGTTAAATAAATCACATCATTGCATGTTTTCTGTTTCTTTCGCTTTCCCTTGCTACCAATTTTACGTTTGCTGCATTCTGATTCTTGTCATTACGTGTGCGTAAATTAACTTGAATCCTTTACGATCGACAGTGCTATTGCTATTATTACTAGAAAATGAAAAGAAAAAAAATGATTTCTCTTTTTACTTTTCGGGCTCAATCATTGAATGATTGCTAAGCAGTCTGAAGAAAAATATAAGTTTGCAATGAATGCATCTTTCTATATGAGAAAACATGTTAATAAAGTAGAAAAATAGCAATATAGAAAATGTTTTATATGCATAGAGGTAGATGGTAATCATAGTAACTATTCTTACCGGAAATATATATTCATTGGATTGAAAATGCTTGCAAATCTCATAACTATTTCAATTGATAGTTTACTAATTTGCATCATTCTCGTTCGTATGAAAAAAACAGTATCTGCTTATATGTATATGTTCTAATACGAAAAAATGACTTGACTAGATGATGTGGTTTTCCGACTCTTGAAAACTGGGTTTTGGTCAGACATATTTAAATAGAATGAAATTTTCAGAGTGTGTTTAAACACTGCAGTGGTGAAACTATCGTCAAAATGATAATAGGCTGATTTATCAATTCCAAAATTTCAGCAAGTCTTCATCTCACTAGTTTGATGTTCTCTATTTTTCAGCTTCGTAATTTTAACTTTGCTACTAATGATAATTTTTTGAGTAGCTGAAAAACGCTTTTAGAACACAGTATTTCTTAAGTCAATTATTGAGCTTGTTTTTCCGTTTATATACTTGCTACTTTTTGTCTTCGATTAAACAGAAAGATATCTTTAAAAGGGGCTGTATCAGGTTTTACAGATTGGCACGATCTTTTTAAATAAAAAATTACACTTCGACGAGTATCATTTATATTTTTATGTTACCATATCCGATCACGATATGGCTACATATCAAGACGCTAATAAAATGATTTCGACAATATGTTTTGCTTTAGAATATTTATCACACATGGGACAAATAATGTGAAATTCAATAAAATACTTCATAATTTTTGGAAGTTTTCTTTTATTTCAATAGATAATTCATAGATTCTATTTCATTTTTGTAAAAACCGACAACTAAGTTTAGAAAACTTCAATCTTCTATGTAGCAACATAATCACAACATATACAAATCCAGCCAATAAAAATCCAATAAACCAAGCATAAATATAAATTTGATCAATAGCTGTCTTTTCTCGATTATGATCAAGTTGTAAACTTCTAATAAAGCCTGGTATATTTGGTGCAATTCCAACTGCAAGTGATAACATAGCAATCCAATTCATAGCTCGAGAACTATAGAGTGGATACGTATCACAATATAATTCAACAATTTCTAATTTTCGTCTTTTCAATAAATAATAATCACCAATAATTATACCAGCAATAGGACCCAATAACGCTGAATAACCAATTAACCATGTGAAAACATATTCTTCTGAACTAGATAATAGTTTCCAAGGCATTATAACAACGGATAATATGCAAGTTATTAAGCCTCCAGTCTTAAATGAAATATATTTTGGACATAGATTAGCGAAATCATTTGCTGGAGAAACAACATTTGCTGCTATGTTTACGGAAACAGTAGCGATTAATATGCCTAATAAGGAAACAATAGCTATGATGATACGCATTGGTGTTGAGAAGAAAGCACGATCTGGAGAAGTTATAACTGCAAGTAAATAAACAGGATCCCATAAATTTCCTGGTGCATTCACAAGAACATCTTGTGCTGTACTTGTTATAATAACGGCCATAGCACTAAATATGAGCATAGTTAAAGGTAATCCAAGTGATTGGCCAAGTATTTGATCACGTTGACTACGACCATATCTCGTAAAATCTGGAATGTTTAATGCAAGTGTGGACCAAAAACCAATGGTGCCTATAAAACAAAACAAAAACAAAAACAATTAAAATTTACGAATAAAAAAATCTGACTTGTCAATGAAGGTATAAATATAATCCAAAATTCATGAAACGTCTGAAATTTCGATGGTTTTTTTAACATTGAACCTAAACCTTTAGCTTTTACGACCAACCAAACAAGAAGAATAGCAGCCATAATAAGTACAACGGGTGCTGCCCAATTTTCGAATTTTTTAACTGCTTCCATACCATAATAAATAATTATAATATGTACTAATAAACATAAACCAAATGTTAACCAACTTGGTATAGATAAACCAAGAAATGTGAAATTCTGTCCGACATTTTCGTAACCTGGCCAAACAGCTATAACAAATGTTTTAAGAGCTTCACCACCCAAGAACACATTGATGCCAAGCCACTACAACACCAAAAATCATTTTTCATTTTTCTGTTTGATAATCTTTATCTTTGAAAACTTACTCCACAAGCAACAAGCCCTCGAAGCATAGCTGGTACATTAGCACCATAAGTACCAAATGCTGATCGAGCTAAAACAGGAAATGGAATTCCATATTTTGTTCCTGGCTGAGCAATAAGTAAAATTGGAATCAATACAATTAAATTTCCTATTCCAATCGTAACTAATGCTTGAAGCCAATTCATACCACCCGTTATCAAACTTCCACATAAAGCATAAGTTGGTAAACAATGACACATCGAAATCCATAATGCAGCATAATTCCATATTGTCCATGTTCGTTGGGACGATGGAGTCGGTGCAAGATCTTCACTATAGAGTTGACTATTCGTTAATTCATCAGAGAGATTATACGATGGACTTTTACATTGAATAGAAAAGTTTGCCATCTCCATTTTTTCTGATTACGAAGTGCAACGACATTTTTGTTAATGTCTTTCTTTCATTTTCTTATCATTCTACTGGTTTTTTTTTCATTGAAAAAGCACTGAAGATGTATAATCATTCATTTCGAGTGCGAATATGCCATCAACTAATTATGTATTGATTTACTGCGTGAATGCAGTTGTCAATAACCTTTCAATTGTTAAACGAAACCACGTTTTCTATCAGATATGCATGAATGAGATAGCAAAAAGTTTATAAATACAGTATGCTTTTATTTAGTAACTTTAGAGGAAATAATAGCTCAGAAAATAGTTCATGAGTTGTAACAATTATCTATCTAGATCATCGGCGTTTCTCAGTTGAAGGAATATTATGAAAGAAAAAAAATACATCAATATGCATACAAATTCTGTAAGAATAGACTCAAAGCTCGAAACTATATGAATGGATAAGTTTAGATTTCGGTAAAAATTAAAGAAAATCTCCACAACGTTTCAAACATAAATAATACAGAAAAAGATAAGAATTGGAAATAATCTAGTTATTTTCAGCATCAATTAAAGCAATAAGTTTCAAAATTCTTCACTGTTTTCAACACTAAATACAGTATACTAGTGTGGACCGGACCAATAAGAAAATAAGAAAAACCATCATTCAATTTGTACTATTTGAAGACTATTTATTACTAAATTCAACAAATTTTGCAAATTTGCTGTAATACATATGAAATATATTGCGTACTAATGTATATTATGTCTTATAGTTCGTAGCTTAGTTTTTCTACTTCAAAATGTGCAGGATTTTACAACTATCGTATGACCTCTGGCCAGATAAAAGAATAGCAGCTTTCTCATAAAAAAAGGATTAATTCAAAAAGTTTGAAATCTTTTCTTGTTCATACACAGAATGAGAAAAATCATTCGTTGAAGTCAACGCATAGACAGGACACTGAGCAGGGTTTAATTTAATCAAAGATTAATTTCAATGTTATAATCTTTCTAGCTATAAAAACTAGTTATCTACAATATTTTCTTAGTACATATGAAACTTGTTATTTTTTAAAATTTTTTACAAAAAGGATTTTGTTTACAAATCTTACATGAAATTCATCATAAAATTCAATGGCTAATCTTGAATCATCATCTATCAAACGTATTCTTCTTGCTACAAATTATCCGAATTTATTTGCACTTGGTTTATATGATATTGAGATAGAAACAGCTGTCTCTCGTTATTGGTAAGATATTTTCTTCAATCTTTTCGATAATTAATTAATAAAAAATACATACAAAAATCAAAATGATGCCGACTATCTAATTTATACAAATAGATTTAGATCCTTTCGCATTTTTTTCTTATAAAATATTTCTGTACTGTACTGATACACACTGACAAACATAAATTCGAGGAAAACTAGTCGTAGAAAGACGATACAAGGAATTATTTATTATTAAAGCAATATTTGAATAAAATTCTCTAGTGCTTTTAATTGAAATCTTAAACATTGATTCTGTTAGAAAAGTATCGAATAAAATAAATGACTGAAATAAAACAATATCAATGATACAATATCATTTCTAAAGAATTTCAAAAAGATTACACATATACATTACAGAATTGTTACAAAGAATAAATACAATAAGAAGTTTGCGAAGAATTGTATTACCTTCAATTCATAAACAAAAAAGATAAACAATTATTAACTTATTTCTAATGATTTCACTATTGTATTAAAATTAAAGTAGTTTACTTGTTAAGTAATTGAGAAGTACTTCTTCTGGAAAATCCATAAGTGTTAACGAATAAAGTTGAGGATAATTGACAGTATGAAGAACACGCTCCATTGAATATTGTTCAACAACGAGTTCATTCACCTGATCATAAATTCGAGGTAAGATATTTTTACAAATTCTATCAAGAACTTGATTGTCTATTGAGTAGGTACTATCATAAAATGATTTCATTGTCATAGAGGTCATATTAATATTACGAATATAAAATGGATTAAATGCTAATTGATCAAATCGTTGAGTAACATCCATAAGTGAATACAGAACATCGACCATATTCAGTTTTTTAAAAATAATGAATAAAATTTCATTGGGCAAATTAAGTATATTGAGATGATTGTTATTCGAAATGTTCATATCTAATTCATCCAGTTCAATCGCGTTCATTTATATTGACATATTTTTTTTCTCATTACCGTCTGAGAGAACAATGAAACGATAAATATTCATGCTATTACAATAGGCTATGATGAACGGATGCTGCCTTTTTTTTTTCTTTCTGTCAGGCATTCTCTTTCGTTCCTTAACAGCTCATCCTTCTTTTATCACAATCTTTCTCATATATTATATACTTTTTATAATACACAAGTAATACGTCGGCTTCGAAGTTTTCACTTTATTCAATTGTGAAAAATCGTAGTAAGGTTGTGTAGCGAAATATTTACGCGATCTGATTCGATATTATATCTGACAGACTAAAAGTAATCTTTCCCAAATCCTACTGTTATATTTACATATTTTTGCATTCTGACTTAAAATTGAATGTCAACATTTACAATACTATTTGAAGACCACGAACTGTCAGACGAATACTCACTCATCTATTCATAGGTAGGTATTATAATATAAAGAGACTTGAAAGTTAAGTAGTCTTCATCTAAATATCACATTTGAAAAGCTCATAATCATTGTATCATCTCTCTTTGTTAATAATTGATCGGTTCTCTCAACTTTGGTCGAAATAAAAATGTCGAAATGGAGTAAAGCGCCACCTGCACTGATATTTTTCTTTTTCGACATTTTTTCTTTCGACCAAAGTTGAGAGAACCAAAGAAGTTCCAGACCTACACTCAAGCCCTGGTCGATTTGGATTTGATATTAATAATTATTATATAAATGCAGAATAAAATAATACCCGGTACGACGATTGATGCACCCTTTTCTATTGAACAACATTTTAAATCCGTTGTACAAACAATGAAAATCGATCCTCATTTGATTAGTGATCATGCAAAGAATATGAAATTGATTCTTCTTTGTGAACGACTTGTTCTACATATAATAGCGCTGTTTGTATCAAATCAAGTTCACATTCGTTCTTGTCTTTTTCACGGTGATTTGTCTAGTCAAAACTATAATGCTCAAAATATTTATTCAAGCAGATTTTGATGCAATTGGTGGTCCAATGGAAGGATAAGAGATGCACTTTGGACTGTATAATCTTCTTAGATTGCTCAGATCTACTTGATAAATGGCGGCCATTGGCCTTTCAATCTGTCACTAAACTTTCAATAGATTATGATGTCTGGACATCATCTTTAGTTCGATTTCCTTGTGAAATTCAAACGCCAATTGACACGATCAAATTACCTTTGTCGATAAGTAACACAATCCAAAATAAGAATGTCATTCTTGTTTATAGTGGTAGCTTTTCTCCAATTCATTTAAATCATCTTGAAGTGATGGATTTTGTTTGAGAAAACAGTGGAAAAATCGCCATAAGACTTTGAAATTCCATGTGGTGATTTTTATTCATCACCTGAAAGTTGGATTAAACAAAAATTACCAGAAACCTACTTATGTAACGCTTACAGAGAAAGTTGACTTATGCTAGCGACTAAAAGTACACGCAGGATGGCTAATCGAACTTGTTCGTCACCAGATAGACACTCAAAGAATATAATCGAAGCAATTTGCAACTTATACGGTGAGAACTTAGAGATCACATTAATTCAACATCTTCTTACCAAGTCACGTGATGAAAATGATACAAACATGCGTCAAAGTCTTGAAAATCTTCTTCCATTTTGTTGTATTGAGTATATTTTTGAATATAAGTTAAGAAAATGGTTCAAGCCTTCTGAACTTAATTAAATAAATATTTGTAATAAATTTTGACATTGTTTACAACATCAAAATTGATGTCATTAATGCTTTGCCGAAATAAAACAGTAATATATCTCACTGTCATAAAAGCGTTGTTCTTCTTCTTTAGACAGTAAATTTGTCTCCTGATTTAATAAAAATCTCCTTTTTCAGGTAATACTTGAATGTATGATTATTCATATTTCAAAATGGATTCTAATCATTTTAACAATTTTTTACTTTGCTGCTACATTAGAACAACAACAACAACCATCAAATCAAATTGAACCACAAATAGTTTCATTAACAAGACATAATAATTTAACAATAGAAAGAAATTTTCGATGCTCACTTTCTTTCTACCAACTTACAGATTAGCCCGTTTCAAACATGATAAATCTGCCAGGAAGAAATAATAAGGATGAACAGGACAATGATATTTGTAAAAAAAAAAGACTCATGATTATAGTAAGATTAAAAGAGTTGAACCTAGTCCAGCTATTTATTATTTTGATCGACAATATTGACAACTTGTTTTACTTTATTTCGAATTACGGATATGAACTTGTTTTATTAACATGTAATAAACCTGATCTAACAAGTTATGCTACAGGTTTCGATTTATTTGCATCGAATCTTGGTTTTATAATTTTTGGTCTTTTTGCATGTAGATATGTTACTGTTGCTTATGCATAGTTTAATTGCAATGATGGAAGAATACGATTGACAATCGAGCTGTTGTAGCATAGAAATTTGCTCGTGCAAGACTTTATATGGAATATATACGAGATGACAAACGTTTTTTGCTAATATGAAGCATTATTTGTTTAATTGAAATATATGAGAGCACGATAAAATTTCTGATTAGAACAGTGAAATCTTAATGTATGAATGCCACTAAATAGTATCATGAAAAGAACCACCTCGTTTCAATTCTGATTTAGTTGTGAGAGACTTTCGCGTGGATTGTCTTCTCATTCGGTATAAGGCTCAAGGAAGGCTATGTTGATTAAGAATACTTAACTTCGTCGTCAAGGCTATTTCAATTCTCTAAAATCGAAAATAAAATCTGTTTGAACGATGCTTATTTTTCGATTTAGGAAACAGCTTACCTGTTCCGATAAATTGTTGTCCAACATCAAAATCTTTTATTTGTCTAATGAAACGAATAAAATGAATGATAATCAACAGGCAAATGGAAATAAAAATGATCTTAATATTCTACGTCGGAATAGTAGTCGTGCTTTTTTTCTGCTGTTTAAATATATTTAGTAAATATTCTTTCGAATAAAAAAAGATTGACTGAACGTAAAGTTAGGCTCATTTCTTTTCTTTTTTCACTGTGATAAATTTTAAACATATGTGGAAGTTGTTTTTTTCGTTTAAATAATTCATCGTTATTGTTCAGAGATAAAGAAGCAATTTCTTCGAAATATTTTCAATTTACTATAAATCATGCATAAAGAAGAATTTCTCATACTGATCTATGAATTCTTTGACTAATTACGAAATTGAACTTTTATATAAAAATTATTATGTTTTATGAAATCAATTCCTTTATTGTACATAACTAAGAATTGTAGTTTTATCGTATTTGGCACAAACCTTTTTTGCAACTATATAGAATAAAACCATGGTGGATTGGTTAGAATATCGAATCCGTTTAACAATGAGACTTGATCTTCCTCAACAAAAGAAAAGAAAAGAAATACACAATTTTTGAATTTCATTTCTTATCTTCATTCAAAAGTTTCAATCAAATTGATTACTAATCATATTTTGAACTACACCAAAAGTTTAGTTTAATATAATAAAAGAATTTTTGTAACTTATAATCTTATCTGATAGTCATGAATATTTATTTTTTTTAATGTTATTTCGTACAAATAGAAATATTTTTTATGATTGAAAGTCTCATTGATTATGAAAAGATGCACATCTATTTCTGTATATTAAGATAGATAGTATAAGAAAGGAAAGTAGGAACTTTTTTCTATGAACGGAGGAAGACCATCAACCTAAAAAACAACGACATATTACAGAAAAACGAGAAGAAAAAGAACATATTCAACAATATATGAAACATTTAAAACAATTCAATAAAGAAAATCATTAATATTCATTCTTGTTCTTTTTTTCTTCTACCGATCCTTAAAAAATAATTTTTTAGCTAGACAATACTACTTTTCTATGAATAGATTCAAGCAAATATTATCATACATTTAAAACTTGAAGAGTTCTTTCAAGTTTTCAACTGAACGGTGAAGTCAACACTGCAGAGGATAAATATTCAAGAGCACAACTCTGAGGGGCATCTCCACATTGAGCGGGCAATAGAGGAAGAGATACAGTTCTGGTGGGTAAGAGTTCAATAGTTGGACACTGCAAAAACATTTTCGACTAGAATCAAGTTTTTGATTTCTACACTACTGCTTCTTCATTCTTTTCTCTTCGTTGTAACGCGTTGAATCTTTATAAATGAATCTGGTTATTACTTCATGTTTTATTTTAATAATTATTTACAATAATCAAAATTTATTTATCTGAGGAAAATAGTCTTTCAGATATTCAGTGCTTCATAATAGACAAAAAGATGAATTTTATTCGGCAAATACATTTCTGTAGCAACCAGGAATTGTTCGACGCAATCATCATGAGCTTCGTAAAGATTGAGTATAGTCAGATAAAAATATTTAATAATTGATAAATCTTGATTGCCGTTCTTTGGTTTCTTATATAATTTATTCTTCTACGGTTTTTTATTACTTACAATTAATTCTTTCATAAATGAAAATGATTGAGCAATTTGAAGAAAAAAATCATGCTCAAATGGACGTTCATCAAATAACGATACTTTATAAACATATTCAGATAATCAACCTGGAAAATTATTTGAAATATTATCATAACATTTCATTCTATCTCTTGAAGGGAATTCTTTTCTATTCTAAATACCATACTATGAATGTATGCCCGTGTACAACGCTTTGTTCTAGCCTTCACATTGAATCCAAGAGATATTCGTGTGACTTGTGGAAACTACTTCAATAACATTTTTATTGATTGTCAGGACATTGACAAAAGCAGAGAACAAGAAAACTAAGACTTTTTGTATTTCAATATTCTATCGCACCACTAGGCACAGACAATTTATCGATCAGTATCGATGAACTTAGTATTTTATTTATTTTGTTCTTATTCGAATACACATTCAATTTTATGAATATTATTCTTCCATAGGTACTGGAAATAGTGGTTGTTCGCCTTTTAAAACACGTAAGATATCTTGTATTGCTTTCGTACGTAAAGAAGATGCTGATTCGTGAGTAAACCAAGCTGCATGGGGTGTGAGCTGAATACGATCAAGCTTGATGAGTTCTGCATCGATTTCTGGTTCATCTTCCAGTACGTCAAGTGCAGCGTACGATATTTGTTCGTTTTTCAACGCCTGTACTAACGCTTTCGTATCAACAAGACCTCCACGACTCACATTGATGAATATCGGCCGCTTTTTCATACGATTGAATGCATCGGATGAAACCAAATGCTGATTGGTAGATGTAAGAGGGACATGCAATGAAATAATATCACATTGATCATAGATTTCGTCGATAGACGTACAACTCGATGGTACAATTGGATCGTAAGAAAATATTTGCTTAACAAAAGGACGCATTTTAGTAGCAAAAGATGTCCCGATGCGACCCATACCAATAACACCCAAATTCAGTGTATTTAAACTATGCAAATCAGTACCAGCAATTTCATGATTCCAAATTCTATGATCAACTATGGATCGATGATAGACTGAAAGACGACGATGAGCAGCAAAGAGCAGTGCAACAGCATGATCAGCAACCTCGTTAGTACCATAATCCGGTACGTAGCAGACAGTAATATTTCGTTGACGGCATGCTTTGACATCGATGTTCTCGAAGCCAACCCCGAAAGAACTAACCACACGACACGAAGGAGTAATATATTCAATAGTTTTACCCTTTATTGGTGAATTGCTAGTGATAATAGCAACGACAAGTGGATTAGAAATGTATGAGAGAATATCAGTGTCGTCAGAGACAACAATAAGTTCATATGGAGTTGGCAATAGGAGATCGTGCTCAATGGAGAAATTATTAAAACCCGGTTTGAGCAAGAGAATTTGTTGTTTATTCGACATTGTTTTCGAAATATAATAGTTTATATTCTTTCTGTTCGTAGCAAAACGTTATCTGCTGCTCTTTTCAAAGACAACAAGAAAGAAAGAGTGCACGTGGAACAGTAACTATGTTTTGATGTTGACTTTTTTTATGTATACATTTTTGTTGTATTTCACGAATATCAAAAATAAAATTATTTTTGCATACTATTTTGCGAAACTCAGAATGATAATTTTCCAACATAGGAATTGTGTTAATTCTTGTAAATCTCATTATGGTAGCAAACGAAAATAATAATTATAAAGAAGAACTATTTATGTTGAATACCTTTGTGGTAGAGTGATACGAACGCGTCGAATCTTGTTCGATTATGTATAAACAATTGTTGATTTTTCTAAGAAGAAAATTATTATTGTATAAGTGTTTCGTTTGTATTCAATTCGAAAATCGAAATACACTGCTACAAAACTTGTGAATAAGTGAAGTTCAAGGATATTGTTTAAGCGAAACTTTTCGAAGTAGCGCTGATGTTTTCATTTAAAGAAATACCGTATTATGCCTAAAAGTACATTCTTTCAAGCCCACAGCCTGTCGCAATGTAATATAAATGATTACAGAATTGACAAAAACCGAATACTTCATGATGAACATCCCAGGAGAATCATTCCGACAGTAGGTTCCTATCGGATTCCGACAAGGGTCAGACAGTGAATATACGGAACACCATATGTGTTTCAATAAAACCGACAAAATCTTATGGGATTCCTGGAGACGGACCTACAGTCAGATCCTTGGTATTGGATCCAATCGGATCCGATGCCGGATTTTAGCGGAATCCAACTCTATCAAATCACCCTTGCGCTCTGATGACTCCAAATGTTTATTTGAGCGTGAATAAGAAAATGATTTTTTTCCGTCGGAACCGACAATAGGTCCATGTCTAGGAATCCTATCGAATTCTGTCGGAGAGTCGGACCCCATACGATTCGATAAGATCCGTTGTCGAATTCATTCATCTGGGATGATTCATTTAATTAGATAAGTGCGTAGGACTTTCGAAAACATGAGTTTTACAAGTTAATAAAGTACTAGTTTTAATCAAAAATCGTGTTTGATTTCGTTTTCTAAAGAATCATTTTGAAACAATCAAAAACAATGAGCCTGTATTGATGTGTGGAGTGTCTAGCTACAAATGAGTCGATTGAGGCACGATTGCAAATGTGTAAACAGATGAATCTATGTTAATGCATAGTTTCACAGTTAAAAATATGCCACCGATATCGCTGACAATAGATGTAGCGAAAATCAACTATATTGAACTGATAGTATTGATGCAACGATATTCGGATTCAGCGAAGTATTCAAGCATTGATTTATGTCATTAAATGTATATATACTGTTGTTACTCTTATTAAATAAGCATCGTTGCTGTCCGTTATTGTCAATAGTTGGTACTTTATAGGAGTTTATCTAGCAAGCTCTTGTTCGTCATAGATCCTATATTCATGTTCTGAAAAATGAATCTCTCTATCTGAGAGTGAACTAAAAAGGTTTCATAAATTCTTCCTACATGTTTCCAAATAAAATAAACACTTATCAAAGTTTCATTTGAATTCTTGGAATGCTTCATTATAATGCATGGTTAAAGAAAGGCAATCCATTCTTTTTATTTATTAAATTTTTCATTTATCGCCCCTGCAAGTTAAAAGCTATTGATTGAAATTTCTACAGTCATTTTGTTATTATTATCTTGTGGAAAAAATGTTTCTACTTTTTCCATTGAATTCAAGAACTATTTGTCTGACCTAAGAAAACAAAATCAATATCGTTTTTATTGAATCTTATAACGACAACTAAAGCAGACACAAACTAAAAAAAAATCCTCCTCATTTTGGAATATTGTACAACACAACTAGGTATAGACAATTTATCGATCAGTATCGATGAACTTAGTATTTTATTTGTATTTTTCTTATTCGAATACACATTCAATTTTATGAATATTATTCTTCCATAGGTACTGGAAATAGTGGTTGTTCGCCTTTTAAAACACGTAAGATATCTTGTATTGCTTTCGTACGTAAAGAAGATGCTGATTCGTGAGTAAACCAAGCTGCATGGGGTGTGAGCTGAATACGATCAAGCTTGATGAGTTCTGCATCGATTTCTGGTTCATCTTCCAGTACGTCAAGTGCAGCGTACGATATTTGTTCGTTTTTCAACGCCTGTACTAACGCTTTCGTATCAACAAGACCTCCACGACTCACATTGATGAATATCGGCCGCTTTTTCATACGATTGAATGCATCGGATGAAACCAAATGCTGATTGGTAGATGTAAGAGGGACATGCAATGAAATAATATCACATTGATCATAGATTTCGTCGATAGACGTACAACTCGATGGTACAATTGGATCGTAAGAAAATATTTGCTTAACAAAAGGACGCATTTTAGTAGCAAAAGATGTCCCGATGCGACCCATACCAATAACACCCAAATTCAGTGTATTTAAACTATGCAAATCAGTACCAGCAATTTCATGATTCCAAATTCTATGATCAACTATGGATCGATGATAGACTGAAAGACGACGATGAGCAGCAAAGAGCAGTGCAACAGCATGATCAGCAACCTCGTTAGTACCATAATCCGGTACGTAGCAGACAGTAATATTTCGTTGACGGCATGCTTTGACATCGATGTTCTCGAAGCCAACCCCGAAAGAACTAACCACACGACACGAAGGAGTAATATATTCAATAGTTTTACCCTTTATTGGTGAATTGCTAGTGATAATAGCAACGACAAGTGGATTAGAAATGTATGAGAGAATATCAGTGTCGTCAGAGACAACAATAAGTTCATATGGAGTTGGCAATAGGAGATCGTGCTCAATGGAGAAATTATTAAAACCCGGTTTGAGCAAGAGAATTTGTTGTTTATTCGACATTGTTTTCGAAATATAATAGTTTATATTCTTTCTGTTCGTAGCAAAACGTTATCTGCTGCTCTTTTCAAANAGCAACCACAAGTGGATTAGAAATGTATGAGAGAATATCAGTGTCGTCAGAGACAACAATAAGTTCATATGGAGTTGGCAATAGGAGATCGTGCTCAATGGAGAAATTATTAAAACCCGGTTTGAGCAAGAGAATTTGTTGTTTATTCGACATTGTTTTCGAAATATAATAGTTTATATTCTTTCTGTTCGTAGCAAAACGTTATCTGCTGCTCTTTTCAAAAGATAAGCGAACAAAATGAATGAAATTGTAATGCTATCCAATTGTCGACCTTGATAATAGGTGTACATACTTTTTTTTTTTTGCTTTTTCGAAAATAAAGCACGAATGATATTTATGAAGACGATCAGTTGTAGCTAAAATAGTGATGTACACTAGGAATCGTTATGTTAAATAGTAATATACGTACTTCTGTGGTCGGTAGTATTACTAAAGATAGATATGAATGTTATAGACAGTGTATTAATTTTCTTTCAATACTTTCTCGTGGACGGCTACATTTATTTGTGATCTTCTCAGATGAATTATAATTCTTTAATCGATTGTTAAATAGATAAACTCACAAGAATCACGAAACACTGCGAAAAAATTTCGATTAACTCCTAAATATAAGAATATTTTTGTATGACTTGCGTTTTCATACTGTAACTTGTTCTCATTTGATTTTTATACGTGTCTTTATAAAAAAAAGATAGGATGAAGAAATATACATGATTAATCAACTGTATCGATAGAGAACACATCGTAGCGAATGCGTTTGGTGTGAGTGTGTGACGATGTCAATCTGAAGTTTACTTTCAACTGATATGGTCGGAACTGATTCAACGAAAACGTTTGTGTAAGTGTAAAAAATACCAGAATATTGTTTTTTTCCAAACTATTCTATCACCCGTTACTCAAGTAGTACTGATTTCTTTTGGCTGCTTCTACATAGACGGAAATTGCATTCCTTTCTTTAAAAATTAATGTTTTAGATAGTAATTTCACTTATGTCATGCATAGTAGCAGTTATCGTATCTTGAGGTATTTTAGTTGGCTAGTTCAATGGTATTTCAGTTACTCGTATCCCAAAAATGAAAGATAAACACTAGAAAATTGTTAAATTATCGTTCTTCTGTGCATATAGATAGTGTTGATACAACATCTATATGATAGAATTAGAATAAGACCGTATATACAAACGATTAGATTGTTACATGTAAATTTGATTGATTCATGACACAACACAATTTTCATATCAAGTTTATTTGTGTCTGTCGTGTACTCTCTTTTTATGGATTATTTCTTGATACACACAAATGAAAAATAGTACTGAATTTCACCTTCTTAATATCTTTCGTGCGGCATGATCGTCTTCTAAAAACCGATTGCTACTACGTATGGTGTGATCATTTCTATACGATGCCAATTGTTCTAGCTATGACACGATATAATAAGCCCGCAAATCAAGGCATGTACATGCACGATATTTTGCTTTTATCTTCTTTTCATCCTCTGCTCGTTACGGGTGGATGTGTTACTTCGTTTTTAAGTCAACTTGCTATACATAACTAGTGCTAACATACCTTCCGTTGCCATAAGCTTTGTTTTAATAGAAGAGAGTGTCAAATTGTATGATTTTTTTAACCAGAACATTTTGAATATCTTTGAGAGCAAATTCAATCATTCTAAGTAGATATGTTCACCGTATTCTCTAATTAGAAATGTAGTAGAAGAATAAGGATAAAAATATATGCTACAAGTTACACAACATTGAAATATACTGGCAGCAGCTAATTTTGATTGTTCGTTATAATGAAAGAATCTGATCATTAACCTCTGCACAACAACATGTGACAATATTGTTTCATCGTGATTCAAGTCCCCTTAATGCATGAGATAAATTCCTTTCAAAATGAACCCAAAACCAACGTATACAGAATCAATGTTATCTAAATAAAATGAAACAACACATTTAATACAGTTTAATAAAGAAATGAAACTGTACCGCTGCATATATAGATAGAAGATTCAAACCGAATGCTTCCCAAATTCCTAATATTAATATTTGCTCAAATGATATGCTCGGTGCCGTGAGGAGAACGAAAGCATACAATGGATATAAGGACCATAATGTATTTAGCATGGTAAATATAGCACTTTGGTAAAGTGCCAATTGAATAGATTGTTTATCGCGCTGACGTGCTTCTCGAGCAGGCTGGAGATTGGTGTTCAACAAAGTCGAATTTTTATATGATTCACCATCAGTTTTCTGTGATGGTTCAATTCTTCGTATAAATCTTGAACGAATATTAAACAAAGTGAGTAAACCAAAACAGATCATGATTAGTTAGAAGTAGTAAAGAATGTTGCAAAGAATATTTATTTTATTTTTTTGAAATTTAAAAAGATTCTTACAAGCGGAAGCATTGATGCGATAATACTGTAGATAGGGTAAAACATCCCGTATGTTGTAAATGTTGCAGACCCACATCCCATCATAACTGTGTTATAATCGATGAAAGCATGAATACAAAAGAGCGACCAGAATACAACGCTACACATTATGATTATTCGTGCGTTTCGTAACGAGCTCTTTGTGCGAAGACCTGCATTCGACGAAGTGACCATCCATCGATCGATCGATTGATGTAAGACACACGAATTGACGAGATAGTATGATACCTAATTCAACAGCGTAAGCACGCAATTTATAAAAAAGGACTCTGATCAACAGTATCTCCTCCAGCCACGCCTGGTACAAATTTCGACAGACAAATCAAATACAATAATACAAGATTATTTAACGATAAGCATAAAAAGTACCACGAACAAGCGCATTGACGCACAGCGCACGACTAGAGAAAATGATAACGTCGAAAACATTACTGAAATAACCTAATATAAATATGAAGAGGAGTTCGTAGATATTGAGTTTTCGATGAAGACGATCAAGTGCGAGCAATATTGGTGATGCCATCCTTTTTTGTCTCAATAAGAATCGAGTTCAGAATTTATTATTAATACTGAAGGGTAGTCTCTTATTTTGATTGCGATGAAATTCTCACACAGAACTACAAAAAAAATGGTAAAGTTATTCTCTCAAGTCATTTTATGCAGAGCTTTTTTTCTCAAAACAAAAAAGCAGAAAAACTTCAACAAGAATATGAGTGGATTCAAAAATATTCTGTATAGAATCGCGAACAAGCGGAATTCAAATTTCTGTAGACTCGCTCATACATGACAACAGATCATGCATAATGATGATAATAATAAAATCATAGTATTCGCACATTTTGCTAGGCAAACAAGAAACATCATAGCTGAAAACGTAAAGATCTAGAATGACATATATTCTAACTACTACAAAATATTGCTAGAATTACAATAGAATTCGTTAGTCATAATATAAAATGAACTTTTCTATAGAATCTGTCTAACGGAAAAGAAATTCTATTAGAAGATTTAAAAACAAACCAAAAGATTTTAAACAGAATTGTATTACGATGTACAATTGTTAAACTCTATCTAGTATACTATTCTTTCTTCGATGTACAACCAAGAGTTCCACAAAAATAAATAATATAGTAAATGACACTATTTACCACGGTGCTCAGAATTAAAAAAATCCTGTAAAGAACAGAATTTTGAATCTTAAAATTCGTTCTCTTCTTGTTTATGTGTCGTCAGTAAGATAGAATTCTACAGGATTATCTTTTAAAATGAAAACGAAAACAGCAATATAGTTTTGATATCCAATAGTCATTCCCTTTGAAAAACGGCATGCAGAAGTCTACAAAATTCCTCCATGTAGTCCGTTGATATCATATAGCTGCTGGAAAAACTGTATCGTTTATTAATATATTTGACTTGAAATATGCAAACATTAAAGTTATATATGTTTTCATTGATGATAGAAACAGCATACGAATTAGATATTGAATAGCCCAAATTATCAATGAATTCAACGGAACATGAAAAGTAATTGCATAGAAACTAATATGACTTGTTTCAGCAGAACGTGAATTAACTGAACTCGTGTTCGCTGTCAATTTACAATACAAGAGAGATAATGATGATTATTAAAAAATGTCTATCTTAGTATAAGCAAATGAAAGAAGAAAATTCACGTATATGGGCTTGACTGTGACTATACGTACGGTATTGCTGACAAAACTCAACATGTATAAAATCACCCTACAATCATAATGATAGCTACGTTCATACTCATCTTCTTTCTCGAGAGATTTCAAGAAAATCTAAGAGTTTCTTTCATTCATTATATCGTGCGATAAATATTTTCTAATTCAGCCGTTGTCTCGATGTAGAGACAATGAAGGCTATGGTCGTAAAGCGGATTAAATTACGAATTCGTATGAAAAAAAGGAATTTAAGAGAAGCTTTATTTTAAAATCTTCTATATCGGCTAAAATATATTGTGGTCAATATCTTTTATCATCAATAGATATTAATGTAGATTGTAAGTCATAGGCCAACATATATATATATATATATGTTGTCAGATTTTCTTTTGCTATAACCGCAGCTCTACGGGTTTTCAAATATCAGTTCTTCTGTCATTATACTATCATATCTTTATATAGATGAATACGTTGGTTATATACTTCAGTGTTTTCCGAACACAATCCTTCCTACTGAAATGCATAGTCGGCACTCTACAAAGAAAAATATAGCTTTCTCTTGGAAATCTTTATTCAACTTAATTTTATGTGTAAAAACTTGATTATGCATGTGTGCAACAGAGGAAAATGATTCAAAAATATTTCTGTTCATTTGTTCACTCTATCATTTTGTATAAATTCAAGATATTTTCCGTTTATTACGTTATATTGCATCCAGAATGATAAACAACATAGTCCGAACTATTAACGCAGACTTTGATTTAACAGTCGAACAGATTCGGAAAGAAAATAAACTTACGACATATTTTCTATACAGTTATTGAAAAGTCGATATCAGTAGTACTTGTTGAGTTCGCATGTAGCTCTATGTTCTTATAGATTGACGACCCTGGAAATCCAGTTTGTTAGGCGCTGTATTATTCATAAATTCCAGTGAGTACCCGCTATTGAAGCTGACCCGCAACAGGATATCTAAACATAATGCTGTGATATCAGTTTGAGAATATACTGTGAATCTTCACATGAGCCTAATTTTTTTGCTTCTATGTCACATCTACCATCGACGCTTATCTTTCTTAAAAACCTTTTTTAATGGTAACGAACGTTATTGTATATCGGCTCCAAACAGGAACAATTCATTCATCACTAAGATTCAAAAACACAATAGTAGTTTTTAGCTTTTCATCATTTCTCCCTAATCTATCACATCAAGTTCTACAAAATAAGAGCTAATCTATTTTATCAAAAAGTTGATAGAGATTATGGAATCTAAAAGCATTTGTTTTATTCAATGTTTTGAAAGCTGTCCATCACTTTGAATAGGTTATATTCGTTTTATCTATAGCTCATAGAAAAGTAATAAACTCGTTTCTCTTTTATTGGAAATTAAATTACTATAACAAACTATAGGATGAAGAAAACATATGAGATACGTTTTTTTAATTGACATTATGTTCGTAATTGTTTTACTCGGGGAATTTTTCTTTTCATATAATAAAGTAGGCGTCATTTGAGTTAAAACTAGAGGAAGAATCATTCAGAATGTGCACGGATAAGAAGTGACTGTCAAGTTCTAGCTATTTATCGGATTCGACATTGCTGAAATGAAAAATAAGTACTCATATATCTATATAACGCCTATATTTAGTACCACACAGCCGTCTATGTATATTGCGCAACGTAAAACCCATGGCCACATCCAACCCAATATTTTTATACAAGTAACATCATGCATTGATTTGCTCTGACTGAAGAAAATATATAGAAAAATTTAGCGTAAACAATATATTTTTGAAATGCTTATTTTTTATTAAATTCTGAAAAATCTTCGGCTAACAAGTTTCTTTCATAGTTGAGCTGTTCTATTGAATGCTAGACTGTTTATCGTGTTGTTTGTTTTAAATAGTTTACGAAAAGATCTTTTGATTGTAATTACAAAGAATCAAGATCAAACAAAATGTTCATTTCGATGATATATTTTAGTAACTAAATGATTAAAAAGAAAAATAATTAGCATTCATATTTTATTAATTAATTAGATTTTCGAAGTTGAACGATAATCTAATATGAATCCGATTGATACGAACAAATGATTAGTGTAACCATTTTATTTCTTTAAAACTAGTAGAGAACATGGCCGATAAAAATGTACTAAAACTACATATTAAGTTCATTGAGAACATCTATGACACGACTTAAATATTCCTAATAAATAATACATGAATAGGACTGAATTTGATTCATTCGCAGTGATTTGCATTCAAAGAACTAAAATTGTCTTCTACTCAAATGATGTCGACGAAGAGGAAAATCATACACGGAAGTGCTAGAAATCATACGAGTCTAATAATATTTGTGAATAAAAAATAAATGAACCTTAGCTTGGCAGATGATATCATAGTTTAATCTATTAATACTTATTTTTAAAATAGAATATATCATAATATCGAAAAACAAAATTTCACTCGAGTTCATATCAGTACTATTCACGTGAATTCTTTTCCAACTGATTAATGCTAAAAGTTATTGTTGAAATTATCAATCTACTAAAATTAAATAAACTATCGTTAAAATTGTAATAGGGCAACTTCGGATTCATAGAAAATGTAGTGGATCCTAAATAATAAGCATAATATGTCGTAGGTATAGTTAAACCATGTATTCTGATTGGTGACAAAAAAAGTACAAATTCTAATTTCGTCTAACATTGCCCATTAAAGTCTACCAACTGTGTAACAAAGTCACTGATTTGGTTTAGATAATCAAACTTCTTTTTCATAGTTTTTTAATAATAGTCAGTATACTAAGCAGCATCAAGGATATGAATGATATTACGAGGGAAATTTTACAGTATGGCAAAGCCTCTCTCGAAATTGCGGTAAATTGAATCCGCATAAAAATGCTCAAAATTATGGAAATTTGATTTTATGCAGATTAAAACAATCGCATAATAGTTTTCTTCTAAAGATGCTTACTAGTGACACATTAAGTGCTACTTATAAAGATGGGACCAAAATTCGTCTATGAAGTTGATGTGTTGTTATGGACTTGGCAGTTTTGTTGTTTTCTCTAATTTTAACCCTCAGCAACATTCAAAGTCGCATCCTTTGTTCAATTGAGATTTCACTCTTCTTTTTATCCGCGTCGTCATTTTGTGCGTGCGATGCAATTAAAACAAAGGGAATAGCTGCCAAGCATTCATGTTGCATATATAAGACTCGATAAGACAAACTATTCTATTTTTACTTGAAACGATGATACACGAAAAACCAATAGAGATGTTCTTCCAGATTTCTACTTCGTATCGATGCATAAAATGTCCAATGATTGACTTTCAAAATGAGTACTGCAATGTTTTGTTTTGCACATGTTGTTATAATCGAATGTTTATACAAAACATAGATCTCAATATTTATATAAAATTTCATTAAATAATTAGTAACCAAATACAAACAGACCAAGACTTACTAATAAAACGAATGTTGCAATATCACCGACAGTAACATGTCAAACCTGTATATTCACCCTATTATGTGACTAAAGCATTGATGAATATACATATATTTATGTAAGATAATGAAGAAACATGCTATCTTTGATAGATTTAAAATTGGACATCGTTTCCTACATAGACAAATCTTCAGTTAGCATCAAAGCGTATCATCCATCAAATCAAGTTCAATATTTCGTCATTGGCAATGGAATACAGTCCGATTGTTGGTTACTTCTGTTGAAAAAAGGGACAATTTGAAAAGAATTTAATGTGCTTTATTCGATATTAAGAAATGACTACAGGTGATTCTAGCTATTTATGTGCGTAGATCAAAAATAACTTTTCTAGCTAATCTTTTATCGAACAATTCATAAGCTTTGTCAGCATCCGACAAACTCATACGATGACTTATAAAATTTTTGAATTGATCTTGCTTTTCCGAAAACAGTTGTAGTGCTTCGGGAAACAGGGCTCGAACGGGACATCGCCCAAATTGCAAACGTACATTCTTGTCATAGACTTGAGGTCCAGTGAATGGAAAAGCATCTTGCTGTACGCCAACCGAGGCAATAACTCCATACGGGCGGATGAGGTCGTAGGCCAATTTCAAAGCATCAGCATGTCCAACCACTTCCAAAGCAGCATCAGCTCCTCGACCTTCTGTTGCCTTCTTGATTACACTTATGGGATCATCATTGATATTAATTGGAATAGCCCCATGGTTTTTGGCTTCCTCTATTGTTCAACAATCAATAAATTGCTCGAAAGTTCGATATAGATAAATAGGCAACACTTACCAAGACGTTCTTCAATACTATCAATTGCATATACGATTGGAAAACGGTTGCAAGCTGCAATAACAGCACACAAACCAACTGGTCCACATCCAATAATACAAACGGTTAGATTCGAAGCTTGCCGTTCCTGATCACTGAGCATAGTCCACGCATTTTTCGCAGCAAAATAACCCGTCGGAAATATATCAGCCATAAGAAATGCTAGATCATCAGGAATTTCCTTTGGAGCCAAAAATGCCGTAGAATCTAAGGGCAGAAAGGTTTTTCTTTGGAGAAACATTGACGGTATTGACTATCAGTAAAGTTCATTCTAATCAAGAAGTCTATATTCAACACATGATTTTGTATGGTTTTGATAATGACAGAGAAAATTCTCAGTGGCTTATATATTGTCGGTCTGCTTTTGATCTGCCAGTTTCTGATAGAATTTTGTTTTGGACAGGAATCATATGTACCTTTCATTTATTTGTACAGCACGAAAAATCACTGAAAATTGCATTTTATTTAGATTAAATGTGTCAATGAAAATCAACTATTATTCTCAATACTCAAATAATGTGGCACGTAAATGATTACAAATTTTTAATTCCACATCATCTAGAATGAACCAATGAGTCAATGTTTCCTTTTTATATTTTTTCACTGTCATTTAAAGTACTCACATACTACTGAATTTTCATGCATGACTGATAAAAAATCTTCCCCTAAGTTCATGACTAACGATGAATAGAAAATCTATCGTATAATTTTAATAAGATATTTTTTGATTTATCTTCTTGCAATTTCTTTTTTAAATCCAGATGTAGTACACACTAAGACCTGTTGTTCGAGATATTATCCGGATAATGATTACACAAGCGAGCACTGTGTCCTTGAAAATATATTCTTACCAGCAAAAGGAATTCGTACATATTCAGCTTGGCCACCGTCGAGCAACGGTGTTCCGAATACTTGAGATTTTTCACATCTCGAAGTAAGTCCCTTTGCGCAATAAAAACAATTGCCACAACATGTAGAAAATGGCACAATGATTTTGTCGCCTTTTTTGAAATTTTTTACATCTAATCCAACATCAATGATTTCTCCAACAAATTCATGACCCTATTGATGTGGAAAATTCATTGAACTAAATTAAACATGGAAAAATTCTACTGACCATTATGACGTCTGTCTCACTAAATTCATGTCCTCTATAGATGTGTAAATCCGAGCCACATAAAGCAGTTACGTGTACTTTGATGATGACATCAGTAGAGTTCTTACATATTGGTATGGGGCGATTTTCGACGGCAATTTTTCCTACACCTTTAAATATAACAGCTTGCATGATATTAGAATATATCTAAAGAAGAATTAACATTTGCATGCGTCTAGTTATAGAAAGTCCTAAATCGTTTATACGATTATAATTTAGTGAATTTTTCTTCGCTTATATTTTTTATGAAAAAGACTGAAATCTATCTTCAACAAAACTTACTCTTTGTAAATATTTGTTTGAAAAAAGTAACTGATTACTTAAGCGAATTGAAGAACTCATATACTTCCTACAATCTTGAGGCGTCTTGATTGTGGTTGAAATAATTCTATCGTGTTTAGCATCCCAAACAGGAACTGTTAATTAATTCTTTTCAATCACTAATCTCTTATTGTTTGTTTGAGGGTGTGCAAAGAGTCACAATCCAAAAACAATAACAATAACTCTCTGGAGAAAATAAAATATAAGTGATCGATAAAAGATAATTATTCAAAGTGTATACTTATAATGGACATTTTTGGTTGAATTTTAAATTTACTGACAAACCATCAATGCTATAACCCAACAGAGAAAGAGTCTTTTTTTCATATGAATTTTACTATTCTTCGTATAACCACTATAATAGGCATATTTTCGCTCGGTTGAAAACGAAAAGATAATGTTGTTTCTTATCATATCCAATGACACCAACAAAGACATAAAACGGCACATCATTGAAGGGCTGCACATGGTTTTTCAATTCTAGCAGAGTTTTGTTGCTATAAAAGATTATTTATCTTACTATAATTTAATATTTGCATTAAATATCTTTTAACCTACGAATTCTTTGAAGAGAACGTTTTCTCAGAACAGAAACTCAACCAAGATCCACAACTAGTTACTATTGACTTGAATATGTTTTTCTTAGTGCTTTTATTGAAAAAACAGTTTAGTATCAAATTTCAAAACAACGAGTTCGGCTATTTGATAAACAATGCGAATGGGATGAGACGAGTAGGATTGCACAATGAATGAAGACTTCAAAAAGTAAACTGTATGAAGTCTTAAGACTTCTGATGAATTTCCAAGAAAACTGAAAGTCTCGAGATACATTGTTTCTCTTCAATTATCAGTGTGTGTGTCAGCTACATGGTCAGAAAAAGAAGAGTAGCCTTTTGGTTATCTCTATACTCACACTCTAGTTGATTCTTGGAAGATCTAATTGGTTTTTGCGAATAGGAATACGGACTTTATAAAAATCAATATTTTATATTGCAAGCTACAATTATTTAACTACCGTTATTAGCAAGAATGAAAAAAGACTATATCATTTGTGAACATAACAGTAGTATAATCAATAGTTGAATTTTACTTCTCTTATTCAGTAATTCTGAAGTATGCTCGAGGCTTTTAGGTTTGAAAATCTACAGATTATAATAATCTCATCATATTATTTGGTAAAAAAAAAACATCAGATAAGAATAACAATTTATATTTTCGACCTATCATATGATTATCAGTGATGTTAATACTATTAAATGAGTTATCCACGTCCTTAGCTTCCATCACATACTCAGACTCCTGCTAGAAGATTAAATTCTTCATTTTGAAGAACTAGGACGATTGTACTATATGCGTTGAATATCAGAATTGATGTCGAACCCCGAATGTCATGTGGAATATATATATCGGCTTGTCTGCGTAACGTGTAGCTTTAGGGACGGGTGTTTCGAGCTCTCTATTTGAAAAATCGAATACTAACATCTTGTAGAGCATAGTCGAAAGTATATAGAAACATATTTTGTTTCTCTCTTATGCATTTAAAAAGCATTTGACAGTTGGTGAAAGAGAAGCTACTATGGGCGCAGAAAAATTAACGAATCTATGCTACTAATTCATCAAACGTTTATCTTGACAGAAACAAATAGATAAATCATTGATTAATACGAGTAGAAAATATATCGAAATATGCATCGTTTGGCACAACAGGTAGGGTCATATGTATTATACATTTTTCTAGAGAGCCTATACAAGTTTATACTTTATTTATAACGTCGTCGCGTAACAAGAAGCGCCTATTGTTTTGTTTTTCACTACTGAACCGCAGTTGATTTTGTACTAAAACCAAATACTTACAGTTAATATTTTGGCAGCTATCTAAGATACCGAGTTTTGTTCGAAAAGATGGTGTATTTTAAGAATTTTATGTAACACGATGACGAATTTTACTTTTCTCTGATTTTTTCATGTTCGCAAAAGAACACCTTGAGCGAAAGAATTTTTATTCGAAAACCAGTACAAGTTGTAAGCAATCAATTTCTAATGAAAGCATATTAAGTTATGCACAAAATATTGCCCAATGATCTAAGTGAACATTGTTCAATTCAAATAAAATTATCAATCAAAATCGTTCAACGTTTCTGTAATGTTTATTCTCGTTCGGTTACAGCGACAATTTCAATCTCTATATTATTTGAATAATTAATATTGAATCATTTCTCTTCAAAACAACATATTCATTTTTAAATTGATCTAAGTTCAACAGTAGCTAGATTTGCGATTGAAGCTGAAGCAATGGAGTGAAATGGTTAAATCTAATGCTGAACGACAAAAATTCTATAGTATTAACTTATCAAATAATAAGTTGAAATTTGAACAAATGAAGCAAAAAAAACTCGTATCCGTGATAGGCAAAGGCGTAGAAATTTAATAGGTGATTCATTAGAAAAATTGCGTCTTCGATAAAAACTGGCATCGAAAAAATATCGTGACAAATTAGTCATTAAACTTTATAATCGTGATGATGTTAGTCACCTAATAACCGGTAAACGGGATTGTATTACAGTAGAGGATGATTGTAAAAAAATGACATTACAAAAGTCATTGTCATCGTGGAACGAAATCGTTATCGCGTTACGTTAGGGAAGTCAGTTTCCTGTGCAAATAAGAAGACTGTTCGAAAAACGTTTTTGTTTATCACAAACCTCAAACTGTCGGCTACAAAATACCTATAGAAAGTTCCTTTCGATAATACAGAAGATTCGCAGAAAAGTTAAGAACAACCACATTATCCAGAACTTTTTGTCCTTTTCTCGTCATCGCGTTTCGTCAACTATTACTGCTATAGTTTTCGAAGGACTCATTCAATAGAGTTCATATTTTCAGATATATTGAACAAGACAGAGGCACATCTTCCAACGAAATAATGCACCTTCTCAGTAATCTAATTGCTGAGTAAACCTAAGAAAACTGTGGACAAAACGTCATGGCGTTACTCTCTGACAAGTCGATATATCAACATTTTGATTATTGTCGAAGATAAATAGGTACTGTAAAAGAAAGTACAGTGCACCATTTGTGAGAGCTTGACATTTGCCATTTTATCGTTTATTCAATACTTATTAATGAATATGGCGTTGAAAGCATAAAAAGAAAGCAATTACATGTAACATTACTCATAGTACATTACACGTAAATGTACTTTGAAACTGAAGTTACATAGAAAACCGAGCATGTTTACTTGTACATTTATAGAATTTTATTTCTTCTCGTATGAATTGGTAAGTAAAACAACCCAACGAAAGAAAAACCTCCCAAGAAGAACCGATTGATCAAAGAGTACTAATAGAAAACTAAGGTGAATTAACAAATATAAGTAGAATTCAATAAACTTGGATTTGAATTACAAATAGTTTACAAAAACAAAAATTTTAATTTTAATGTGGGAATAACTACATAAAAAGATAAGACGACACCGGCATATTCAAATGTAAGAAGCGTTTGATTTTTTTTCACAAGTTGTTCAAATAAAAAACGAAATCAAAAGTGAAAATGTCTGATCGTTTTCTGATGAAACTCTTAGAAATATTTGTCTATTATTATTTTCTATTGAGTTTGATAGTTCCGTTCTAAAGCAAAATACAAGTTTGACAATTAGCAAAAATTTTAAAATGAATGAAAAAAAAAGCATAAATAGAGCGTGTAGTCAACGTATTATACAATAGCAGCCGTGCTTAATCATCATGTGAATCGAATATATGACAATGTGATTATCGCTTTGCGGAGCCTCCTACTTGAAGTATATTTGGACACTGTTCGACAATTTTAACGAGTAAACCATCAGCATAGTGTTCAAGATCTTTTACACGAGTATCACGTTTTCTTAATAATTCCGTCTGATAAGCAATTACATGAAGAAGTTCCTGAAAAATATCAAAAATTGTTTTGAAAATAAAATAAAAGAAAAAATGATTGATTGATTGAATACTTCGCGATCCAAATAATCAAGTTCTTGACGCATTTTTGGATTAATTGGAATACTTTTTACATTGTCATAGCCGAGCACACAAAGACCGTTATGTACAAGTTTTCTTGGTCCTGGAATTTTATGTGGTGATGAATCTAAATATACTGTCGATTTGATGTACTAAAATTTATATTCAATGTCTACCTTTTGCTGATGGTTCCCCAATAATATCTGGTAAAGTTGTACTTCGTGATGTTTGGTCGGATCCAAAAGGTCCTTTATTTTCATTCTAAATAAATGATTAACATTTTTATATACTAGAATACTGACAAAATCTTCTCATAAGAAGTTTAACTCGATTGTTACCTCAAAAAATGATTGTTGCATAATATCATCGCGAGGTTGAATTCTACGTCTAACAGAAGAACGCATGCTTGATATACGCTAAATTACATTAGCTGTCTCTTTAACGCATGGAAAATTTCTAATCGGAAAATACACCGCACACATACATATCGAATAATAACAATATGATTAATATGAAACGTTTTTCTTTTCTCGCTTTAAAAACAATTACACATAAGAAATGAATATATATGTGTGTGTGTGTGTGTGTATGCATGTATGTATGTGTACGTGTATTTCCCGAGAATATTTACCTCAAATTTTCCTAATAATTCATCGACATCTTCATCGGTTGAATCATGCGTATCATCAAATTGTTTTTTTTTGGAAACAGTAATAGAAGAACTTGAATTAGTACTAGGTTTTATAGAAATAGATGCAGATGGTGTTTGAATATCATCAGATCGATAATGTAACGAGTTTTGTTGTTCTTTAGGATGATGATTTGATTTCGATTGATAAGTATCTGAGGTAAGCGTTTTTGATGTTTGATTGTCATTTGTTTGATTTATTTTAGTTATAATATTATTGAAATCGATTTCTTCGTCATTTGACTGTTTTGATGAATTTGTACTGAAAATATTGTCATCTTTGTCAAGATTTTCCTTTATTGTTGATAAACCAAAAAAAGCATTCGATGTTGACGTCATGTCATAATCTTTCAACTTATTTATCGATGTTTTATTATTATTATTATTATTATTATTATTATTATGAATAGTATCAAATGCTGCTTCAATGTCATCACTTGTGATTGTAGTATTTCGTTTAGATTCTCTTGATAGTGGTGACAATATTGAATTCGAAGCATTTGTTGGTATCTTTTTTGATAAAATAGGTGATGGTACTGGTTCCTGTTTTGTCTTTTTATCTGAAGAATTGAATGATGAAACATGATCACCAATGAAAATTTGATGTTGTTGTTGTTGTTCTTGAATTTGAGAACGAATAGACGGTGATGTCATTGACGTTTCCTCACCACCATACATTGATGCTGAATCAAGTATTGATGATGTTTCATAATCAGATGTTATTGAACGATGTGATGAATGTGGTGTTTCACTACCCACTGTTGAGCCAAAACCACTACTTGGAGCGAGTGATTTCTGTTGTAAAAATACGGTTTTAAGTTCTTTTTTTCTCCTTCAATTCATTTTGGATTTGAACAAGAGCAGAGGGAATAATTCTTGCTCAAGAAAATCCACTCACACATACATACATTTCTTACAAATTTTTTTTAATATGATATAGGAAGCTTCCAAAAACTATATTCTAACGTATTTCAAGGGCATCGTCTTAAAAGCGAACACTTTAATAAAAATAATTCCATTTACATACTTTTTTTTGTTGTTTGGTATCATTGAATGGTAGGCTGCTCAAGGATGAATGTGAACCCATGAATGATGCTGACTATAAAAATTTATAATTAAATATATATTATAAAAAATTATTAAGATTTTTAAAGGCTTCTGCTTTTGAAAAGCAAAAAAGTTAATTATTCGAATGATTTCTCTTATAAACATGTCACGACAATAAGTACTCATCGAATATGGCAATCCTATTATTTTTATGTCTCATACAGTATCAATAATACGAAAAAATAAATGTTCACAGCAACTATTTTGATTTAACAAAGCAATAGATGCACTGATTAATTAAGGGATAGATATTCTATATCGATTACTTATACTCACTTCAGATGTAGAATCATCGGGAAAACGACGTGCACTATATATACTGCCATCGTCACCACCCAAACGTTGATGTTGATCAGCTAACTGAAACAATAATGAATTTGTGAAAAAATAAGCACGCTAATTCTAGATTAATACTTGATTTCCACTGTTTTGTTGATCATGTTTTCGATGTTTTGATGCTACTTTAAATTTGTCGCCTACAATAAATTGAAAGGTTTTTTTTGTTCAAACAAAACCTATGTCTTGCTTACTTAAGGAATGTTTAATGTCTTTAAGTGACAAATGTTTTTTTTTCGTTGCTAAATCCAATACACTTCCAGTTGTATTATTTTTTGAATAAAATTGCAACGAAACTTCAATTTCTCCACGATCTTTATCAGATTTCCCATCTTTATCAGTTAATTTACACCATCTTAACAAATCGAATATCTAATTAAAATCAAGCTTATTAATTCTTTTCTTTACTTTGTATGCACACGATCATAATCATTTAAATCACGTAAAGAAACATAAGCACGACCAATAAAATCTCCTTTAGATAACGAGCTTTTATTTTTATGATATATAGTTAATTTTATTCTTGCATCATCAGCTATGGGCCTATAAAATTCATTAAACAAAGATGTAAGATTTTTTATTTTAAGCATCTTTTATTCCGTTACATATCACATTGTTCATGCCAATCGGGTGAAGAAGTTTTTTCACATACAGCAGTAACAAATTTTTCTTTTCCATTAGAAATAACACAAAAAGGATCGATTCCTATTTAATTAGTAAACAAAATTGTAATGGTTCTTTTATGAATGTCAAGTTTTTTTTATTGTACACTACCATTTTTTGTTTTATCTAATAGATTTCGAGCTTGATTCACTATCAAAAATTGTAAAGATAAATTATTCATCAAAGTTAGATTAAGAAAAAAATCTTACCAGTACAACTACAATAGTTTGGGCTCAAATTTATTTTCGACATGTTCGTCCTTTAAAACAATAAACAATCTGAAATCTGAAAAGTAATATTTGACTTGATTCAGTTTCAGTTATTCAGTATTTATGCATCTGTGGATGACGCATCACTAACAACAAAACATTATGAAAAAAAACGGAAGAACAGAAAGAATCTTTCTCTCTCTCTCTCTCCCTCTCTGTGATATATACCTATTACTCACCTCACCTTTGTTCGTTTTCATAAAGTGCAGGCATAAAACTAATATTTAACTGACAAACAACGGATGATCGAAAGAGCAACACAGCTAATACGCGAGAGAAAAAACTGATCAACCGATGCAAATATGCATTTATTTATTTTTTTTTTGCATTTCGATATCGTCTAGAAAATTAGCTCGACCGAAAAGTTTCTCTTCGATGTCATGATAAGAAAAAAAACCTATACTGATGACTCAGCTGTTAATTTACATAATAAAGAATGGTGACGAAATAGGTGAATGCAAATTTTTAAATTATACCAAAGAAAAGTATTCAGGTGAAAAATTAGACTCGAGATTCATCACACTTACACAACACAGTAAGACACAAATAAATCGAAAAATACTATGAATATATATATATCATTAAAATCCTTTTCAATTGTTATAAACAATGCATGTCATAGGTATTATGTCAAAACTAATCAATTGAGATATAGTCTCTCAATTATAGATCAATACAACAAAAAGAAAAGAGCATACGGATTACGTTCATGTGTTGTTCGAACGTGCAAACTATTGAAAAGCAATAAAGAACAAAAATGAGACGAGAATGCGACAAGTACACATTTGTAGTCTCACACATATCGAGCAAATTAAAATATTTGAATAATCTTTCAGACGGGGTGAACGAAATTCTGTTCATCAATGTTTGATTAATAATGCATAAAAATTAATCAAATGAAAAAATACTATATATTTAAATTCACAACGCTGTATATTGTGTAGAACTAATGATGCCTATAATTTATTATCGAATCTTAAATTTGGCATCACTACATAATCAATGCTATTTCTATCATCAACAGAGGATAGACAAATATAGATGAATGCGTTGATGTAAGATTGTCTTTAATCAATATTGATTTTATAGGCTTGAATATTTTCGAGTAACAATTCAACATTTCATCAAATGCGACTGTTTTTGGATTATTTTTCTTTCAAAAAATTATTTCGAATAAATTGTATACTCAAGCCATTCTCAGATTCAACATTCTTTTAACCTGAGCCTGATAGAAACCATTGCGATTAAGTTTGAGTTCGACAATTTTATTTGTTAGTCTAACATATAATAGATTGACTATTGTCGACGGATTGCAGTTATTTGACAATTGTTGATATTAGTTTTTTAATAAAAATCTGTGATACACATAAAAATATTTGCAAATTCATCACATTAACAACAAAGTGATCTCAACAGGTTATTATTATTATTATTATTATCAATAATAACAGTAAATCTTTCAAAAATTTGAACAAATAATTCAATCAACACAGTACTCGACGGCTGTAAAATTTCGAATGTCATGACTACAACTTAATTTTAAAAAAAACCGAAAAAAAATGTACTTTATAAGTTTTCATAAATATTTAACTACTTGCATTGTATTGAAACGTGATTTATTAATATTGGTTTTAATGTCTTGTTTACAGAGATTTTCAGAGATGAAAATAAATTTAAAAGCAATAATTAACATAACACCTTATTTCAAAGTAATTGGTTGGAAAGAAAATCATGGTTTATATCAACTTAGAATTGATTCATGCCAATCAAACAATACAAAACATGTGTATTACAATATTTTTTCAGATGAAATTCAGGCGATCGATTGTTTCTAAAATTTTATTGAATGATTATAACAATACTATTTAAGCCGCTCGAATAAATACTGCGTTATCAGTTTTTGGGCAGTCCTGTGCAAAATTAAATAGTAAAATTGAACTTCATTTCAGTGTACTATGATATTTGTTGCAATCCAACAAGATACAAATGCTGAAGATTCAAAACTTTTGCGGGAAGTATAATAATTAGAAACTAACTTCCATAGAAATAAGTAGTAAGAGGCTGAAATATTGGAATTGTTCTTTCATGATATGGAATGAACCACATAAAATGTATTTGACTCAATCATGTTGCAAAGAAAATGAATTTTGGTTCAATATGAATTGTCATCATCATCATCATCATCATCATAAATTAGCCATATTTGCAGGTAAAATATCATCGCAATCGGCCTTTCTCTATTACCGTATCAATATTTCAAAAACAACATTTACTCTGAATATCACTAATATTGTTCAATTCGATATAATCTTTCTGTCAAACTAATATATTTTCAATTGCTAATGTAATACTTGTACAAGAAGAAAACGAGTAGTTCTTCTAGTTTAAATCTTTATCTTGATTTTAATGACACCGTGAATAGTTTGTCTACATATATTTACTGTCGGAAAAAGATAGATGATTGGTAATTGATTGAGATAAAATATTTTATCGACGTGAAAAGCAAAATCAATCTGCTATTAAGCAATTATTCATTTACTCATTTTTTTTAAATGTGCGGATAGAAACATTAAAAAAAAGTAGCATTTCAAGAATTTTCAATAATAAAAAACCAGAAACTCATTTCTCTAAATCCGATAAGAAAATGGTAACTTCCAAAAACAAAAGAGAAAACTTCAATGCAAAAAAGCTGTTTCTCTGCATTCATACCACTAGCGCCATCTTTTTCTTTACTTAATCTAATTGGATTATTTCTATAGGCCAATGATTATTTTTATCCCCATTCCAAGATGTCAACAACTTTTTTTTTACTTATGTTAAAAGTGCGCATGACGATGTAAAGCAAATCTTTAGTCTATTTCTTGTGTTTTTTTAACACGCCTTTACTTAGCATATAGTACCACTGTCGCACGCATACCTTTTTTTTCCGTTGTATTTGATTAATTCTATCAATGAAAATACATTTCTTTTTGAAGTATCGCCTTAAGGGCTTTTTCTAAATACTAAAAACCCCAAAATATATTTATTAAAACACACTACTTTATGTAAATCAATTCATTTTTATAGATTTATTTTTCCTAATGTACTTGAATGGATAAGATATCATGTCACTATCACCACCAATATATTGTCTATCTGTAGTGAGCATAGATCCCTTGGCTGGTAAATCATCATTATGTAAGCGTTTGATTGATTCAAATAATGATAATTATCAATTATTTTTATCAAATAATGATAATACTAATATTTCTTCATGGTATTATTGGGGTTCAATAAAGCATCGACGATTAGATGAACAACGTGAAGCAATATTTCATTTAATTGAACATACATCAATATCTACTGATATTAATGAATCAATAGATAATTACTTGAAACGTATATCAATATCATCATTACGCGTGGAAGAAAAATCAACTTCACAAAGAAAACTATTTTCTAAAGATAAATTCAATATCAATGGATTTTTGTGTATATACGATTTATCATCGAATAAACCAATAGCAGATTTTATAATACTTCTTCATGCTCTATTAAAAACTCGTCGTTCAATCATAATTGCAACGACAAAAAATGATTTAGTTACTAATCAAACACTTCTATCTATTGAATTTGAACATTCTCTTCATTATTCATTACCAAATATACCTATTATACATACATCAGCACATGAACACGTTAATATACAATCGGTACTTGAATTGGCTTTACATGCATGTGATGAAACAACAAAAAAAGCTTTTCATAAAAAATATATTCCACCTAACTATATAGATGCTTATAAAAATGAACAATCATTAAAACATATCATACAAACTGAATATCGAGGATTATTAACTCGACATGTTCCTGATCTTCGTGTCGGTTCATGGGACAAATTTTATGAACGATGGCAAAATCATACATGTGTACAAACATTTATTGATATGTTTGGTAAAAAGCAAGCACAATGCTTATTTCATGAGCATATTGAAGAAATTAAAAGATGGAGACAAAAATTAATTGATGAAAGGCTAATTCCAATTATTGAAATGCTTGTAGGAGATCAAAAATCGAAATTATCCAGGTAGGACGATTTTTCTGTTTATGATAAACAAAAATTCAAATAGAATCGATTGAAAAAAATATTAATGTAATATTGCAATAGTAATAAAAATTTGATATGTGAAACAATAACAAACGAAGTATTCTGATTGATTTCTGTGCAAAAATATGTGTCTAGAGATTCTGTCTTTAAGTAACGTAAGAGAAGTACTTCTATGATAGTTGTATCATATGATGGGAACAACGAAGAGATTTGATCAATTCCTAATATATTTTAAATAGTAAAGATAATATTTTAGAACAACTCCAGGATGATATTCAACAATAAATTTTAAAGTTACGAATTCAAAAAGATCTACATATTCTTGATTCAAAAATGATTTAGCGAAAGAATGGTTGTCATAGTGATATTTTATTCATAGATTCCTGGGTTAGAGATAATTATGTTATCATAGAGTTCGATAATATTTAGATACATTAGTTCATATTCGTTTCATATTAATATTATTAATAAGATCATTGAATTCAAACGATAAAACATTCAAATATAATGTTTAATTCCCATGTTGTGTTCATTAAGCTCTCGTTCCCACAATTTTGTATATCTCTAGTTAGAATATAGATTTATAGATATGGTAGTGGAACTTAGTTTAAGATTTAATTTTTAAGTGTTTAGCTTGTTGAAAAATGTAGAGTCTACTATTTTAAAGTAACGTGTAGTTATGTATAGTTTATTTATCATTATCTGAAACTTGTAAAAATAATTTTCGTCTATTAAGAAGAAAATTAGTTGTTTCGTTCCTATAGTATTGACTAAACAATTTTCAAGAGATCTATTTGACCCGTTAAGATTGTCGATTCCTCGTGTTGGACATTGGTTTTAAATAAAACACTGATCAATAAAGATGAATGAATCTTTTTTTACAGATGTCTAAATTTACTTTACACAGGCAGAAGATATTCTTAGCAACAAAGAACAACACAGAGTTATCAATATATATATATATTCGAACATCTGTTTGATAAAAGTGGAAAAATATTATACTAGTAATTTGAGTTTACTTTAGGCGGAAGTTTAATAACTGATAAATTGCATTTATGTCAATACTGAAAAGTGTTGGAATCTTCAACTAAAGACTACAGAGTCGCTAGATATATTTTAACGCTATTTTGTTTAAATGTAAATAGTGATCCTATTTTTAGAAGTTTGAAGAATTGATTGTCAGATTTTAACCTCGAATTCGAATGTTTTTCCTATTTTTAAAGATATAATTACGTTAACAGTTTGTTATATATGTCGGTCCCGTAAATTTGCAGATTCAAGATTCTTTCTTTCAGAATAATAAAACACCAAAAAGGCTTGAAACTTTTGACAGTAAACATTTTTCAGTGAGACTTGGTTATAAATAAATGTGGAAACTTCGGATTTCATCCGAAAGTTATGTGTACTGCGAAAAGCGCATGGGACGTATGAGCCATTCTAGAATGTCTGAACACCAAAATTATCATGAGAAACTAGGCAATTTGATTTCTGGATGCAGTTTTTGTGCATTTTGAGACGTTTTTCANTTATCGTGCCTACGGCCGGCCGGCCGGACACACTGACCGATTCTAGAGTGTACTCACTTTTTGAGTGCACAAAAACAATATTCAGTTGAAATTCGAAAATCAGTATTTTTAGTGTCTATGAAGGACATCACTGTAGCCATTTAAAAGCTAACATAGCAATACAACTACCGATGGTTTAATCAAGTGAATATTAGGGGAAAATACTCGCGTTTCAGATCTTTTCATCTTTTATTTGTCATGATGCTTAAAAAAATAATGTAACTTTGAGGATCGAGTCTAAAACTATTATTTTATATATATTATATTTATCAGTCGATGTCTTTAAATGATTTTCCTGAAAATAACAACTAGATCCATTGCTAAATGCATGCACATCTAGTCATGAAACTGTTTTGCTTTGTAAATAAATGATTGTACAATAATAGGGAGACTAGTCGTTATAAAAATGCATATATTGACAAGATATTTCAGTAATGAAATGCTATTTTTTACTTTGTAGAAATTGGGAATATGTGCGTTCACAAATGCAAAAACATGCCCAATATTCTTCAACTGTGATACCAACACCAATGTGGTCAGATTCAGAACGTAAAAATACAAACAATGCACTTATCATTCCTGAAGATCTACTTGATACATTTGAAGCTCGTCTTCGTTTTGAATCGTATCTAAATAATCGTCAAGTTGAACAAACACGTCGAATGAATTGCCGATTATTTTTCGATTTATTAAATCGTTTTTCTAATGCTGGCCTTATTCATTATGGTGATTCCTATGATAAAGATTCTGTTTATTTTTTGGGTCGTGAATGCTATGAATCATTGAGTGCACATGATCGTTTACGTATATTTGCATTACATCAATCATATCTCTATCGTTTAATATGTTTAAAATTTGTTGAACTATTATTTGAATCATTAGAAATTTTCATAAATACATTTGAACAAATGAATTTAACAACAAAATTAAATCATGAGAAGAATTCTTATAATAGAAAAGCAACAACAATTACAATAGATGATATATTTCAAAAAGAAATTATCGAACAAATTAAACATGACTCGAGGTAAGAGGATTTTCGACTTATTCGAGTATGGAATCAATTTGATTATTAGTTGGAAGTCTGACACAGTGAAATCTTTAACTAAGCATTTGGTATGACATTTTCTTTAAGTGTAAACATTCGCTCTACGACTTTCCAATGGAAAGAACCAAACTTAAATTTACTATTATGATCTGAGATAAAAGTTGCACCAACTATGCATGCTGATCATTTCTGAAGGAATCTTGAAAGCTCACTAGTAGTTTTGCAAATGGATATCTGTTCATAAAATGATATAATTTATTAAAACTAGAGAAAGCTTTAATGAAGTTCTATACATTATATTGAGGTTTTTTCTTTTAAAAATGAATGTTGTTGCTTATAGTCAATGTCGTCAGATAGTAATACTAAAATATAAATAGATAAATAGAAAGTTTGTTTCAATACTTCGAGAATGATGGGAAATCTAACACTTTTATAGTAAATTTATCTTAGTAAGAACTGTAACACTATTGATTTTGAATTTGGAAGCCAATTTAGATGTTATTCTGAGATAGGAATAGGAAATTTTGCTTTAAAAAAAGTAACTATAACTAAAGAAGGAAATATTAGAAGTACAAACTCTACAGACAATGTATATGGCTATTTACGGGTGACAAAAAATTGTCATCGTGCGATATTTCGTCATAACTCAGCATCTAAGAAAAGTATTAAGAACATATTAAAGTAAAAAAAGAGATTAAAGAATAATGAAAAGTGGTAGACTGCACATCAGCAAATATAATTTTCTAATTAAATCTAAAAATAAAACAAAGTTCACTACCCTAACACCAAGCATAGTGATATTATTGAAACATTGCTTTTATCGATTTTTTGAAAAGAATTTCTTGAATATAAATGTATATAGATATAAATAGGGATCCGTTATCATCACTATACTGTACAAAGAAGTTGGTAGAGGATTTCTATTGTTTTTATTAAGTATCGAATGAATCATGTTTTACCCATGAATGTGTATTGTTCAGTTTTTTAAACTTTGAAAATAATAGAATTGAATTTATTATTTGTATGAATATAGATATCAATCATTAAACGCACGAGAAACTGATCGGCATCGTCTAATAATGTGTCATTGTCATTTTCTATACGATTGTATTTATTATCCATCGTTAACTATCAATCAAATATTGAAACAACGTCGACGTTCATTTAAACGACGAAAATCTTCATCGATATCGTTGTTTAGTAATATGAATGTTGATGATAATTTTTGTCCGTATACAAGAAAAATTTTATCCAACAATAATGATGACAATGAAACAAGAATTACGCAAAGATTTGAAATCGGTTGTCCCATGGAGAATAATTGTGCAGATATTCGTATTGTCAATGAAATCTTATCGAAATTAAAATCCATTAATAATAATAATAATAATAATAAGTATAAATGGCTGTTGTTTTACTTCAGAAAAATAAATTTTTTTTTGTCCAATTAGAAATGTCCTAATTTGTGGAAATGATATTGATGTGGATCATTTTTTTCGAATAATATCCGTAAGTTATAATCAAACTTTGTTGGCAAGAAAAAATAGAATCAATGATCTTCTTTTATTTAGAATGAACAAAATAATTTGCACATAAATTTTCTCACATTGAAAAATCTAAAATTTCAACCAATTGATGGTTAGATTTGGCTTTATGTTTAAATTAAGCTTATTTTCAATTTTCTTTAGGTTATGTTTTTGTTTCATCAAATTCTCAAGAAATTTTACAAGATTTTATTTCTGAGAAAAAAATTCAGTTAAGCATTGATCGTAAGTGCAAAGTCATATGAAAACAAAAAAGGTTTCAAAAAGAAAAACTTTTGAATTCAGATATTCAAACTGTGGATCTGCATTCTCAAATTGATGGTAATTCCATTTCGAACATTCCAATTGATATAATTAAAACATCACTCGAACATCTTCTGTCCAATGAAGAATCTCAAAATAACCTGCAAAAACCTGTTCATCTTCGTATATTACTTTGTTTTATGTGTGGAAGTGAAACCAATGATGTCAAAAATTTTTTCTCACAATTATCTTCACGTTGTTCTCTTATGATTAACAATCAATCGTCATTTATGATTAATACATTTCTTGGTCGATCAAATCGAAAAGTAAAACAAAAAGGACTGAAGTGAATCTATAGAAAAACTGTAAATCTTTTTTTTTTTTATTAGATTGAATTCATTCGGTTTCATTTCATTCGTTATTTGCAATGAAATTAATTGACTTTGATGGGTTTATTTTGTTTTATGATCGCGATCGAAAAGGAGCTCTTAATACGATGATGTAAGTCCATGAAGTAGTCTTCATTCAGAAGTTTTCAATTCAAAATTTATATATGAAAACATTTTCAATACCTCTACCATTTCTAATTAGACACATAATCCTTTCTATCTTTAATTTTCATTTTGAAGTTTTTTAGTTGGACTAATGATTCTTTTAGTTACTTGAAAGATAGAAGATTAATATGAAAGGACATCAACATGAAATATGGATAGTTCAGTCAATTACAAAAACGATGTGTTTCTAACATACATTATACACTAATCAGACATAAATAGAGACATAACAAAAGTGAATGCAATTCGACTCCCTAGATAATTACTACTATTTACTTTTCAAACATTAAACTTCTGCATGGAATGAGATTTTTCCGTTTAGTTTATATTTTCATGAGCATTTATACTTTCAACGACGTTAATACATAAGACTATTAGTAAAAGAGAAATAACTTGCGGATTAGGAAATTTACTGTCAGCTTGCAAATAGCTTCCTAAACTTATAGCATCATATGAAGAATATAATCAGTATTACTGATTATTATTTGACAACTGTTTTTGCAATCATTTGAAATATAAAGTGATCATTATTTAATCTGATACAGGTGTTGATGGTTTTTTCCTGAGAACAGTAAATAAATAACTATGCGTTCTATGATTAAAGAGATTGAAAATTGCAAGTTTTCTTTAAGTGTGTAGTTTTGATCATCTCAATGCGACGTTTTTCCAAAAGTCTCAATGTTAACTTACATAAAATCAGTTGATTTGTCTTACCGAGAATTTAGAAAAAAGGAATTCTATGATGTATTAGCCTTCGATAATTAACATTGAAGTCAATCATGTTATGAAGCTTTTTCGAGCATAATCTCAGATACGAACTGCACTCCCACTTAGTTTCAATTAAATAGTGAGTGCGCAGAAGGGAAACTCTTTCTATCGGCTATGTTGATTGTATTTCCTGGATCCAATTGCTTAATGATCATCTTTCCTTTATCAAAAACATCAAACTATATGCCTCAGAAATAATTTCATATTTTATTATTTTTTATTATTATTTAACTTAGATATCTGGAAACATACATTTCAATCAAATTAAAAAATGAGTCAAAAGAAAAGAATAATCCGGATGAAAAAACGAATGAAACAACGAACATATGTCCGCCTAGTTACATTCTATCGTGTGTGAAAGAAGCCTCCTTATTAAATACAAGAAAATCTTTAACTGAGACTCCAAAAACCAATTTTTGTGTACAGTGTAATAGTGGAACCATTAAAAATTTTATTGAATGTAAATATTTGAATTTAACTCATTACTGTAATACTTCATTTATTCTTTTTGTCTTAGCACATCTTTTACCTTTTCTGAATCAATGTGCGAACGGCAAACATGAAAATAAAACTCAGAATGATAGATATCAAACTGAAGAACTTCTTACTGGCGTCACATCTTATTTCGAGTAAATCAAATAATTCTTTCTGTTATTTAGAAGAAAAAAACATATTCTTTGTTTTCATTGCTATTAATAGTAGTCGTGCTGGTCATTCATCTGTTCAAGATTTGATGGCACGTAGTCTTGAACATACACATGAGTCAATAATAATGAATAGTTTAAATAATGATCGAATGAATTCATTGACTTTAATAAGTAAATCAAATGCAGATTCTCCAAAGCATCATCATTCATCATCAACGCCAACTAATCCTGAACAAAGTAAAACAAAATAGAAATGAAGATCTTAGAATAATAAGTCATTTTAGAAATAGGATTTAAAGAAAAAAAAATGATTGAAATACAGGATTTTAAAATTCAAGTTTTCGCACAGACGTCATTGATATACGATCATCGATTCTGTATAAATAATACTAAGTTATAGTCTAGAATTTTCTTTAATATTTGTGAAATGAAGTAGATAGTTGATTTGAAAAATAGATAGAATAAATAAATCTCTTTATGATTCACACGAGCAAATAGATTATGTTGCATTATTTTATTTCATGCGGATCGTACTAATACCTTTTTTATGTATAGTTTTCTCTTATCGATCATATCCTTACTTATCGAATTCGACCAATGGTACTGACTCAACAATTGTGCCGACAACACCAGTTGATCCATCCATACCAAATTTCTCTTTTGTTTCATCCACAAATTCTATATCTGATTATCAACGTCAATATTTTCAAAAGTCGACTAGCATGCGTTTTGCTAAACTAATTGAACATCCAAGTAAGTTCATATATCTATTTTATTCATTAAAACTAGTCTGTAGTTAATGTGCCCTAATCAAAAACAGTAAAACTTAGGTGGTTAAGGCTAAAACATAATTATCTATTTATTCTAGTAAATTATTTAACATTTAACGGTAACGTATATGTATTCGTGCTTGTAACTTTATTGCTTATTGTTTTTTCATTCATAAAATCTCTCTAAAAAATCATTTCACATCCTCATGCATTACATTTTCACGGATAATTTGTTGATAATAACTGAAATAATAGAAACCCAGCAATTTTCACGGACAACTTGCTATTGCTTTTACCGATTGCATCCAAATATTAAAACTTCTTTTCTATTCTTGTCTTTAGCTAATCTAACCAACTATGAACCATCGTTCAATGATGACCATGTAAGTTTAAATAAAAAATAAAGCTTCTTAATGAAATTCTCTTTCATCAATCATATATTGTGTTTACAGTCATTGTTGCGTCGGAAAATTTCGGACGTTGAAGAAATAAAATTTCATTTATATAAACATCGAACTGCTGCTCATGTTAAAGTTCCATTAGCAACACCAGAAATAATTGAATTAAACGAAATAACACCTTTTTCGATTCAAGAATATTATGATGCATCATCTCCGAAAACAGATAGTAATAAAAATGATCTTATTGATTCTTCGTCATCTATTATTCAAAGTAATACTGTCGATGAATCGGTTACGGATTCGTCAAAACAAACAAGAGGTATAACTTTAATTTATTAATTTTCTTCGTATTTGAAATTTATTGAAATATTTTTTAATTAGTTACTGATTCATCGGTCGACAGTTCAAGTGATGAACGTTTACGAACAACATCAACACCACCACAAAACGTTGCTGTCTTACAAAGAAAAGTATCCGATAGAAAAATAAAACGCATACGCGCTAAACAAAATGATCTAGCATGTTCAGCATCAAGTAGTGAAGTTTTAAAAAAACGTAATGAAATTTTATGAGTTACTAATTTTATTTAAAATTATTTTGTTCATTTAGCTGGATCTGATGAAGATATTTTAAATGACGATGATCAAGCTAATCAGAAAAAGAAGCGTCGGCCAAGTTTTAAACGACGAAAAAAGAATATGTATGATCAAGCACAAACTGATTCAGGCATTGATTCTAGAATGGGTAAGTCTTGTTTTGTTTTTTATTGCATCACCAGAATAGTATAGCTCCTAAAACAGGAAAATGAGAATCCTAGAAAATCAAAATTTTCGACTTCAGATTTTGTTTTCTAATTTTGATTGTCTCTCTCTGATTGAATCTGTGAAGTATAAACATTTTGTAATCTATAGTACAGCAGCGACCATTTAACATGTAGTAGACATCATGACTGTTCAAAACAATTTCGTTTTCCACTGGAACATTTTTCATCTCTAAGTTGAAAATACAGCCCAAAACTATTTTTTGTACAAGCAAAATGTAATCATACATATTTCTACTTGCTGAATACTGATTTTCATCGTAAAAGTAAGTTCATAAAATGAAAGATATCTAAAAAACAAAGATGAATCTGTAAATGATTCTTGCTTGAATGTTTCTTCCCATATAGCTAAATATTTGATATGTTTAACACTTGAATGTTTTTATTTTATCTCTCATACCGTTTTTTTCCAAATAACATTTTAAATGTACATAGAGTTCTAAGTCAATCGTCGACCACTTTCTAAGTTAAAATTAAATTTAATCATGGGAAAGTATATAAAATATAAAATTTAGCATTGTATTGAGAATTTGCTATACTGAGAATTAACTTGTTAGACAATAAACTTCCTATTCAATTGATTGAAAACTAAAATAAACTAATTCTAAGGGATATTTTTTAATTTAGATTCAAAAGATTCAAATAGAGCATATAATACGCCTGAACCTTCAACAAATATTATTATATCAAACGAAGAGGATTCAAGTGTTGGTGATTGTGTAAAAGATAGCAAAGTAACATGAAAAGAAAAAAAGCTCAATTATGTTCACTCTTTTTTTTGTTTGTTAAGGATGCATCCATTGAAGAACTGGAAGAAAGACCAACAGCTAATTGGATTCGTCGTCAACTCCAACATTTTGCTCAAGCTAGACGTGAAGTAAGTTTTTCAGTTCTTCACGAACCAATACGATGAATCATCGTTTTCATTCGTTATAGAAAAATGAATTAAAATATCGATCTCCTGCTCTAACAACAATATCTTCTCTGCCTCCATCAAAAGCAGCTATAGCAACAAATCCATCTCAAACCCATCAAAATACTTCTCCTTTTTCGTCTCTTGAAAATTCTTATCAACATGTTCCAATTCGTTTAAAACTTAGTCGATGTATATTATCAAATGAAACAGGCATCCCATTATTCGTTGAAAAATGTATTCAATTCATTGAACAACATGGTTTAACTATTGAAGGGCTTTATCGAATATCTGGCTATAAAAATCAAGTTGAATTAATTATTAATAAACTTAACGAAGATCCAAATTATGACCTTAATTTATTACAAGTTCCAGCAAGTGCTGTCGCAACAGCATTTAAAGATATGATGAGAAAATTAGATGAACCTATTTTATCATTAGAACAATTTGATCAATGTCAACTATTAACAAGTAAAAAGAGAGAAAAAGAAAACAAAAAATGATTTTGTTTTTATATAATTGTTTTCTTTTCTTTTTTTGTTAAACTTTAGTTGATCAATTACGAGAACAAAATTTTATTCCATTACAAAAGGCTTTATTACGTACAAGCGATCTTAAATATCGAACAAATAAATATATATTTAAACATCTTCATTTGTAAGTTTAACAATTTCCGTTTATGGATTATATAAGAAAAAACGTAACTATTTTAGTGTTTCTCAACATACTACGTTAACTCATATGGATTCATCGAATTTAGCTGTTTTATGGTGGCCAAATTTATTTCAACCACAATTTCATGATTTACGTACAGCTGAACAAATCTGTCAAAAAGCAAAACCATTAATTCAAGCAATTATCGATAACTATCCAATTATTTTCAATTCTGATCAAATAAAAGAAAAAGTTTGATTCTATTCTTCTATATGTATTGGTGTTTGTTCCTTCTAGTCAACAACGGGTGCTTCCGTGTTGTGATTTTTTTTTCTTTGTTGTTTAATTGAGAATTCTTGTATCTATGTGCGTTTGCTAGTCGTTAATTTATCTCTATTCCATGCAAATAATTTGAAAATATTTGTTTCGTTGTTTTTTTTCTTTTGTAATTAGAACAGTAGTTTTTTTTTGTTTTTTTTCTCGTATTGTATTTATCTATATACATGTATTTTGTGCATGTCGTTGGATTTTCTTTAAACAGTATCAAGTCAATGAATGCGATTATTGAGAAATACTAACTAAGAGTTCCAACAGAAGACGATATTGTATGTGTGTAAATATATTTGGATACATAGATATGTGAATGTGTTCTGCTTTCTTCTTTTGGTTGTTGTCTATTTTCAGTGTATTGTTTTCTCTTTTTTTTTTCGTATAAAAGCTGAAAAAAAATATATAAACACAAGTATTGGTATTTAACTTAACTCTTTAGTGGCTGTGCATTCAAGTACTAAATAATTCCACATCGGAGAAAATGACTATCTGTACTTTTTTGCTGTATGAATTGAAAATATTCTCTCTCTCTCTCTCTTTCGAAAATACAATATTTTGTGATGAAAGTAACTTTGTGAAAATGATTTTTATGCTTTTTCATATTCGAGTTTGGAATTATCAGAAAATAAGTTACTCTACGTTATGGAAATACGGCGGGTAGTAGTTTTAACATTATGTCTCGTGAAATAAAAAGAACAAATGAAGTAGGCATTTGACACAATAATTTTATTAAACATCATATAAAAAGCGAGGGGAGTAATAAGAAAAAATTCTGACGAAGAAATGCATTAAAACATTGCTTTTCTTTTTAAATTCATCATCACTCACGAAATTTTTATTTTTGTTACTACGGAAATTTTTCCTTTATAATTTCACACTTATCTCAAGATGTGATTCTTCCTTTAAGCGGAAAATATGTATTGTGATCACTAGCATGATGCAGTACTTTTCGGTGCAAACTTCGTGATCGTATTGCTTAGAAAGCTAGTTATTAATACAAATTATGGCATAGGAAAAATAACATATGATAATAAAATTCTGTGCAAAAGACTGCATGTAACGATATTTTCAATTGAATTTGAATCACTATTCACGAAATTGAATTGTTTCTCGCTAATGTTCGTAGAAATATTGCTTAAAAGTGCTGTAGTTATTCAATAGCTGAATACGTAAATAGTATGCAAAGAGAAGGAAAAAGAAAATGCAGTGGACAACCAGAACGAGGGAAAATGAAAAGGCTTCAACATCAGCTTTTATTCAATGGAAAATTAAATATCATTCGGTCACAAGGTACAAGCAAAGAACGAATCAAACACAATGTGAGTAATACATCTATTAGATTTTGCGATTAAGGAGAATTTTAGAACAAGCCATATTCTGCGTTCGCAATTTGTTAAAAATAAGTTAAATATATTTCATTAATCAGTTCTCATACTATTGTCGAAAGTGGACTTGAGCAAGATTTTAAAAACTAGAATACAGCCATGCCAGTCTCTCAAGTATTTCTTTTACTAGATAAATAATTTCATGGAAGAAAAATGCCTACACGATTCGACTTCTTTGAAAAGTAAGATCCTCCTAATATGTAGTCAACTGAAACATGTAAAGAGTTCGATCTACTGCACTCGACACACTATCGAATATCAGTTGTTTAAGATGCAGCCATTGATTTAGTTGAAAAAGCTTGTTAGCGCAGCCTCTTTGGGGTTAAAGTGTGGAACTTACATATATCCATTAGGCTTCCTAAAATGAAAAATATACCTTCATTTCCAAAATCTATAATCAGATCATCACCTATTTGCTGATGTCTGTAATACAGGGTTAATTGTTAGCTGGCATCTTTAACAATAACAAAGACTTGTTGTTGAGGTCGCTAAAGTCTGTAATAGGTAGGCCTTCCTTTTTTCGTATAGGTTTTAATTTAAAAAAAGGCGAAAATGACAGCCTAATTAGCCTAGCTCCTAATTAGTACAGTTTTAAACTCATTAATATCTATAATGGAGAAGGGGAAGTTGCAAAAATCTCGCTATTAAACTTACACGCGCTATTTTCTTCGAAAATATATGTGAGTTTCATAAAAAAATTGCTGCAAGAGTTAGTTTTAAAAACTACTTCAAATAAAATACTACTATCATCAGACAACAAGAGCAGACATACTCTTCGAAATAAGTCCATCCTTTTTTTAAAGTCAATTGAGCTGCCAAATTAGTTAATATTCAAGATTTCGATTTTTACCTTTTTCATTGTACAATCGTGAATTTGAAGTTTTTTCTTTCTTTCGAAATTATTAATTAGTTTTCAATTCTAGAATTCACTTGAATATCATCAAAACATGAAGATATATTTGAAAGATATTCTTAAAGAGCAGTCCTAGGTGCGAAAACGTAAAGTAATGATAAGATTTCTTGATAAAAAAATCTCACTGAGAAGGCTGTACCATCATGTATTGGTAATTATTTCACCTAAATAGTAGTTTTATCATGAGTCTTAAAATTCACAACGTGTATTTGACACAAGAAAACATTTGAAATAAAACAAATCAGAAGTAAAAATAGTTGGGTATGAGTTTTGAAAATATTTCGATGTTTGTCTGAAATCTCTTGATTATAATATTCATGAAGATTATGTCCATGATAGATAAGCTCTTTGCTATGTCGGAAGAGAAATGAAAGAAAAATAGTCTGAACCATAAAGTTACGTTTCAAATTTCAACGTGAATGATAATTTCTTGCTGCTTCTTATGTATTGCAATTTTATTACGTTTAAAACCATGTATGAGTGTGATTAGAAATGCACTCTAACATCAACGCTATTTTAGCAATGATTGTTTAAAAGTCATTCGACGAGTATTCAACAACTCTAGAGAAAATATACAAGAGCTTTGAGAACTTTTATGGCAATACTAATTACCAAAGGAAAATATTGTCTATACATTTACAAGTTTTTTAAGCTAGTTCGATGACAGTGTTCAATAAAGATAACCTGATCGAACATGTAAGTCGTTACAATGATTCATATTCTTGTACCATTGAAAGAGTTCAATTCATGACTGGTACAATTCGTATTAGTATTGATGTACGAGGAGACCTTTCTCACGGTGCGTATACTTTGAATGTGACTAATAGAAATACATACTAACTTTACATTGATATATAGGTCCTATCCCCGACCCAATGTCTTCAACTTCGGGGCTCATCGATGATACATCGCTGGTGAAAAAACAATCACCTATTAGTGAAAACTTCATTGTCAGAAACTCGAGTCACCAGTATCTTGGCAAGTAATCTTATTCTTTATATTACACTTTAACGCGTCCGTTTAATAGGTTACCTTGATTATCCTGTGGATGAATCTTTTTATACAGATGGAAAGACGATTGCTTTTCAATACAGTTCTGATAATTATATGCCCGTAAAACTCTTCAAATTTAATGAAGACTTACTTGGTACATTCTCATAACACAAACATTTAAGAACTTATGTTTTCAGTGGCGTATCCAGCACGGTAGCAATTGGGCAATTGCCACCCAAACGAAATTTTATTGCTACCGATTTCTTTTTTAGTACAGGCAATTGCCCATCGTAAAAAAATAAGAAAATTTGTGTACAGTTAAAGATTTGAGAACTGTTTTCTTTCAACACATTTGCTTGCGGCGAGATTTAATCAAGTGATTTACAAAAATCAATCTTCAATGTCTTCTAGCTAAAGAATGATCACCATAATAATTCATTGATATTTACTGACAAAATACTCTCTATCTCTTATACACTCAAATTTGCTAAAAATAAAGGTGGATAAATGTTCAACGATCTTTCTACTTCTACGAACATAATTCATATGATACAGAAACGACTGAATCAATCTAAATTAAAAAATTTCGCAACATATGTTGCAACATGATTTGTGCAATGTAGAATTGAAAACGTGAGCAAATTATATAGAAAATTAAAATAAAATCGATTGTGTAAATGACAGTGTTTTGAAAACGTTTTCACAACTTATTTCACATAATAAAAGTACTACATTAGTAATGAAATGACAATATATGTAGTTCACAGGATGTGCATATTAGTTAACAGTACAACTAAGAAAAATAACTTTCATGATTGAGAATTTGTTGAAAATATAGATGGAACAATGCTTGTTGCTTGTCATTGTCCAATGTAAGAGAACAAACTAATACGTATCATTGTGTGATCGATGAAAGAAGATTAACTGAGCTTTTTCGTTGCCTAACGAAAGAGAAGAAAAAGACACTGATAATTTTTCGGCGAAAAAAGATAAAATAATACTCACCCTCACCCACACCCTTCTTCAAATAAAATATTCAAATATATGAAATTGAAAAAATAGATTTACGAAACACGGGGGAAAGCAGCGAATTCATCTGTTAACGTAGGATGACTACAGCTTTCTCTTCAAATACACAACGGCTTCTGTAATGCGCATAATTTTTTTAAATTATTGCCCACTATTGCTACTCAATATAAATAATTTAGCTGGTGAATTGCCACCTACTTAAAAAATCCTGGCTACGCCACTGAATAATTATATACTACAAAAATAAAAGGAATTTCATTCATTCTTACACAAGTCCAAATAATTATTAGCGGTTTCATCATGACTTGAATTATAAATTCCTTTATGAAAATTCTCGATTCCATGAAAGAGACAGCTGCATATTGTTCAGACAGCTGATACAACTCTAGTAGCCATCACAATAGTATGTATCAGAAGTGCTACCAGAATTATTATATCTTTTGAGGATCAGTAGAGTCAAACATGTAATCCTATTATACATATGGACCTTATCTATGATTATTTATATTACAAGAAAAAAACATACTAGTTTAAATATTAGTATATTTATTACTCCTATTTATAAGATATAGAAGATTATGAAAATGAACTGTTAAGTATATTATATCCAAGAGAAGCCTTTAATCTTGCTCTATGGAAATGTTTACACAACAAAATTTTTTTTTCTATTCCATAAATACTCATCAAAAGCAATTTTTATTATCAATACGGTTAATGATAACTTTTATTAGTTTCATAAAATAAAATTTATGATTTGCAATAGCACAATTTGTATATTTATTTTTTGTTTTAATGAACAAATTAAACTCACCCAATTCATCTATGTTTATCAAACCCATTCAAGAAGAAATAGTGATATCAATACTGTGTATTTGATGCCTATATGTGAGTTCACAATGCCTCTATAGTCGAATAATAATCATTGATTTCTTGATATACGCCATGTTTTTTTTTCTATACTACCTGCAGAGAACACAATAAATAATACTGTTCACATAGTACTTGTAGTTGAAGTGTGATTAAAACAATTCAATGTGATTAAGTCATTTTAGAGATAGTTTTTCGTGAAAACACAATGAACAGATGTATTAACAGCTTATTATACTGTGTTGTATGTCAAGCCTGCATCTTGCCGTTATTTGATATTTGTTCATATATGAACGATCAGACAGACAATAGGTATTATTTATATATGCTATCGCATGAACTTTGCGTAATGACTATAATGTTCAAATTGAATTTCGACAAAGATATTGATAGTGTGCGTGTATATATTTAATGTCGGTATAGCACAATGGTATAGAGAATGAACATTCTTTCTTTTTTTCTTGTTGTTATTCATATTCACCTTCTATCGCTAGCCTACTGGCTTTCTCTCTCTCTCCTAGTCTTTTGTTTCTTTTTGCTCTGTTAGAAGAAGCGAACAACACGAGAGTAGGTGTATTCATTCATTCGCGATCGCCTGCAGTCAAAGGTGTTGTAGTTGACCGTAGTGTGTGTGTGTGTGTATATATTGTCACTTTTTTCTCATTTTTATACACAAGTGACCTTGACAAGCGACAATATACATCGACTAAAATACTGCTTTATTAATTCATAGTCAATCGTAATAATGATCGACAAACAACAAAACTAATGTATGTCTGTTATGAATCAAAATTTCTTAGCATAGTCTCACTCTCTCTTACTCTCATATATTTTAGTTTCAAGTGTTTCAGTAGAACAAAGCATAATAATATGGGCACATGTTATAGCAAACGTTCAGCTTGTTATGATTTAACTCAAAATCATCATGCAATAACAATTTGTACACTAAAATCGCCTGGAACACCACCAGCAACATTACGTCGTTTCAGTAGTTTACGTCACAGTGTAAAATCATTTTCGTCGATGGCATATCAACGTCGAAGTTTTCGCACACGATCAACGACAGGTATTAAGCAAAGTCCGAAAACTAAACATTTATGTATTGTTAAATATAATGAATCGAAAGAAGCACTTGTTTGAGTTTGCTTTTACCCGGTGTATGAAATACTATCTATAAAGCATATTATTATGTATTCACTTTTTTATTACTCGAGTTCATGTTACAAGTATTATTTGTTGTGTTTTTATGTTTGTCTTCTGTTTTTTCCGCATTCACATTAAAAGCAATAACAAAAAGACAAAAACGGTTAAATGCGTACAAAGATTCGTAGATTGAAGAAAAAATAATAATAATAATAATAAAGGACGGTATCCTGAGAACTTAATAAGGATTAAGTAGTAGAGTATATCACTCCTTTTTGTAATATTAGGAGATAAGTCATTATGCAATTAGAAATTCTTTGATGCTGTTCAATTATTGAAGAAGAATTAGCATAGTTCTTCTTTTCTTTTTTTATCAACACAAGGAATGTCAATGAGAAGACATTTATCAGTTTAAAAAGATATTCAAATGCGAACGACTCTTGCATTAATAAATGAATCTCGTAATGATATAAGATTATGCGCTAATAATGAGCCATGCACATTTTCATACCATTGCGTTGATCGGCCACTGAAAATTGTTGGAAAAAAAACTTGTTTTTGTTTTTCTGCAATTCAAATTAAGAAAGCAAACAAACCCGAAATCTACGCAAGTAATTTGAGTCACTGTCGTATGATTTGGATGCACATTGGATGGCTTTATATAATAATGTTTATGATAATTAATGCCAATACCCCCCGGTAGAAAATGATTTTGCAGATGATCGATTGATAGAGCACCAACAATGATTGCATTAGCATCAGGTGCCGAACGTAATGTAACTTTTTTTGAAAAACTATAAAAAAAAGATGATGTTGTAAAAGATGAATCAAGAAGATCTATTACCGAAATTCACAAAATGAACGAACAGGAATATAATCGAGAAAATTCACTACATATTGCACTATTTCCTTATCGTCATCGATCTTTTCTACTGTTCGACTTTCAGCAACATGATTATCCCATAGATAACATTCATGTAATACTCTCTGATAAACCTGCTTGACATTTACATTTGGTATATCAACTGAACATTTCCATATTGGTAAATTGTTTTTATCTATATCTGATGTTGATGTTACGGTTGGTTTATGCATGAATACATCAACATCCTCAACATTTGTTTGAACATTCTTAAATTTTGTCAATGACAAGCGCTATGAATAGGCAAAAAGAAATGATTCCTGAAATAAATACAATCTGTTCATATTTTTTGTTTTCTTTTACTTGAAGAAATTCTTCGCTGTTTTTAGAAATATATTTTCTCAAATGAAATTCGCCATTGCATGTATGAGTGACGAGTTCATCCAGTCGTTTTGTTCTTCTGGGCGACGGTAATTTGAGCTCTTCAGTAAGCGTACTCGGAATCTATAAACATATAGAATTTATTTCTTACTAAAAAAAAATGTAATATTTTATTGTTCATACTCGGCAAAGTAAATCGACATTGAGTATCATGATCATAAGACAATGTTCTAATATTAGTCGTTCATTTTCTTGTTGAATAGTATCGAGTTTCTCTTTTCTCAATTTCCACCAAAGAATTTTTGATGATTTATTATGCATATCATAAAAAGATTGAAAGACAGACGGAAGAAAAATTCGTGCCAAATTTCGACAAGTAATCTTTATATGAAAACAGAAGCCACAATAATTATATAGAAAGATAGACAACTCTTCTTCATATATCCTTACTTGGTTATTTCCCGATCGTATTGAAATATCAAGTAGAAATCGAAGAATTGTTTCTAGTACTTCACGACTCTCATCCGGTAACATTAAAAAAGTAAGTCGCAAGGCTAATAATTGTTCTTCTTGTGTTATACCTAAAAAATAAATACAAAAAATCTTGGTCTGTTTTTTCTCAATTGATAGAGAGAGATTCATTACATTTAAGTAAATCACATAAAAGACTTGTTATTGATGGTGGTATAATACATTCTGGTAGTTCTCGAAAATATTGTCGTATAACATCAGCAACAACAAATGGTTGATAGTCATCAAATTTAATTGTTTCTACATGCGATTCGCTGTAAGAATCGTTCTTTAATTCGATTTGTGAACGTAAATGGTCAATTTTAGATTTTACGCCCGGTTTACGAAATAGTCCATCGCATTTACCAGCATTTATACGGAGATATTGTAATGCATTCACTATCGATATTGGAAGAACATGTCCCGTTGTTTGCTGATAAACACGTAATGGAACACCAAATACACGTTTGCCTTTCCATGTTGTTGATTTTGGAAGTTTGTTTATTTTTGCAAGAGTTCTAATCAAATAATTACGATCATAGAATAACATAAACAGATTCTCGAACACTTACATTGTTTCATAGTTATATACATCGTTTGAATTACAATTTTCTTGTGCCATTTTTCGTAATTTCGATAATGCTTTAAGATAGTAAAAAATGTGCCATAGAAAAAAAAATCGTTTTTTTAAATTTTTTGACTTACCTGTTTCACGTAAACGATCAATATCATTTGATAAAAGTAAATGAATATTTATTTCGTTATTATCAGTACGCATTGTTAATATTTCAATTAAACCTTTTTGATCAACTGCTTCTCTAAAAACAAGAATGGAACATGTCCATCGATATCTTATGACTTTAAACTACATTGAAACTAATTGAAAAGAAAATTATTTCTCTCAGAACATTGATATTGTTTGGTCAGACGAAAGAAGCCTCCTGATCCAAGTCTTTTGAAGGTCATCTTAAAAAACGACGGCCAGACGAAGAATAATAAGAAGAAAAAATTTCTTCAAGTTTAAAATTTTCGAAATTGAATCGATCAAAATAGAATAACAAACGTCAAATGTCTACTTGCCTGTTATATTTCTTATCAATACTAGAATATCAATGTGTATGCGCGTAGCAGTCAAAAAATATATAGAAGCAAGAGAAAGAAAATTTGCTCTATCATTCTATATCAACTGACGACAGATCTCTATGATGTAACTATTCGGCACACATGTCCAATTGACTATAAGACACCATCAGTAATTAAGCGAAAAAAGAGAGAGACAGACATAGCTTATTATGCATGTGTGTGTGTGTGTGTGCCAGTCTAACTTTTTATCAGACTGTATCGACTTGTATCGTTGTCTATGGCACATTACCTTCGAATTCATCGTCGTTGACTCGCAAAACAGTAATAACAAAAAGAAAAAAAAGATTATGATAATTGGTATGCAAATAGAAATGTATGCTATGCAGCATTTTTAATCATAACGTACTATAAATGTACAATTCATCATATGCTACTTGTTTCTCGTTGTATCATCATTGAATATAATGTAAAGAAGAAAATAGAGCCTATTAGAGAATTTCCGAGTACTATTCCTTCTTACTTCGTTATATATATTGTCCCATAATGAATAAGTTCTTTTCTTATACGACTCACAGAAGAGAATATCTTGGAGAAAATCAATTAAAAAAGAGATAAACTACCAAAACATACTCAACTGTATACTTAACAAAAAAGCAATATAATAGGCACTCAATGATATTGAACAAGAAATTAATTTAGCTCTCTCTTTCTATAGCACTAATGTCATTAAAGATCATATCAATCGTATATTGGGCGTATAGACGATCAGTGAAGTATTTCAGACAAATGCGAAGCAAATAGAAAAAGAAGGTGCGAAGAAAAAAAATTGTACAGTGATTTATAGAAGTAACAGCCCTCATCTGAAGTACTATTCTCCACTGTTACTTAGTGTATTTGGCTGCAGGTGATTCATGCTTACATTTACCTCTTGATACTACAACACTCATCGATTGAGTTGTTGATGGCAACTTGTGTACGAAATAGGTGATAGCTTCCAGCATATAAGAAATATTGTACCGTTTTTTTTCTTTTATTTATTATAAATGCGAGACAAATATTGATTCAAAGGCGCCGCACAGACCTTGCTTAAACAAAACCGTTTTGTTCATGTTTCTTATTGCTTTTCATTCTCGGTTTTCTTTCTGGACATAGAATGAGTAATCTACAATATTGGATGCGAATACATCCTTTCACTTTACTCTCACCGAACTAAACAATAATTCTCAATGTAAATGATGTACAACATAGCTAGTTTCGTCTTGCGCATATATTGGACAATAATTACATCTCAATCGCTCAACAGAGATACACCGAACAATATTTATGTTTGTTAGAGATAAGAAGAAACGATAGATTGACAACAAGAAAACGACTTACTGATCATTGATTTTTAGGTTAACATCAACGATAGAATCATCAGTTGGATTGATGATTGCTTGTTGAATAATATTTTCATCCAATACTGAATGATTAGTTGATGGCTGCTGTAAATCCTCACCTTCCATTTCAAGACGTGATAAAATAAGATCAATATCATTATTAAATCGTATTAATTCACGTAAAACATTATCTTCATCGGCATATAAATCTACTCTTGAGCTATCCATAGATTTTGTATCATATAAATGACGAAATTTTCTTCGCGGTATTCTTTTAAAACTATCAGTCGATTGAATACGATAAATAAATGGACGTGACGTACCACCTGATCGTCCTAATAAGGAATTAATTGATGATGATAGGGAGTGTGACGGTTGAGTCTTAGTTTTATTAACAATATCATTGTAATATTCATCGAGAATTTGAGCTTTATTCAAAAGTTTTTGTAGTAAACTTTGAGTAGAATATTTAGAAAGATCTGTTGTTGTTAATGATAAATTATTGGAAACAAAACGTTTTGATGTTTTACTTGAATTAATATATTTTTCTTCACTATTTTCTTCATTATTTGTTGATATTATTTCAATATCAGTAAATGAATATGAGTCAATAGGATTATTTAAATTATGATAAACATCATATTGACTAATGTATGGTATCGATTGAGAGTTATGTATAGGATGACGAGGATACTTTAGAGATAATGAATCGTGAAGTTCAACTGCTGCCGACTGGAGCATGTTTGAATCTTGTTCATCATTATCATTAGTTGATCTTTCGGTTTCAATTACAAGTTGATTATTGGAAATTGTTGAATCGTATGAAGTTGCTTCTTGTTGTTTACGAACCGGCGGTTTTCGTTTGTGAGCTTTTAATAAAACAGATAAAATATTCGATACACTTTCTCGCTAAATTCAAAACAAAAAATAAAACTGCATTCAAACCTTTAAAAATTTGTATTCGTTGGAGAAAACCTTTTTGTTTATTTAAATTCGTATTGTCTACTGTTCTAAGTAATAATTGAGCATTGAAATATTTTCGAGAAGAAGAACGACAACAAGATAATAACGAAGATTTCTTTTTGTAATTATCATGAATTATTATTGATGATGACGAACATATAGAATCTTTATCTATTGAATTTGACATCGTAGTAAAATTAAATCGATTTAATTGATTAGATATAATTATATATATATTTGTTATTCAAAGTAATCTAAGTTACATCCTATGCCAAAAACATCTAAAAAGACAGATGATAAAAAATAGCAAGAATAAATGTTAAGAATCATTAGCAAAGATTTAGGAACGTACCAACCATTGGTCTGTAAATATATAAACATGAAGTGTTATTTAGAAAAACGATAATAAATAAGAACATCAAGAATATCACATCATTTTTGGTTTTATTAGTTGTCAATCGATCGATTTGTTGCTGTTTATCGTTTGATGTTTAGTAGAGAGAGAGACAAGCAGGCAAGCAAAGCGAGCGAGCGCGAGAGAGAGAGAGAAAGGGCATAAGAGAAAAAGAACGGGGTTCTCTTGCTCTCAAAAATATGCTATAAAAATAGTGACTATAATAGACCTGTTGTGTTTTACATAGTATTATAGTTAATAAAACATATGAAGAAAAAACCAATGTGTGTATTTTTACACTTTTATTTTATTCTTAAAATCAGTCATGATCGGCTACTTCTATCTTTTTACCATATGGAAATATGAGTCATCATATAGACTCAAGAATACCATGAGATGTGGATGACGAAGAAAAACCTATACGCACACGTATGTAGGCGACATGAACCACTAATTAAAAGTTAATATGCTGACTATTACCTAGTTGAAGAAGTTATTCTTTTGAACTTCTACGATTTCCAGACGAAGGAAAAAATTCTTATTATATGAGTAAACATTAAGAGACATTGTAAGATTTCATTGTCGGGCCCACACAAATACAATCACTTCTCTTCATAACGAACGTGTCATATGTCTACACGTATCTTTATCAAACACCAACGAGTACAATCATATTCGTATGTGCATATAGTTTGTATCGAGTAACAAGAGTCATTGTCATCGTTCTCAGTCTATGCAAGTCTCTTATTACCATACCTATCGACATAGTTATTCATCTAGTCTTATATGAGTGTATGCATTGAAAATGACTGACTCGAAAATGTCACAGCTGCCACATATATTTACGCCCTACTTAATTTGACTAACGAAAATATCAATAAATGCTTTTTGTTTTATTTCAAGAAAACGAATTATATTATTTCTCTTATTAGTTTCTTCAAGATTATTGTCAGTAATAAAAAAAAACAATCATAGATATTCATTCATTTAGAAATATCGATATATATATATATATATGATTACTCTATGCCAAACATAGTAACTTAAAAAGAAAATCACAGCACGACTGTAATCAAATCACTTAGTTTTGATAAGAATAATGTTCGTTAATCTCATCTATGTTTATCATCATAATAATTGTCTATTAGAACTAGACAAACTTCTTAATAGTATTAGAGAAATGTTATTTATCAGACAGTAATACGATCATTTCTATTCGTATCAAGATTCAAAAAGAAATGAATGCGCCTACAGTCTTTAAACATGAACATTGCACAATCAATGATATCTACTCTACTCATCATCAAAGACAAGTGAGCCAATGAAGAATAAGTTTCTTCAAGCTTAATACGTATTCAATAGACTTTTGTTGTTATATGCTAATAATTGTGTTCACATATAATCCACTGAAGTAATACGAATATCTTAAATAAACATATAGTTTTATGCAATGTTTCTTTTTCTTTCTATGGAATTAGTAGTTCACTATATGTAAAGAAACGTAGGCCTATCAGATGAAAAAGAAATACATCGAGAAAGAGAAAAGACGATTAAACTCAGGCTTTTTTCTTTCTGTTTCTATTATTTTGCAATAAAAATCCTTGTTTATTCATGAGACAAGAAATACAAGAACATTGAAACGCTATTATTTTTGTTTCACTTACCATCATTCTTAGAAATTTATGCAGCAATATAAAATGAAAGGCTATTAAAATAAAAATTTGTTCTCCTCTTTACATCGATATCAAACAAAAAGAACAGAGATACAAAATTTTGTTTGTTAAAGTTAATATTTATTCGTTGAAAAAAAAGAAGGAGAAAATAATAATGACGAGACAATAATGAGGCATCGAAATTTGTTCTTTGATTATTGATCGATGAGCGCTGATGTTGACAAAAGACAGAATGACAGCCGTATAGGGACGATTCATCATATATACGCAAGAGAACGAAGACGTCGATAGCATAAAGTGTCATGATATACAGCGCCACAGACGTGTATATAGATATACGATGGCATACTTTTGCCATCTCAAGCGATATAGTTCGAAATGGCATTGATATTTTTGTTGCATATATATATATATATATATATACAAAACGGAAACTAACGGAATGATCTGTACTCTGGATTTTTTCACCTAACATGTCAATTCAAATAGCTTCCGTAGATGCTTAAACAAACAAGAAAAACAACGAATGATGTTAAAGTATTGCTACAAAGAACCGGAAAATGTATGTCTGAGATTATTTTTCTTGTCAATCTATTTGATATTGTTCATCAAAGTATAATTAAAAAGAGAAGTGAAAAAAATACAACAGATTTTTCATAGTAGTTCATCCAATAAAAATAGAACTTGTATTTTTCGTCTATTTATGTTGATTAGACAGTTCATTCTATTGAAGTTAAGTGGAAATGACAATGACCTTGTTGAAGTCAAGTATTGATTGACCACTCGAAAATATGTATGCAAAGATTAAAAAGAACGCATGTAACTTTAGTTTTTTTTTCGGTTTCTTTTTATTTTTTATTCTTTCTTAAGATAATAACAAGACAAAGCAAAATTAATTCAGTTGTTGTTATTGTTTAATTTTGTTTGTTAATCGAATTTTTTCAACATCTCGAAGAATTTTTAAAAGAAAAAGCCGAGAACTTTGCCTCCGGTATGTTTTCGTCGAGCTTCTTCATGATCTAATATGCCATGTGATGTTGTCAATACAACATATCTATCAACAATAAGATGAAAAACAGCAACTAAGTGATAACAAAAATATAATGACTCTACCCGAATTGACGTGATGGTAAAAGATTCTTTGTCCAAGTTTCAATATCACGAATAGGACAATCAAAACGAGGACTAATGACACCACACTATAAAGAGATAGAGAATAGAAGATGAAAGAAATCTCTATTGTTATTCATACTTTATTTAAACGACCGTTTAAATTGACAACTATTTTTCCACTACGATGATCATCAATCATTTCAAATTCGCCAATATAACCTTTTTGAAAATAGAAAATATTCTATGGAGTATTATCTTTTTTTTTGTTTTGTTCCGTTAAACTTACCATGTTTCATCATGACAGTAAGAAATTTAACGATCACTTTTGAACATGGTCGAAGGATAACTTGACGTTTATGACGTTTTTCAGCGTTATTTATTGATTTAAGAGCGTCAGCAAGGACATTCATATGAACCATGTTGAGTGTTTACTTTGTGTATGTATGGTAAATACACGTAAATCTGAAAAACATGAAGTACTAGTAATAAAAAAAACAACAGATTCAATTAACAAAAAAAAAACATGTTCGTTTTTCTCCTTTCTCTAAAGACGCTAAACAAAAAGAAAATTATCCGCTAGCAGCAGCAGCAGCAGTTTGTTGAGTTTTTCGTGATTGTTGACGAAGTGCGTCACTAAGTAAGTCTGGTATTCGAGCTTCATTCTCAATATAGGCCTAAAACAAAAGAGAGCAATATTGAAATAAAATCACACAGTCTTAATGTCTCTTAAATACTTGAATAAGATCATGAGAATTTGTATCACTAAAGTTATATGTGGCTACTTTGGAATTTGGATGAATAATTGCATAGAGTTGAAGAACTGCAACAGCATCGTTCATTCTAAAATAAAATTGATTCAATAAATATTTTATGAATCAGATTGATAGTAAACATTGGAAATCAATTCGTTCATTCAATGAATAATAAGTGATTGTAAATATTTGTTACAAAAATTGTCCTCGTGTAGCGATTAACAGATATACTTAGAACAAATGAATAATATGAGAGTCATATCAGATGTTTCGTACATAAATTAGACACTCAAAATGACTAAGGAAATCTAGGCATTCAGTGAAATCTTTTTTTTTTGTTGAGTTTTCAATAAGACTTCCTTAAGTACATAGTCTGAAACCAAAAGCGATTTTTAAATTAGCGAGATTCCCCTGTGAATTTTATTTTCTCATGCATCAAATATACAAGAGACAACTATTGAGTGCCACTTGGGGAAAAAATTAATATCTTTACTATGATAACGAGAGTCTGGATAAAAAAAGAGACATCTAAGATATCTAAAAAAAATACATCAATACTCTATGACAGCCCTTTTTGACGATATCACATCATTAACTTAAGGCGATTGCTTTCCTCTTCAGACTATGTAAGATTCGCACGTAGAATAATAATAATAATAATAATAATAATAACAAATTCTTAACAATAAATTCTCTAATTGATACATCACGATAATAATAATTTTACAACTTACAAATTTCTTCTAATCATATCGTTCATTAGTCGATCGACTTTTTTATACCATGCATAATAAAAAGTCATTGGGCCAAAATGTCTTGTTGATCGAAGTACATCATAAGAATTTGTTTGATCAATATGTTCATACGTTCTTTGAGTCACCTAGCGGAAGAAGGAAAAAACAACGAATTTTTTTGTTCTAAAACGTCATAAGCAATAAACTTACCCGCTTATAATCTCGATCATCCGGTTCAAATTGAACACATGCTCGGTCAAGTAAAAATTCATAATCACCTCGTTCTAATATTTTCTATATGGAATTAAAAGAATTATAAGAAAATGCATAGGGAATTGTTTTTAGATTACTTCTAAATGTTCGTCTTCAAACATTTTCGGCATGACTAATTCTCTTCCAGCAATTGGAAAATAGATTTGTCTCATTCGTCGTTTTTCATCTAATGTTGCTGTTCGTACTGTACCATCAACATCTCGAGCGACAATAAGCCGATTCTATTTTCAATTGAAATTCATTTTTGGTTTTGTTTCTTTATTTATGTATTAAGCGATGAAACTTACTCGTATTGGTATTCCAAGTGATATATCAATAAATAAATGTTTACTTGATGAAAAACCACTCAACATGTCGTCTTTTTCAAGAACTTCTATGTTTTCGTCGGCCTCAGATAAAACCGGTGGCATTTGCAGTTTTGCTCGACCACGTTCTATTGTTTTTTCTTGTTCCTAATATGAAATATAAATTAGAAGAAAAAAAATCATCAAGCATAAATAATGATAGAAATATCTATATACATACGTACTTCTTTGAGTTGTTTATCAGTTAAATATTTATAGGCGATACGGTCGAGATTTTTATTATTACGTAATTTAAATATTCGCGATAAATCAAAGCCAGTTATATTTGTTAGTAAATCTTGAACATCTTTACGAATAAATACAGTACCCTGATCGATTTCAGATTTACCTAAAATGAACTCATAAAAGAAATGATAAAATTAAAAATTTTCATTCATACTTTTATTCGTACTATTATATTGAATTCGATTGGCTAAACATCGAATACATGTGTTTGGACGAATTAATGAACGAAACATTGGATTATCGTAAATAATACATAATTATTGAAAAAAATTTAATTTAATCTAAAAAACCAAATTAAGAGATTACGATTCCAATACTGCACTATTACAAACTAACAACAAAATATTAAATGACTGCGAACTACAAAACAACAATAGAGTAATAAAATTTAGGGCTTTTTTTTTGTTTTGTTTTTCTAATGACTACTATTCGATTTTTTCGTGTTGCTCATCGGTCATATCTGACATTGATTGACTAATAGACTTTTGACTAGTTTCTAAAATTGCATGGCCAACAGATGTAACATTCGAATCTGTTTCACCTGTTGTACCAAATTCGTTTACACGTGTACGATCAACTGGATACATATAACGTTGATAAAGATATATAAAAAATATAATATCTAGAAACAATAAAAGATGTTTCGAAGAAAATTGAAATAATTTTTTATTTTACCATCACGAAAACATCCAATTCGATACATTGTTGGCATTTTAATAACAAAAGCAAATAAATCATCAATAAATGTATTCAATGCCTTATATGTCATCATACGCCAAGGTAAATGTGATACTGATTTAAGTTTATAATTAATAAACAATTGTGGGGTCATCATGATAAAACCTGTAATAGAAAAAAATTTATGTTTTAAAATTCTTCTTTGATCTATTTAATCTTTACCAAATGTTAATAAAACCCCATAAACTGTGCTTAAACAGAATGAATACCAACTTTTTTGTTCGTGATACATTAATAGATAACATGCATAACCAGCCACTAATGGATATAAAAGCCATGATAAATATTTAAAAGCCATCTAAATTTAAAAAAAAGAAGTTTTTGTCTTTTTATATTTTTTTTTGTACGAACTCGATCATATTCTGATGTTGATGTATCTTTATATGATTGTTTAAAAACATATTTATATTTTGGTATTAAACCAAACCATTTTTCATTTGGCAAATTCTTAAATAAATGATATTAATCAAAAGAATACAAATTCACAGATAATATACTTGAAAATTAACGATTTTTGGTACTTTCCATAGTTCAATAATTATACCAACAAAAACACTAATACGAACCATAGTATTTGTTTCATTATCAAATACATATAGTAATACGATAAAACTTTGAAATATACCTAAAAACACACTTCGAACAGATAAACCTTCAAGAGATTTTCTTGTACGCCAAAATTGAATATCTAGAATGTTGAGAAAATCGAAATGGATCCTGTTTAGGTTTTGTTTTTTTGTTCAAATCTTACCATTTTTAAATGCTAATATTTCAAAAACGGTATGTACAAGTGAAACAGTTATTGTCATTGCAAGTAAATATGGATTTGTTTCAATGAGTGTACGCTAAAAGGAAATTTTTTTTTTAACAAAATGAATATTTATGTTTCTTTTTTTTTGATCTTATTTGCATACTTTCATGGTATCTTGATCTTCATCATTTGGTTCATCACCAAGTAAATTTCCATACCATGATTGACGTAAATTTTGTGACACATACATTTGCCATTTCCATAATTGTATTGGTGCAACAGTTATCGTCAAGTTTAATTTACTAGAAATAAAACAAAACAAGTAACAAAATATTTAAAAAAAAAAGAAGATGATATACTCGATCGTATCATTTAATGGATAATAATCGGAAAGAAGATTCCAATAATCATTTAAATAAAGTACGGGATAGTATTTTCCAGTATAAGCATCAAAATCAACATCTAAATAATTTTATAAATCTTAATTTAAAAAAAAATGAAACTTTCTATTGATTTACATTTATCTAATGGTGGTGGTATACTGCCTTTCATCCATGATGATTGATCTTCGAGTAAATTAATCGTCATATTAGAGTGCCAATGCGATAAAATTTCAACAATATTATCGTCAGCTTTCTAAATACAAAATCTCTTCTGTAAAAAAAATAACATACGAACCATTTGAAATTTCATATTCACCTTTTGATATTCTTCATCTTTTTCCGTACTACCCGTTAAAAGATTTTTTGTTTTTCGATAAACTTTCTTTTTATATTTATTTAAGCGTTTACTTTTCCAAAACGTATATTGTGGTGAATCAGGTTCACGTTCGCTAGGATCAATAGAATATCGATGTTTACTTACAACAACATGTAAATAAAGTGACCCATTATTTTTTATATTCTAAAAAAATAAATAAAACTTCTAAATAACAAAATAGAATCTTCACGCATGAGAATGCATACCTCTGAAATAGGAAATTCAACAAATTTAGTACGTGTTCCATGTGATGACCAATCTCCATATTTGAAATCACTCAATGTCCATAGAGGTTTTCTCATGGGATCATATCTGTAAAGTTTTTCTTCGCTAATAAATATGTACATGTCCTTAAAAAGAAAAGTAACTTTGTGACGTTGACATCGTGAATAAAAATATTCTTACGAGTAAATCACCAGTTGTATAAAGACTTCCAGGAATGTAAGTAGTCGTCAACAACGATGAATCAATGGGTACTGTTCTAGTTTCAGTTGGATTAACATTTGCAGGTCGACGAAAAAATTGTGTAACAAGATAAATCATCAAAACACGAAATGCAAAAGATTTAACGATGCTCCATGGTGAATAACTTTGTCGAATAGGTGGAACAATTGTATTTGGTGTTAATCTTTGTTGTATATCATTAGCTTGAGTTACTGACGAAATTAGACCTTCTTGGTGTTGTGAACTCTAGAGAAACAAATTAAATTAGCTAATAGAATAGCTCATGAAAAAAAAACGTAGATAAACATACGGAATTCCCATCAATCGTCGATTGATCTTCATTTATACTCGACATAATTAATTACTTAATGTTTGCATATTATTTTTTCTCTTGAGCACATTAGACATATGGCAGCCATTCTATGATACGATTCGATATAGTCGGTTTTTCGACCTCCAAATATCACTATATTTTTATTTTCTATTTTCTATTTTAAACTTATTTGTCCAAGTCAAAAATTAGTTTTGTATTATTTCAAAACTTTCTTTTTATAGAACACAATCTGCTATTGATAGTAGCGCTGTTTGTATTCATTGGTTTTTCACATAATAGCTGTATGTTCACAGATTGTGCTGAAGAACAAAAAGATTTGAAAAGTAATCATATAGAAATTTTTGCTTATAACTACAATACGTCATTCAAAACTTAGCATTGTATTATGGGAGTGTCTGTCCTTTTGATTAAGTTTGAAGAAGGAATTATTGTCTTTGTCTTGCATCGATAATATCTTAATGACACTTGTTAGTCTTGAGCCCAATGTTTTTAATGAAAGAGTGTACCCCACAGAACAAAATCTGTGGTTGCATAATTCTCGGAAAACGTTGTTGTATCTTTTTTCAGCTGAGTACGCTCGAATGCCTTTAACTTTAGTTAGAAGATGCAAAACCTATGAAAAAAATCAACGAGTTCTTTTTTGAATAATCACAAATGAAACAAGTTTTACAGGATGTTTTGCTTTTTGAATGATTGAATCATATTTAAATGATTATTTGATAGAAAATCTCTTCTATTTTTATGATTTACCGAAGATTGAGAAGTAGACGTATTCTGATGGAATTAGCACTGATGTGTTTATATTTAAATTTCAAACATACTTTTTCTCTTACAAGACTAACGTTGATTTGAAGTTTTCCAAATTTAATAATGCCAGTTCTTAATTGATTCTAACGTTTACATCCATCTGATTTCACAATAGAAAATAGTTCGATAGTGTGAAATATTCATTTTATCGTGTTAGTAACGAAAGCTGCCTAATTGTAAGTGTCGTCTTCTCAAACCTTATTATCATTTCAACTCTTGAGTATGATGTTTCTTTCAGTTACACTTTTTTTCATGACTTAGACAGTCTATGTCACGATCAATTGATGTGTTCTAGTATTTTTTGCTAAAAAGAATATTCAAATATTTTCGATATTTGTACATATGATTATTTATGATTGATCTGCTAAGGTTTTGCTCTGAAAACGATTTCCATCATTTTATGCGAATGCATATAGAAATATTTCTTTAAAGATGAAACTGAAAATAGCAATTTCGGATTTTTATTTAATTAATTAAAAACATAAAGTTTATCTGCATAAACGAAAACACAAACATTTCATGAATTTAAAATAAAAGGTAGCCCTGAAGAGGGCTGTTGGGTTTTCAAGTTTACATCTTATAATTTATTGAGATGATGCTGCAACAGCTTTTTTGCTTTGTTTGACTTTACCAGCAGATGAAACTGGCATTGAATCGGTAGCTGATTTTTTTGGTAACAACAACGAATTGATGTTCGGTAAAACACCACCTTGAGCAATTGTTACATGATTTAAAAGACGATTGAGTTCTTCATCGTTGCGAACAGCTAATTGAAGATGACGTGGAATAATACGTGTTTTCTTGTTGTCACGAGCAGCATTTCCGGCTAATTCAAGAATTTCAGCACTTAAGTACTACAATAGAGAAATCAATTTTGTTTAAGATAAAAAAATAAACAACTAAATTAATCTCACTTCAAGTACAGCAGCCAAATACACTGGTGAACCACCAGCAACTCGTTCACTGTAGCTTCCTTTACGTAAATGACGATGAACACGTGAAACTGGAAATTGAAGACCAGCACGAGTTGAACGCGATTTAGCTTTGCTTCGTGCCTTTCCACTACCAGCAGCCAATACACTAGCGTTAGTTTTACCACGGCCTGACATTATTTTATTATTAATTATTATTAGTAATAGAAGGATAGATAAACTCTTGAGAAAAGTTTGAGATGAACCTAAAAGAAACGTTTCTTTTTCTATATATAGCCATAGTCCGCGCACACACCAATCAACCAATAGAAAGTCAACAATCGTGTCTTTCTATTCGTTCATAAAATTTGTCACTGTAGTGGTCTATTTAAGAATACCTAGTGACTCGTGTTTTTCTTCATATAATCGATTGTTCTACGTTAAACAGCCGTTTAAACAAATTCAATATGCCTCCAAAAGCACAAACACCCTCAAAGGGTTCAAAGAAAGCTGTCACCAAAACCAGCAAAGGTGCAGCTGGACCAAAAGGTGAAAAGAAACAAAAGCGTCGACGAAAGGAAACCTATTCAATCTACATCTACAAGGTTCTTAAACAAGTTCACCCAGACACTGGTATTTCATCGAAAGCCATGTCAATCATGTAAGATAGTCTATACAAGAAGTACAAACAGCTATTGTATTTTCTCTTGTTCAATAGGAACTCATTCGTCAACGATATCTTTGAACGTATTGCTGCTGAAGCTTCACGCTTATCGCACTACAACAAACGATCAACAATTTCATCTCGCGAAATTCAAACAGCTGTACGACTTTTGTTACCCGGTGAATTAGCTAAACATGCCGTCTCTGAAGGTACAAAAGCTGTTACCAAATATACAAGTGCAAAATAAATGGTGCCTTGTTTATGAGATAAATAATATCATGTCTCATTAGAAGAATCCTTAAAACCCAACAGCCCTCTTTAGGGCTACCTATACTCTATATTTAAAAAATATGGATTGGTCATAAAACAAACTTCTCGTATTTGCGCTCTTCTAACATTAAAAATATTTAATAAATAATTTTCAAACTGGACTGTGATGGTAAGGTAAATTGATCACAAAAAATATGATTTTTTGTACAACGATCATGCAATTGGATAATTTAGAAAGCTTAACTCACAGGATTTCTTTATGGACTTAATAGTTCGAAATTTTTGCGTACGAGAAGATTATTGCATACATTTTTTTTCGTGCTTTTCGAAATTAGAAAAAAAAGCATCGAATGAAATTTGTTTCCACGATTCTGATTCGGTGTACAACGATGAATTCAATGCGCAAATTTCCGCTTGTTACAATTTTTCCTTTAGATAGCTAACAGCTTATTTTTTAATTGAAAAAAAGAAATGTTTCTATTGCCACATGACCGGAATATAACCTCCGTTTGCATTTTTGTTTTTACTCTACATGCATCGATGCAGAATCATGTCATTGTTCGACAGACCTATTACAACGTTCTGCATACTTTTATGTTTTTAACAGATTCAATAAATTCTTCCGATTTACAAAGCGACCGATGGATTTTTATTTCCATTTATGATCTTTTTCGAGAAATAAATTTCAGTCGACAAGTTTCAAATATTCGATAATTACTTTTACATAGAGAAAAAGAATTCTACAGTTTCTTCAGTGTATTGCAACCCGATGCCACAAATTTGAATTTAGAAAATGAAATGTTAGCCCTAAAGAGGGCTGTTGGGTTTTAGTAATTATAAGAGAGCGGTATTAATCATCCCTTTTTTTTTAACTTGGATCGTAATTATTTAAGCACGTTCACCACGGATGCGACGGGCCAATTGGATGTCCTTTGGCATGATGGTAACTCGTTTAGCATGAATTGCACACAAGTTGGTATCTTCGAAAAGACCGACTAAGTATGACTAGAATAGATAAAAATTGATTTTAAGATATTATCGATATGTTACGAAGTATATTCTTACTTCACACGATTCTTGTAAAGCCATAACAGCGGATGATTGAAATCGAAGATCTGTTTTGAAGTCTTGAGCGATTTCACGAACCAAACGTTGGAATGGAAGTTTGCGGATGAGTAATTCAGTCGATTTTTGATAACGACGAATTTCACGAAGAGCAACTGTACCTGGGCGGAAACGATGTGGTTTCTTGATGCCACCTGTAGCTGGTGCAGATTTGCGTGCAGCTTTTGTTGCTAATTGTTTTCGTGGTGCTTTTCCACCTGTTGATTTACGAGCGGTTTGTTTTGTACGAGCCATTGCTTATGTTTCTTAATAAACGTTTGAGAGATATGTAAAACGTGTAACGAGTTTAGTATACAGAAGAAACGAAAGGAAACGAACGCTCCTTATAAATAGGTTGGTCAGCTAAATGCTATTGGCCAATTAAGGAAATTCTTAAGTAACCAATGAACACTATGAGTCTTTGTTTTCTTAATAAACCAATCGATATCTATATATGGAAACAGTATATAAATGTCGGTTGAAATCGTGCTTTTCTTCACATTTCAACAAACCGTATTCTACATTTATTATATAATACATATATTAAACAATGTCCGGACGTGGTAAAGGCGGTAAAGGTCTTGGTAAAGGTGGTGCCAAACGCCATCGTAAAGTTTTACGTGATAACATCCAAGGTATGTCTTACTAATTGAACCAGTCGTTCACAGTAAATTAATTATGTTTTTCTCTTTTTTGAAAAGGTATCACAAAACCAGCTATCCGTCGTCTTGCTCGACGAGGTGGTGTCAAACGTATCTCTGGATTGATCTATGAAGAAGTACGTGGTGTACTCAAAATCTTTCTTGAAAACGTCATCCGTGATGCTGTCACATACACTGAACATGCTAAACGCAAAACAGTCACAGCTATGGATGTTGTCTATGCCCTCAAACGACAAGGTCGTACACTTTACGGTTTCGGTTCATAAGCGGTTGTCTGCTTGCTTGGCCGGATGAGATGAATAAAATCACTCTCAAAATCGAATAAAAAAAACCACTAAAACCCAACAGCCCTCTTTAGGGCTAAACATTTTCTTTTTTAAATTCGAATTTGTGGATCGTATAATAACACTTGAATACATACAGTTCGTTTAGAGGAAATTTCAGAATGTGAAATAAAAGTTGAATGTAATGGTTTATGGTGATGTGCACTAAATGCAACCTACACAGGCAGAAAGAAAGTTATTCGTTGAGAAGGAAGCGGATTACAATATGTGTAGTGAAAATAAATGAGAAAATATGTTGAATGTGGAAAAGCCTTCAAGGAATCAATTTTGTTGAATCGAAGAAAAAAAGCAGGGTTTTCTTATCAAGTGTTTTTTTGCATTCGAAAAAAGGATTGAATATTAGTTTATGATTTAGAATGGTGACGAGTACGATGTTTCTAAGAAGTCAATTGAGTTGCTATTGTTAGTGATACATTTTCACTCTTGGAGAAATATACAGTTGGATAAATAAAAAACTTTTCATGCGATATTAAATCGATTCGTATACTTCATATTTTAAGTTGGAAAATAGTCACTAACAATGAACATCTAAAATCAAATCAGTAGCGTTTGTGATCTCTCAATCTGAATGAAGGGAAGTGTAGAAATGTATGATACAGAGGTAAAGAAACGGAAAATAACTAGAAATGTTTTCACTGTTACACGTTTCTGAGAAACGATATAATCAGCAATCACAGAAAGTAACAAATGGCTACAAGAATTTTATATGGGTCTGCTTGTTTTTTCACCATCTCAATCAATAAAAACAAAGTTGAATAGAATTTCGACAGCTTTAACACTAGAGATTTTTTTTCTGAGTAAATCACGTTAGTGGTTTATTTCGAAAAAGTATGAAATAAAACTCTGTATTTTTTTTGTGTTAGTTTTCCATATTGAGAAATATTTTGACTTTCTTGGTTTAGATTTACAAATTTGTTTTCAAATAGGTAAATACACCGTTTCTTTTGTCCCTATTGCGTATGAAATTTTGTATTTGATAAAGTTGCATTAAATAGTGATTAAAATATTGAATGTATCACTATTTTTGTTTCAATTATATGGAAGGCTTCAACAAGTTCATCCATCTTCAAATCTCTACTGTGTAAGAGAACGAATCAGGTTTCATTGTTGACCCTCTACGTATGTCTATCGATTGGATAGAACAGAAGGCAAATATGAATCGTTTTTTTTTTTTCGAAGGAAGAAATGCAAAATATTGCTGTTTCATAAATCGATACAATGTCGAACGATGATCCGGCAATAATACCCAAACAAGGTTATCGTCTAGTATTTTTTTTTTGTTTATCTATATTTTGTATGAACGATCAATTTAGGATGGTTAAAAGTTAAATTGAATTCTCAAGCTAAATGGCATCGTCGATACTGTATTATTGATTGGGACAAAGCTATTTTATTTATAGCATCTAAAGCCGATAGAAATTATCGAGATTATATTAAGCTTTTACCTAACATTTCAATGAATGAATACGAACCTTCTCATGACAACATCATTGAAATTAAAGCAGCCAGTAAGAAATATATTATAATTATAGTAAGAGAATGTTATTTTATTTCGAATTTCAAAGATGAGACGCATTTAGTACAAGCGGAATCAAAAAATGAATATGATTGTTGGTTCTTAGCATTAAAACAAACTGCTTATAGTCGATTTGGAGGTGGTAAGTTTTATATTCGAGAAAAAAACCTTGCGCAATTATTTATTTTCAATTGATTTCATCATCGATTTATATAATTGAATTCGTCATAGCTGTTTCAGATTATTTCAATGTAAAACTAGTTGCATCTGAAGTATATAAAACGAGTAATTTAGCATCTTTGATGCAGAGAAGCAGAATTTTATTAACTTAAATTTGATAGAACTGAAAAACAAGCATGAAGCGCTGTCTGTATTATTCATTTAGCTATTTTTGGTCAATCATTAGAAGATACATATAAATATTCTCTTGACAAAACATCTCTTGTGCCTTTAATTGTTCGTCATTGCTGTAAGTTTCTTCTCGAGCATGGTTCGACATTTGTCGGTTTATTTCGGTAAAAATCTCTAATTAGATATTTTCGAATAAAATTAACAACCGTCTAATAATTTAGAATACCTGGAAAACAATCTTCTATTAAAGAATTACGCGATATGTACGATCGTGGTTTAATAGTCGAACTAAACGATACACATTCGCCAGCAACCATATCTTCATTGTTAAAAATGTATTTACAATCATTACCAGAACCAATAATTCCAATAAAAGATTTTGATGAATTTTTTGAAATTGGTTCAAGTTTTAAATACAATGTAACAAAAGATATTGATCGTCTAAAAATATTGATCGAAAAAACATTATCAAAAACAAATTATGCACTTTTAGCATATATATGTTTATTTTTAAAAAAACTTACTGAACATGTTCATGAAACCAAAATGGATACTGATAATTTAGCTTTGACTGTTGGAAATAGTCTTATTAGAACATCTGAAGTATTAGATCTCAATATGGTCAAAGGACATAAGTAAAATAGTTTTGTTTTTGTTTCATTCTTTGAAGAACATCTGTTTCACTGTTTCAGTTACAATCTATTGCCATTAATTAAAGCATTTATTGATCATAGCGACTATCTTTTTTCAGTATGATTTCATTTTACATCGGGCAGTCAAAAAGTAATGGCAATGGTACTTTAGTTTGTTATAAGAAGCTTTAAAAACCTTTCGTTCTATATAGTCTGACAGACAAAAAAGAATGCTCTATTTTTCTATGCTATTTGATTATACTTCAGCTAGTCTAATGATAATAAATTTTCAGTAAGACTTTTTTCGTTACGACGTCTGCTGGATGACAACGGAAGAGACAGATTAGTCTCAGTCTCTTAATATATTGTATCAGCAATCAAAATATACCATAAGATGTAGCATGAAAAGCTCTACATTTTATATGCGACCAATTATTTTCTAGTTACACTGTTTTATTTTTAAAATACACAAAGGCTTGGAGGACCAAACTTTGGGCATTGCGAAAACTGGTATCACAGAATTTTCGTTTTTATGAAGACAGTTACAATAAACTTTACTGTGAAGATTGTAGAGTTTTTCGCGCTGCATTTTGTGATGCATTTTGTTTTCCTTTTGATAAAGTGTGTCAGATGATAAGACAATGGAACAAAAAAAAAACGTTCGCCATGTATCAGAAATATTATCTATTTTTCTTAGTCGAAATTTGACAGCCCGAAACCTTGTCAATTTTGAAAACAAAAAGTGCAGTTAGAAAATAATTGGTCTTATATAAAATGTAGAACTTTTCACGCTACATCTTAATGTATATTTTGATTATTGATGCGATGTATTAAGGAACTGAAAACTGCAATGCAAACTTACATCCAGTAGATATGGTAATGAAAATAATCTTACCGAAAATTTATTATCATTAGATTAGTTGAAGTATAATCATATAGCATAGAAAAATAGAGTATTATTTTCTCTGTCAGATTATATAGAAAGAAAGGTTTTTAAAGCTTCTTATAACAAACTAAAGTGCCATTGCCATTACTTTTTGACTGCCCTATGTAAATCGAATCTTTTATTCAATTTTTTTTGCGAAATAAATTTAGGCTGATTTAGATGAATCATCTGAACAAAATAATGAATCAATTGCAAAGTCCAGCGGATTTTCATCATTTTCTTCACTTTTATCATCTAATGAACAGCCGGCTCGAGCTCGTTTACGTTCATCTTCAATGCCATCTATACATTGTCCAAGATTTTCATCGATGGACAGTGAAAATTTAAGTTATACTGACCCATCCGACAGTAAAGATGCGTATTATCGTTCAAAATTACTGCTAGAAAAACAAGCCAGTGATAAATCTGATCAATTAGAGAGTCAGCAATCTTTTACAACATGCTTTGAAAAAGATTTTTCAATAAATCAAGAACATACTGTTAAATATTTCAATGATGAAAGTCCTGTACAAAAGCAATTTTCTAGTATTGAAGTGGGAAAATACGAGGAAAGAGTTCGACCACAATCAATGATAACAGAACAAAACCATTCATTAGGTAAAGATTCGAATTCATACTTTTGTTTTCTAAATAATTAGAGTTAGAATGAAAGTTGTTCGAAAATAAACTCTCATCGAGTTTACGTAAGAATTTCTATCATAGAATTTTCTTTAAAAATACTCTTGTTTTTGTTCTACAGAATTAGATACACATGATTTATTATTATTACTTCAAAGAGGTGATAATAGTGAAATTCATGTCTCTATTTTTTCACCATTCCAATAATCAATTAAGAATTCTGTCTAGTTACTAATCTATGATTTATTACGATTGTGTCCCTATCCTACAGTGATGTGATTTTCGTCGCATACATCTACATTATTAATCAACCGTATACTTAATTGATTTCTTCAGTTGAATGCTGACTGTCATCTTTATAGACGTGTGAAATATATTTTATGAGTAGAAAAATTTTTAAATTAATGATTACTCGGTGATATTCAAAGATAATATAAAAATTGGGTAAAACAACATAGAATAGTTTCTTTTCCCGTTTCATTGGATTTCTAAATGAGTTAATGCAAAATAATAGATTCGAAAATTGCTCAGATGTTATAAATAGATAAATCTAAAAATTCGCATAAAGCAAACAAATCTCTATAGATGATCGAAGTATTGTTTATCAGTATTTTTAAAACTCCTATTTACTGTTAATCATCTGAAAATCTTAAAGTTTTCTTTAAATAGAAAATTCAAAACTTATTTAGTAACATTTGTATATCCTAACAAATAAGTCGTTTTTCCTAAAATTTATATTATACCTGTGAGCTGCAATAATAATTTAGTTTTTGCTGTTTTCTAATTATATCTTGCACAATGTAGATACATCCTCTCAATTATTATCAACAACCAATACTTCATCATTGATGCGTAAAACACAAAAAAAAACTTTCGTTAACAAGTTCGGTAGATATTTATTCAAATATCACTAGTTCAATATATAGTTCGTCCGTGTCTATGATATTCATACGCACGTTAGTGAAATTGCATTTAAAAAAGCAAAACGAATGAAAATGTTAATTGTAGAATTCTTGAACGTTTACAAAATCATTCTCAAACTTTAAATCAAACATGACAAAAGCTTTTCATCCAAGTTTTTCTTCAATTGAAGCTATTGAACATTCAAAGACAATTGGTATATCATCTCCACTAGCAGTTGATCCATATGAAACACGTCATATTTTTGATTCCAATGTATTAACTGCTTGTTTAAAATCGTTACAAAATGAAAATCGTCTTCTAAAAGAATTAATAGATGAAAAAGAAACTCTATTAATTAACTTAACAAAAACATCTAATGAAGAACGTCTGAAATATGAAAACGAAAACGCCCAATTGAAACAAACAATTAAACAATTACAAATCGAAAATTCTCAGTTTAAAGCTCGTTATCAATCAAATAGTTAAGCAATTTATTTTCTGTCTTTCACAACAAATTTTTCTTGTGATATTTTTGTATAGTGTGATCAATAATCATTCTTTCATTTGTGAAAATAGTTAACGTTACTTTTTTCATTCGATATTTTTTAGATACGAAATTTAAAAAATAATGTCTATAGTAGACAATAATAAAGTCGATACAATTGATAATCAATCAGATGATGCCTATGCTACACCAATTAGTCCGTTATCACCAAAAGAAAAATCACCAGCATCAAATGAACAGCAACAAGAACAAAAGGAAGAATCTATCAATGAAATGCAATCATTAATACAATCATCGAATGATTTAACATTTCCATTAGAAGATTCATGGTCATTTTGGTTTTTTAAAAACGACCGACAATGCGAGTGGAAAGATAACTTAATTCTCATAACAACTGTAACAACAGTTGAAAGTTTTTGGTCTGTTTATAATCATTTGCAAGTTGCTAGTCGACTTGGACAAGGTTGTGATTATTTTCTTTTTAAGACACATATCGTAAGTTTGAATCCTTTTTTTTTTAAACTATTGATATTAATGAAAAGTACGACTTGAAAATAGATCCGTTCAAACTAGGTCCGACTCCCTTCCCATGAGAAGATCTCAACAATTGATTAAAGTACGTGAAACCTCATTTGAAGCTGATAGGAAATGCTTCTATTCTATGGCTTCTAATCAAGACTATGAACGACTACGACATTCTTATAGGTTCTGCGTTCACTACAAATGATTCAAATCTTTTGCTTATTACTGTACCGATGATGCATGTTGATGGTACTTTGTTTTTAAGAAAATACTTCAACTTTACGTAGAGTTATAGATGAATCTGCCATTTTCTTACGGCAATACGAAACATATTTGTTTTATAAAATTCATTTTTTATGGCAAAAAAAAACAACAGCAGTGTAAGATCCCAAAAAAATATCATGTAAAACTATTCTCATGATATTTTATCTCTGTGCAAAGTTTTCATAAGAATGTAATCTGTTCGATGCAATCAGCTCAACGTTCGAATACTTATGCTAAATTATGCTACATGATCTTGGAATAGAATGACATGATTTCTCTCTTTATTTAGCAACCAATGTGGGAAGATCGATTTAATCGTTCTGGTGGTCGATGGTCTTTAAATTTAAATAAAAGCCAACGAGTCACTGAACTTGATAAATATTGGCTTTTTACGGTTGGTTTTCATAAATTCATTTCCGGCCATTCCTATGTATTCCTTTTTTAATAGCTACTTTCATTAATTGGTGACCAATATACAGATGATGCACAACATGTAAACGGTTGCGTTGTATCAATACGAAGTAAAGGTGATCGAATAAGTTTATGGACAAAAGATTGGAAAAATTCTGATGTTACAAAACGAATAGGGTAAAGAAATTTTAGTAAAAATTTTCTTCTAATGAAATTTTCTCTCTCTCGCGCTCTCTTGATTGTAGAAATCGATTTCGTGAAGTAGCGGATATTCCTCGAAATTTAGCTTTAATTTTTGAAGTAAGTGTCATATCGTTAAACAGACACAATGCAATGAATAAATCGTTTAGAGTCATGAAGATCAAGAGTCGAAACGTGGAGCAACATCGAAAATTCTTTTTCGAGCTTGAATGAATTTTTATTCTTCATATTGTTGAGCTTCAGAAGTCTGTTCGTATTAATTTATCTTTTGTATGCGATTCTACCATACGCAAAAAGAAAACTTTTTCAATTCAATCCATGGGGTTTTTGGTTATTGTGTGTTTGTAGTGTGATTCGTTATTTCTTCATTATATTCATCTAAACGATTGGATCTGACCTTTTTTGACTAATTAAATTTGCCCTTCCACATTGTTAAATTTTCTTTTCTTTTCTTTTTTGTTTTGTGTTTTATTTAACGTAATTCTTTTCAAAAAAAAAGACAATATTGAAAGTGAATATAACTAAACTATTTGTAAGAAAGACAATTTCTTTTGTGCTATACACAAAAAAATGACGAAGAAATTAATCTTTTCTGTTGTTTGTTATTTTCTCGTTGTTGTTATTTAAATAAACTAATAAAATAAATCAAGAAGTAATAAAACAGTAAACAGATGTTACATAGTTTTTGTGCAGTATGAATTTCAACAGTACCTATTCTTGCGTTTTATTATGCAGCTGGTGCTTTTGCATTTTCAAGCATCGGCAAAAAAGTATACTTGAAGATAAGGTTTTCTCTCTCTCTCTTTCAAACACATATACACTCTTACAAGGGCATAATACATTCATATCTCAAGTATGCTTACATAATCGAGTATTTCGATATTATTCGAAATTCTTGCTACAGATACAATAGGGAATACAATGCTGTCAAAAGGTCTGTTCAATTTTGAGGTAGGAAGATATTGATTTATTTTTATAGAAATCTAAAACTAGACATTAAAATTAACGTCTTCCTGAGAATATCATTTTTGTGAAATCAAGGTCATTGGGACAAAAATGAACTACTCGAAATATAAGCAATTGTGTACGAATACAGTTTAAATTTTCTTGGTTTCGATATCAAAAATAACTTTTTTCGGAATTTAATTACTGAAGGCATCGGTATATTTTCAGCTCTTTTATCTTAGTTTTACTACGCTGAGTGCATAAATGTGAAATCTAAAGCAAAATGGTATTTTAATCATAACAAAATGGTCTTTTTTTGTATTGTATATTAGAATAGTTTTAAAGGGATGAGTATTTTTTGAAACTGATTGATTTATTTTGATTATTCCTACTATTGCGTAATTACATAAGTATTGTGAAAGAGCAGCACATATCAAATATCTATCAGAATATATATTTTTATTTTTATGATTATTATGTCTCAATAAAATTTTACACAAGCTGAAAGTTTTATCGAGCAAAAAGTTATCGACGCGATAATCACCACTTGAATGATTTTATTTGAAACTGTCTCATGATACTGTTTTGAAATGATTTCTTTTTATTCAAATGACCAAGATATTGCTTAAGATTTAACTAAATCTTTAATATTTAAATGAAATAAACTATAATTAAGAAGAAAAAATGTGAAAACTTCGGATTTCATTCGAGAGTTATGTGTACTGCAAAAAGTGCATGGGACATATGAGTCATTCTAGAATGTCTGAACACCAAAATTATCATGAGAAACTAGGCAATTTGATTTCTGGATGCAGTTTTTGTGCATTTTGAAACGTTTTTCAGGCGATGTTTCGTTAGAAAGCTATGACTTAGTTCAAAACTAATATCAGATTCGGAATCAGCGTTAAAAACTGAGCCGATTTATATATGTTGTGGATAATTCTGAGAGAAAAAAGTTTTTTTTGAAAAATCCCTGTACCCCTCCTCAGGGATGGCCTGATCAAAAATGACAATTTTTTCGATAACTCAGCCATTTCTTGAAGGATCTTTCTCATCTTCGAACTCGACTGAGGCTTTGATGAGGCTGAACTGTGTAGAAAATTTCATCACGATCTGATTTTCCTTTCGAATGTTATTGTGCCTACGGCCGGTCGGACACACTGACCGATTCTAGAGTGTACTCACTTTTTGCATACACAAAAAACACGAACTTTTAATGGTCTTGCATAGAATGGTTGAATTAAGATGTGTCAATTTTTTTCGTTCAAAAACATTTCTCATATGACTAGTATCAAATAATGTAAGAAGATACTTTTAAAAGCTAACAAGGTTATTAACTGATTATGAATGTGTTGAGTTGATAGTATTGCATAACAAAAACATAATTGTTCACTAGCTATTAGAGATGATGCAACAACACAGTTTAGTGTAGGAGAAAATAGATAAGCAATGTATGATGGCATTTCTGGCATTCCTATTCGATTGATTGTCCTTTATCTAGTAATAACAATAGCGTTAATTACTAACTATTATTTCATTTTAATATCTATCGTGCTCTTGGATTGTTTTATTTCTTACAAGCACTATTTTACCAAAAGGAAAACAAAATACTATTGAATAGAAAGTAATTTATCCCTACATGATATCAATTCAAAGCATGCTGAGTTTCCATTGTTTAACGCTAGTTAGTTAGTCGATCAAGTACGAGCCATACTTTTTAGATGTTATCGATAGATTTCTTGACAATTCTATCACTGGTTTTCATTATTTTAAATTTCTTGTTTTTTTTAAGAAAGAAAATTTCAATAAGACTAAAAACACTAATGACTTTGATCGTAACGACCGGTATGAAACAATTACAATTGTATTTATTCAAATAAATTATTGGAAATGATTGCTACTTAGTTAATGTAACAAAACATAATGTTATAACAAAAGAATATTTTTATTAAACTAATGAAGAAGTTCATTCGCTACAATAGCCTTAAATAATCACGCTGCTCAACTCATATTTATATATATGATGTCCAAACTTGATAAATGAACTGGATTCAAACAAATATACACACGTTAAATAGCTTCTGCTGATATTGACGACGTGAGAAAGATAATCATTTCATGCCATATCAACTGTTATATATTTTTTCTAGCTTGTATGCTTATCATTGGAAATGTTACATGACATGAAATGATTCAGGTTAGGTTATCAAGGAAACAAATAAGATTTGATCTAATAAAAAGTATTTCAATCCTAACGAAATATTGAGTAATGAGATGTTAGATCGAGTCATAGATACGCTGCTATGAAAGATAAATCAAATATCAGTATTATGATTCTCAAGCAATTGAATCGATACTTTACCATAATAAAAATAACCACATATTCAATTTATTTAAATAAGATCAAGTGCTATAGAATTTCCTCGAGTGTTGTATTTCTTTTGTTGAATCTGATTAAGGTTGAATTTTTTTAAATTTAATAACTTTTTAATAGTTGATTGATTCATCTAAAATGACTTTTACCTATTGTAAGACATGTGTGATGATACACATTGGCAGGGGTGGCTTATTAGTGCTAACTAATTTCTCTTCTGAATAAACATCAAGGGGGAAAAGCGAATTTCTGTATTTCTAAATA